ATTGTAACCCCCCCGACGTGTCCGACTGTAAACGGCTGTGGTGGCCGAGGAAGGTACAGAAAGGAGTGGATGAGGGGACGGAGGTGTAGTGAAATGCTCCAGAGGTTGAGATGATTTAACCCAACGGATAGCTCACCCAGTGGTCTCACCCAGTGGTCTCACCCAGTGGTGACCCACCTTGTGCCTCTGTTTCCGGTCTCTTTCCCCTCCTCCTCGTCTGTCGTGTCCTTAATCGAGCTGTTGTTGACATGATGAGATGAAACATGAGTTTTGCAGCTCAATGTTTTAAACGATTTCGGTGAGATCCTCCAAAGACGGCCAGAGAATAAAATAAGTTTCGGGAGGATTTCAACGGATTTTGATGTGTTGTTGCGTTGATCTCCTGCTTCTCTTTGTTCCCTTTTCACCTCTGTTTCCACAGCTCGTCTTTCTGTCTGCCCCTCGCTGTCCTCTGTCTTTGTATCAATCACCCCCCCCCCCCCTCCCGAGTCTCTGTCCATCCGTCTGCGCAAACATCCTCTGCTCCGGAGCTTTCCATCCATGTCGGTTCAGAGAAAACAACACGGCGCCGCGTTAAGACGATTAAGCAAAGTTGGACTCATCCTTCTCTCTCCATGCTTCTCCCACCCTCTCCCCCCCCCCGCCGCCCCCCTCCTCCGCTCAGAGTTTAGCGGTGTATCGGGTGGTGTGTGCGAAGTGACAGGCGATGCTTTATGAATGTGTTGAGTCGGGGGCCTCGCCTCCTGAAAATAAGATGAGCTGTATAAATCTGAGAGACGCCACGGGCACGAACAAGCACACGTGCCCACACACTAACATCTAAGGCGGGGCACCTGGGCAGTTCCTGGGCAAGCAAATAGCACCATAAAACCCTTTAGAGTCCCCCCCGCGCTTCAGTGCATAGCCTCATCCCTCTCGGTCTTTCTTTTTATTCCTTCTTTCTCCCTCTCCCTCTCCCTCTCCCTCTCCCTCTCTCTCTCTCTCTCGCTGTTTGTCCTTGAGGGGGGCGAAGAGGGGGCTTGTAATGCCGGCTGGGCCTCACTCAGCTGGCCGGTACACGCGGCGCTGCCCGTCTCCTCCCAAGGCTCCGTGTAAATTCCACGCCAGTGACAATTTACAGCTCACGCCCATCCTCGATGTGACGCACCGAGCAGCGCGCCGAGCGTGTCCCAAAGAGCGGTTAATTTATTGCAGTGTAAAACCCACAGAGCAGGGAGGTGGGTGATGGGGGGGGGGGCCTTGGTCTGAGGCGTGTGGTATGATGTGTTATAAAGCTGTGCCCGCTGTGACATTGTTTTTTATCGTTATCACTGTGTGCTGTGGCTGCAGTGCCACGCGGTGTTTATACATTCCATTTTTCATCTGGTTTAATATAAAAACTTTAGCTATTTAGTGTCCAATAAGATAACGGTTGTGTTACAGCTTAGTGCCAGTGTTTGTCCCGGAGACTTCCGTGTCTTACAGTTTGAACACTGATGGAATATACAAATATATATATGTAAATTTGTTTTTTTCTGAAAGCAAGATCTGCCTCTTAAATCAAATTTACTTTTAAAGTGGGTAGATTTAAATACATGCCACGGTGCGTCAAGAGGGCCTCGACAGCGCTTCCCTTCTTACCTGCTGCAGGAGAATGATGAAGACGATCTCGGTTAATCGCATCATGTCACAACTCGTGAGATTGAACCCAGAGTTCCCGAAAGTTGCCGTCACAGAAAGAGCTGACCAGGACGATCACGACTGACCTTCGGAAATCCATTAGATTTACGTTGTTTTTCACAGGCACTTCTCTTCCCTCCAGTAATTTACATATTTATCAGAGCTGATCGTAGTTTGACATTCTTTCATTTTTTTACCCCCCCCTCCCCTCTTGGCGAGCCGCGAGAGAACCGGCAGTAATGTGCCGTACGTTGCAGTGCGTGACTTTGGCAGGTGAGAAAAATGCTGAGGGGGCACTTTGGTTTGGAAGTGTGGGCAATTTTTTTTGCCGCCTTCACTCGCTCATCGTCGCCCGCCCCTCCCCTGCTCTGCCCCGTCCGCCCAATGGATCCCTCTCTCACTCTGTTTCTCCCCCCCCCCTTCATAATTCTTATACTTTTATTTATTTTTGGCATGTTTTCTTCGCTGCAGTGACAGCAGGACTGTGATGACTCGAAGGTCAAAGAGTTTTGTCATTTGGAGACGTGGCCTGTTTGGCAGAAATAAGGAATTCTTATTGACAAAAAGGTCTTCATGGCCAGGATGTACTTATGTTACCGGTAATATATAAGAATAAAAGAAATATCATGTTATAGTTAACCCGTAAGATAATAACTCGTGTTTACAAGCATGTTTGTCACCATTGCCGAATGTCCACAGGGGATCCACATACGTGTTCTTCCATTGGCACAAACCAAAACACACATATTAAAAATTGATTGGTTGGTTTAGGGACAGCAAAGGATTTATTACCATTTATCAAGCAGAAATGTTGATTGTGCTGATTTCTGCTTCTCAAATGTTGATTCTCTATAAAAGTTAATATGAATTTCAGGCTGTTGATTGAAGCAATTTCAAGGCATCACACCGGGATCTGGGAAATTTTGCTGTGTATATTTGACAAATTTTCTCATAATTTTAAAACACTAAATAATTAATCTACTAATCAAAAATATAATCAATAATTAAAATAATCATTAGTTACCCCTCTGGTGTGCACACACGCAGAATAAAGCAAACCTAATAATACTTCTAGTAAAAATGAAGATGATGAATTGAACTGCAACATGTTCTGCTCATGAATTCAGTGGCAGTTGGTTCTACATTCAGCTCAGCGGGGCGGCCATTCGTTTTTGAAACTCTGCTCTTCCCTCCAACCACACTTCCTAAGAACTGCGTTCAAAGACAGAAAAAAGGAGTTCCAGGAAAGAGCTGCATCATTGCCATTGACTTCGCTGCCTCTCGTTGAAGGCGCCTGCCTTCATTTTCCATTTCACTGGTGTGTTTTGCGTCCTCTCTCTCTCTCGCCTCATCATTCTCGCCCCTCATGGCTGATCTCTACTGACACCCTGAGGTCCAGATGAGCTGCTGCAGCACCGGCCTCAACCGCAACCTGACCTCCACCTTCACGTTATATATATGTCACCCAACCCCCCCCCCTCCAGAGCCATGAGTTCCGCTTACGCAGAGCCGAGCTGAGGCGCCCGGTGCGGTCCTGGTCCCCCGTGGGCCTCGTGGTGCCTGTGGAGTAGCGGCACTTAATTTGGTGCCGCAACGCTCGGCTGCGCGCAGCCAGATACGGGGAGGGATGCAGAGATACGGACGCGTTAAACACAACAAGCACTCTGGGAGCATTTGTGAGAGCCCGGAGGAGACACGGTCGCACACGTGCACGCACCGACGCAACCGCCTGGTACAAACAGTGAATCCATTGTGGGCTCCAGGAGCCTGCTGTAGGAGATTGTTTTGATGAAGCCACGATGGTTGAATTCCCCGACAGTCAGGACCTTGGCAGCCACCTCTGCTTTGGCAACTTTCTGGGTTCTTGGGAGAGAGGCTGCGTTTATGTCATGTTTGTTGTTTTTATCCTTTCCTGATTGCAGCATTGTACTGTAATGTGTGCGCGCGTGTGTGTGTGTGTGTCTGTGTTCTTGTGTCGGGAGCTGCTGCGGTGGCCCGGGGTCGAGGCCAAAGTAGAATTTCTAAGCGATGGGATTTCACAGCCACCGATCACCCAGCGGCCGGCCCGAACCCGCAAGCACTCACATTTACAACAAACGGGCCGCCCGGCTCCGCGGAGACCCCTGAATGGCAAAGCCATTTGTCTCCGTGAAGGGCAGAGGGAGAGAGAAGCGAAATGAAATCAGAAGGAGAGTACTTAAATGGAACAACACTTTTTTTTTTGTTTTACGGCCCCTAACCACTAGAACTACCACACACACACACACACACACACACACACACACAAGCACACACACACACTGCTGTGAGGCTAAATTGGTATTAAGGAGAAGGAAAGGTGCGTAGCCTGTTGCTAATTAGCATTTTCTTTGCTCAGCAGAAGCGGGTGGAAGAATCGATAAGATATTAAGTTTGTGTATAGTGATGAGGCACGCAATCACTTTCATTCATTAGAAACAACAGATTAGAAAAACACCAGGCTAAGAAAACGGCAAATATTTGACCTCTGTGGTTTTTAACTTGGCTGGAGACTGTAGTGTTTAAGCTATGCAGCCGGCCTATTGCACAGTACTTTGTGGAAGAGAACATCCTCCAAATATTTAGAATGCAAAAGATGAACATAACCCCTTAACATTTGGTTCATTCAACTTTTACCCCAGAAAAGGTTTTCTGCAGTTTGCAAATTGTTCACAGCAGGTTTAAAAGAAGAGGAAACACTTGATTTATTGTCTTGCAACGTGACGATTTAAATGCAGATACAGAATATTGATTCGAGGTTAGAACAAAGACCTTTCACTTTGCTTGGAAAAAACCCTCAATTCAGGTTTGACAAGTATGTGGAAAAGGTTCATCATTTGTGCAAAAAGCCACCAATTGACTTTCACAATCCTCAAGTAAAGTCTCCACGTTCCACCTCGTTTGTTCAGCAGATTATAAGAGCAGGGCAGGAGAGAAGTGTCTAGCCAGGAGGCTAGTTCAGCCAGGCCTGAAGACCTCTACCAGGTCACACCTGCCCTCTGTAGATGTATAATTCACTGGGGCCAGTTAAATATTCTGTGCCCAGTGGTTGGTTTGATGTGTGATTCGTGTGTCAAACATCTAATGTCCGGCAGAAATGGACGGCCAGGTCGCCGTGTGTCTTTGCGCAGCCGGTCGGTGGACTATAATGGGCTGCTTATTAGCCCTCATACACTATTATAGCCTAATATTTTAGCTCTAATCAAAACGGCGAAGTTTAAACAACTTTGGCATTAACAGCACGATATCTTTCTCACTTTGTCTTCACTTTTCTTTGCCCTTCCTCTCTTCACCTCTCTCTCTATCACCCTTTCCTCCCTCAGCGAGACATCTGAGTCCCGAGCGGGAGAAGAAGCTCGTCTTCCTTACAGCTCGTGTTCACCCCGGAGAGTCTCCTGCCTCCTTCATTTGTCAAGGTAAAGTTTACACGGGGTGTTTTTCAACATATTTACAGTATTTAGGAAGAGACTTAGGAATTTGAAAGAGACTAAAGTTACATTCACGGAAACAGAATCATGCTGCATGAAGAATAAATGAAACTGAATAGAAACCTGACATATACAAGCAACCCAAGGCTAGTCATTATTTTGTAGTGTCCACTTTGTGTCTAAATGATATAAATCAACTGACTTTTTTGTGACTGTCTCATGTTTTTTTCCTCATAAACACAAACCTGTACATGAATACATGAAATGCATCTCGTTAAATTAAGACATTAAGACAAATGCTTCACCACTAAACGTATCAGAGACATCTGAGTGTTACAGGAATAGATACAATAACCTGTGCCTCTATATTATATCTTAGGAAATACAATCTGAGGATATCATAGGGTTGCTTTGTCTCAAAACTAATAACACAGTTTGAAAAATGAGAACCGTTGGGAAATTGTCTCCTTGTGCAGTACAACAGCTTTAGCAGGATTTAATGACTTTTAGCTCCCTTTCTCCTGCTCACACCGGGGTGAGTGGGCAGCTTTGCTCCTTCTGGGTCCCACTTCCTTGTTTATGGGGGAGCCAGTCTGAGGAGGGGGCGGCTGGTGCGATAAAAGGACGGAGGGCACGGCCTTACCTTTAGCAGGGGTCCCAATCCACTACTTTGAGTCAGTGAGGCAGACTGAAAAAGGTCCATTAATGTTAACGAGGTGTAGAGATGCCGTTTGGGAGGAAGGATCTGATACGGAGAGTGGAGTTAAAGGTCGATCTATCTATCCACCCATCCATCACCCCATCCATCCATCCATCCATGTATTTTTCTAACTTAGCTACCTACTACTTAGTTTGCGTGTAAGTGGATTTCAATGCGTGTGCGTGTGCATCCTCGTGACTCAGATGAGTTGCTTTCCAGGCCGCTGTGTGCTGTCTGTTTTTTCAGCGCCGTCAGCTCCATCCCATTTGTATCGATTCAGGCTTGACGTCTCCCATTCCTCCCCCGATTCTGACGAAGCCCCGTCGCTGTCCTTCCTTCTCCTTTTGTTTCTCAAAACTCAATTAACTGCCAGCCCCTTTTCCTTCCTCCTTTCAAGTCTATTTTCCTCTTTGTGGTTTGTGCGTGTGGATTCATGCATGTGTGTTTGATAGGTGTGATCGACTTCTTGGTAAGCTCGCATCCCGTGGCTCAGATCCTAAGAGATCATGTGATCTTCAAGATTGTCCCCATGCTAAACCCCGACGGAGTCTACCTGGGAAACTACAGGTACACAAACCAATTTTAATTCTTGATTTGAATGCTTTGTTAACTCTAATTCACACATTACGCTGTTTTAAAATCCTACGTGGGATTATATTCTCTTAACTCCATCTTTATGGAGCTTAATGAATTAATATAGCTCACAGCAGTGCATTTGTTAGAAGATAGTATTTAGCTGTAGGGCTGTTCTCTCTGCCAGTATCCCTATACTCTGTTTTTAACACTATTGCTGCAGGCATCTCCCTCCTCCTCTCCTCTGTTTTCATCTCTTCTCTTTCCCTTCTTCATAATTGCCTTTCACTTAATAGGCTCGGCACCAGGAATACTAATGCACACTGAGATAAGGCGTCCTGCTCCCACTGTGTTTGTGAGTGCCATCTGGTGGTCGGGGCTTGTCACGCCCACAAACAGTATTTACAGGGAATCTCAGTTGCTTCGACAGTCTCTATTGTTGACCGTGATGGGTGACTGACTCAAGTGTATTTTCATTAGCCGGCTTTCACATTAAGGGGTGATGAGCAGTGTATTGACAGAGCTCGAGTAGCGATAGCCCCCACCTCACCTATCGCACACGCTCATTTACACACATGCATGCGTCTCTTTCTCACACATTAAATGTGAGATGGATTCATGCAGAGCAAAGAATCGATGTCAGTTAACCTGAGATGAGCATGTTGTTAAATCAGTATTAAACTAGTATCTCCTGTACAATCACCAAGAGCTTAAATGTAGAAGATACACATGGATCTGGAACTCAGAGGGCATCTTTATGTGCAAGCTTTCCTTTTTTGCAGTATATATTGCTGGTAACACCGAACATTAGCAACCCACCTCTATAAAGTACGTGTTATATGCACCTTTCTATGGGATAAGGAGACATGATAAAGATCACAGTGGGAATCGTAGACTTTGGGATATCTTTTCATTCAACCAAAACACATTTTGCTTTTCTGTAAACTGTGTAAACCTGTGTAAACTGGACTAGACCAAATTCAAATTCTCCTATGGATCAGTAAGAATGAAACAAACACTGCGAACGGACAACTTAATTCGAGGTAACGTAAAAGTTAACAAAGTTAAATGTGTTGCGAAGGAACGTAAGCAGTAGGAAGTAGGCATGAACAAAAAGCACCATGACCTTTTGGGGGCTTCATAAACTTACATGTTGTATAATTTTACTTAAAGGTACCCTGCACATTTATTGCAATACCAGTCCACAGTTAACAATAATGTTCCTCAATCAATAGGCTACAGGTGTTTTCTAACTACCGTGCCAGAATGAATGAATGATCCAGAACTTCTGGATGCCTTTGGGTGATTGTATAACTGTATAATTTGTAAAGTCTATGATCTTGATATACACCTCTGTATGTCTGAATGAGTGAATGAGGCACTGATTTACAGTCTTCTTCTTCCTCTCATTTATTAGTGTATTTATTTTCTTATTAATGCGAGCAACTGTCGATCAGGCGAATTAGTGTGTAACTATTGGCCGGACATACAGTATGTCTCAAACCCACTGACACTTTGCTCCATGCTAAGAGGCCGTGGGATCTTTAATCATTGGCAACATCTTATAAAAGGGGACCACATTGTAGTTTCTCAATCAAGCTGCGTGCATGTGTGTTTATACAGGTGTTCTTTGATGGGTTTCGACCTGAATCGCCACTGGCAGGACCCCTCTCCATGGGCCCAGCCCACGCTGCACGCTGTCAAACAACTCATAGTGCAGATGAACCAAGACCCGGTGAGCGAGGAAGCCTGCAAACACGCACATGCACAAGCACAAATGTCCTCCATACGTTGCTCAACATTCCTCCACAACAGTAATGTCTGCTGGTCGTTTTCTGCCTCCGTGCTCTGATCAGCATGTTCCTCCAATCTGTGTTGTGGGTTTTTGCACGTGGGAGCAGCGATGGGCAAGTCAGCACCTCTAGAATGTCAGCTTGACCCTCCTGGCCATTCAGACCGAATTACTATAGCAAGTGTACGCGCTCGGCCTCTGAGTCTACTGTAACTTTTTTGGTCTTTCGGTCAGAGGAACATGTCAGAGGCAGGCCGGGGATTTTTTTTTCTTTCTCTTTGTTCCTGATGTTAATTATAAGCAGAGCGGCAGGTTGGTGGGATTACTGAAGGTCAGCGTGTGTCCTGGGAATACTCTGCCCTTTTGTACACTCCTCTAATCCCGATAAGAGAGGGAGCGGGCTGGGGCGGGATTCAGGGCAGGCCGGAGACGGGGTGAGGCACAGGGCTGGCATCGGGCAGATTAACCTTTTCCCCCCCGGCGCTGACACACTGATCGATAGACTCTGTCATGGCAGGGTGATCCACTCGCGGCTGTCATTCACAGAGGCCTGCGCGCACAATCACACACGTCATCATCCTGAGCAAACAGACACATATGCCGACCAAAAAAAAAAATGCGTCACACAACGAGATTACTGCAATGCACAAACAAACCTCTGCCAAAATGTACGGTGGGTGCAATCACACCATTGTGAAGAGTAGTGGTAACCAACTCGAGGGTTGGGCCCCTCTCGGCGGTCGGGGGATTCATCTGAGGGGTCATGAGATGAATGGGATATGAAAAAAGAAAATTAAATACACAATTATATTCATTTTGTTAACATTTCCTCAATCAATGCTCTTTTCTTGCCTCTAATAAACCTTCAAACGTAAAAGTGACAAGAATTCCTAAGTTGTTTTTGCTTCATCTTTAAAGGCTGCAAGCAAAAATGGGTTGTAGACCACTGAGTCCATGCACTCCAAGCCTGTGCACCGGCATGTGTCCCATACACATTGAATTAATGGCAGTTATTTTTTGCTATAGCCTTATAAAAGCTATTTAATCGCTTGCCACCACAGTGATTTTGAATTTGGCTGAGTAAATACCACCTTCAGTCATCACAGCACTGGGCCATATGTTTCGTAAATCAACTCCTGCTGGTCAGATGGTTGGTCAGATGCCTCCAATTCCACGCCTTCTCCTTGGCTGTTGATACCATCCCACCAGCACTTGTCCTCCTGTACCCCCCCCCCCCCCCCCCTCTTCTCTCATGATTGCCTTTAGTCTTGCAGAGTTCATTTAGGGGATGGGACAACATGTCTTCTTCTGTCTCTCTCTCTCTCTCTCTCTCTCTGACCACAGACAGTTAATCCCATCAGACACACTACTCAAGTCTGGGGCTCCCAGATGCCATTCTCAATGCCAACTCCGCAGCCAGGGGGGCTCCGTGCTGCTGCTGCCCTCCATTCATGCTCATCTCACACAGCGGGCATGGGGTCTAATGAGGCTAGCAGGGTTGGAGAGCTGCGCTGAAGGACTCCATTAACTCCAGATCAGCCGCAGCTACAGTGGCCCATTCACTAAGTGCTAACTCCGGGTGGTCATTTGTTTAAAAACGATGGAACTGAGGGGAAGCTGGAGTGGTGCTGATTCAGTGTAAGGGGCGTCTTACTGCCATTGAATAACCTGATAGCCTCATTATGACGCCAAAGTCACTGGTTATTATTATTTTTTAACCCAACCATGACGCTTACTTTACATTACCGTGAATGTGCTTGGTTCGACCTGTAGATGGTCACGAAGCTTGACAGAAAATCCTGATTACAGCAGATACAGTAGATTTGCATCTCTATGCATGTGGGAATTCGTGCTCGCATGGTTCAAGTGATTACCTACCTCGACTCATTCAGTGTGTTTTCAACTGGGTTGAGACTTAAATATGTGTTTGCTGGCATCTTATGTGTGCTTGTGGAGGCCAGTGGAAATCAAGGTGCAGTGCAAAATGTTTTGTGTCTTTATGTGCACAAATCTGACCTCAAGTCAATCACAGCATCGTCTTTACTACTTCAGATGCCCACGCTTTTCTGCTTGAAGCAGAAAATCCCAAGCGACATTTCCCTCCGTTGCACAGAGGAGCCCATTGGTTTGAAACCCCATCAACCATTCCTGTGACAGACAGACACCCTCGTCGCTCCAAAGTGATTCTCCATCATTGTGAATTCAGCAGCACTTTCTTTCTGCTGGAAAATAGCTTTCTTGTTCTGTTCAGGCCATAACTTCAATAACTGCTTGCGAGTTCCAAGACATTTATATCAAAGCTTGTTGCACAAGCAATCTAAGCTGTGTTGCTATTGGTGGCTGGAAAGCATTTGTGTATGTAAATGCAATGCTCCACTCACTCATGTTTATACAAACTCACTGAAAAAACACTTAAATTTCCATCAGCAAGTTCACTTGGAACGATTATATAAATATATGAATACAGAGTATTTACTGCTGCAGTTTGTCATCAAATATATACAATCGTCACTCCTCACAGCCTGCATAAGGAGGGATAAGAAAATATGATAACAGATATTTCCCCTTCAGAAGAAATCAAATCAAAGCCGACAGGTGGATGAGGAGTTCGCTGAGGGGTGAGTTCAAAGATTGTGCGTCTTTTGCCACTGCTAAACATGCACAGATAAGACAAAAAAGGAACGCCGTGATTCTCAAAGCACCCACAATGGTTGAAATGCATCTTGCACCCTGCATGCAAATAGCACCTTGCTGCTCCTGTGCTACTCGCGCGTATATAAATAAGGTCAGAAGCATTTATTTCTTTGCAAATGAGCCTCAATGCTACAAATACTCCAATTCATGAAGATGAATATATAGAAACACATGCAGCTATCATCGAAATGAATAGTCGTCAGTGAGTTGGTGTTAACGGATGTTCGTTGATAAGGGCTGTCACACCCTGACTTTCCAGTGATCACAGCAGCCACCGTCATGCTCTGATCAAACTCATTTATCCTGGGTTGCAGTGACGGGATCCAATGGCAGTCGTCTGGTGAAAAATAAATGAATAAAGCTCCCCATCGTGGCATTTTTTGAAAATATATGACAAAATAAGCTTATTATGTAAACAAATGTATTTTTCAGTCTCCCTCTGCAAAAGAGGGTGAATTACATGCAACTGCCAAACTGTACGGTCCTGTTTACCGTTTGATATCGTTAACGCAACATCTTTTGTGAATCCAGTCTTGAGGCAGGGCTGATAAAGGTTGAAGGAGATGGAAATTCATGGTCGGCGACCAAAATCCATTTGCAAATTCAACCCTGAAATACTCCACAGCTGAAAATAATTACCAAGTAAGAGTGCACTGAAGAGGGGCTAACAAATACATTTTTAACAATTTTTACATTTGAGTAATGCTTACAAAAATAGGCCTTTGCTATTTTTTGGGCTTTAATATTGATTTAGTTTGACTCCCTGTCATCTGAAGGTCACCAGTGCTGCTTCTCTCACTAATATTCCACCAAAGGCTGAAGTGGATGACACAGACATCACACATTAGTTTGACTTCTATTGTGAATCTTTGGCCGTTGCCATTTGCTTTTCTTGTAACAAGACGTGACTCTAGAGTGCGGAGTACAACCAAACGCTGAATAAGTCATTGTTATGCAAACCAAAATAAACAAACAATTTACCTTAATTTACTGAAAAGTCAATGAGTAAAAGACCCAAAGATGAAAAACTCAACGCGGTGTTAGCGACCTGTCAATCACAAAGGTAGACATGCCCCTAAAGCACCCTTGTCTATTGCACTCTAAACAGGACCATCATAGTAAATGGACATCACGTTTTATTTAATAAGATTTAGAACAAGCGACTGAGACCATAAACTTGACAATGTTTACTGTAAGTAATAAAAAAAGGGTTACCTATTTTTTGCACCATTAGCTGAAATGCAGGTCCACTGCCAGTAAATCAAAGTTCTGTTAGTGCTCCCGGTGGTCCAAGACTTAATGCAGCTTTAAATGGATCTCCACACAGTAAATACACAATGTGAAATGTAAAATAAAGTTGTGATCAAGTCAACATTGTGTGAACGGCAACTAAATATATGCTCATAAACGTCTAGCTTCCTCTCCATCCAAGGTTGCTCAAGCTGTTTTAAAAAATTCCATCATTTCCCATCTGCAGCTGAACATTGGTCAGGAGGGAAAACGACTGGAAGAGTCAGTGATGCAAGGAGCTATAATCTGTTCCCAAGATACCCTGTTGTTTCTTTTGAAAAGAGAGAAAGAAAAAAAGGAAAAGAGGCCGAAGAAACAAATGGACCCATCTCCTTCCTAAAGCGTTGCTTTTCTAGCTCATTTATCAAACGCAGGAGAAGAATCTTGTTTGATTGGCTGATTACCAGAAGCATTCATCACTGGCCGACATGTCCCCACCAATTTCACAATTACATTTTGGATAATTTGCCATCCAAAATGACTATGTTGGCTTGGCTTCTTTTTGACCTTCATAATATTTGAAAATGTATTTCTGAAACCGGTCCGGTTGTAGAACCTAGATGAGTGTTTTTCACCTGAAATCCACCCTAAAGCCCCCTCTTACCCCCCTCTTACTGTCTCATTCAGGTCCAACAGTTACATTTTCATTTCACTGCATGTGTTCTGCATTTTATTTGGATGCGTGAAGCAGGAAATCCATGCGTGTGGTTTTTGTGTCTTTTTCCCTCCCTCGCTGTCTATCTCCGTGTGCGTCGTCAGCCGACCATTTCTGATCCATTTCTGATATCTACGGACAATTTTACAGCCATCATTCCGGCGGCGTTTCAATCCCTCCAACCGGCTCTCTTTTTATTTCCCCCCCCCATTGGAGGCAGAATTGTCCTTTCACAGGAAGAGGCAGATGAAGCTCTCGCGCGGTGTCAATTTGTGTGCCTTTTATCAACTTAGGTTGCAGGCTTCCACCTCTTTTTAGTTTTTTTTTTTACATAACAGTCCAGATAATTTTTTTTTTTTTTCAATCATCCGCTCTCGCTCGGCTTTGCTCTTTTCACACCACCAATTCCTGTCTGTACCCATCACCTTCCTATTTCTTCTCCTTCACCTGTTCTCCTGGCAGGTCTTCCCAACAAATGTGGCAGCTTATACAGGCGCTAACAGGCCCGGCTGCCTGCGACCGTTCTGCCTGATTACAAGTCACCTCTGTGTTCATAAACAACATCCATTTGAGGGCCCAGTACGGAGTGGGGGGCGGGGGGGGGGGGGGGGGGCAATGAGGGGCCGAGACAAACGGATTTAGGGTCTTGTGTCATTTACTCCCGTCTATGAGGCAGGTCATGCCGGCTGCCGTGTCCTGTCACAGCTTCATCATTAGAGGGTCACTGACCGTGTGCCCCAGTGACCCGAATTGGCTTCTCTAACTAATGAAATGTCGGACAGAGTTTTGCAGTGTATGAGTGACATGACAGTTTTTTTTTTCTCTCCAATGTTTGGCTCCGTACGAATGTTTGACCCTCACACGGTGTAACAAATTCACACCTCGGTGGCTCCACAAGAAAAGTACCTTGCTCAAGGGCGCTTCATTGCATCAGAAACGAGAGGTTTATTTCTCCACTTTCACTGCCCAGGTGTTGACTTGAGGTCGGATGGCACGGAAGAGCGGTCAAGCGTTTCATTTCTCCACTTGTTGAAGCGTTTGGGCTTTATTTACCTACCTTTGTGTGAAACATGCAGCTTTAACCTCGGCCTTTTAGCCTGATATCATTTTTTTGTAGTTATAAAAAGCATATTCTTGGCTTTACCAACTCGTGAAACAAGCGTTAGTTAAATAGATGGCAGGATTCATAGGAATCACTTTCATGTTGTTTAATGTGCATTTCATGGCAAGTTGCTTTTCTTCTCTCGAACAAGCAGCAGTTTCCCTTCACCTCAAAAGGTATGCTGCTGATGCAAGGAGCTTTATTCAGGAGCTTGTAATCCTGCTTCAATCAGCTCCTTTTCCTTTCCGTGTAAAGATAAGCTCGGCATTTATGGCCCTCGCCGCACCCCGCTCTAATTAATATGCAGGAGATAAGTACTTGTCTGACAAAATTCATTCATTTGACCTTCTAGGTTTTACACTAAACTGTTTGCGGCCGCTACAAGTTCACCACAAGTTGAGAGTTCCCTGGAGCTTCTGCGGCGAGATGGAGCTTTTGTTTCTCTCTGAGAGGTTTAATTTGGACGGCTCGCTCTCCCTCTCTCTTTCTCTCTCTCTCTCGCTCTCTCAAATTGTCTTCTGACTTTCATTCGGCAGTCTCTGTTTCTTAATTGCCCCTAATTGCTTAATTACAATTTCAAATGAACAATTCTGGAGGTCAGAGCGGGTCGGTAATTGAAGCATCAATCACGGGGTTTGGGCCTTCAGAACCTTCTCAGTTTGATTGACAGTGCATTAACCAAATATTGTAGAAAGCATTGACATTGGGTGATACTGCTGTTACTGCTGCTCCTCTGCTGTCCTTCACATGAAGGAGGAGAAACCTTCTGGGTCGGAATGAGACAAACAGGACGTGGCTTCAGGTCCTTCACTTTCTGTCAGTGCATATTCTCTCTAAATTAAGATAAATAGCGGGATCAGGTGGCTTGGATGCCCTTTGTTCATGTGACGGCGTTTGTGTTTGCCTCTCGGTGGATCGGCACACTGTATTTCATTCACACTGTAATCAACTGCAATTTGGCAATAGGCACGTAATTCCAACAATGGGACATTCTTTAGCATACAATTATATTTTGGACAAGTGTCTAATTCGGCGCTGCTAAACACCTCGTGCACAAAGCCAGAAACTTTCTGAATAAACAAATTGTCTAAAACAATAATAGTTGTGTAATTTTTAATCACCTTACTGATGTATCGAGCCCCTATAATTCACATTGAAAATAACATTTTCAATGTGAATTAAAGAGGAACTTACAGATATTCTCATTCATTCTACGATACAAAGGCATCTATCTGCCACTTAACCTCTTCTATAAGCGATCTGCCACTTTTCATCACCGCCCCTCCCTCCAATCCATCCATCTCTATCTCCTCCTCCTTGTATTCCTCTACCTCCTTCCAGCCTCCATGCCCTCCGCGGGGGGGGGGCACGTGATTATTAGGCTGGTTTCCCTTGTCTAGACCCTGGCTGGTTGGAACTCCTTCCACCCTCCCTCCTCCTCCGGGTGGAGCTGGATCTACCTCTCTCACCACCACCTCCCTCCCACCTCTCTCTTTTCATCCGCTGTCTAACACTCCCTTTAATGTCCCTTCATGTTTTTCTCCAACTGTCTGTTGCTCAGTTGACTGCATTTAGCTTTTTTTCCTCTCCCTTTTGCTCTTTTTTGTAAATTTTTTTATTTTTTATTATTGTTGTTTCTACCTCCCTCCTCCCTCACACCGTCCTCCTCCACCTTCTCCTGCTTCTGCTTCTCTCCTCTGGGGCTACATCCATCAGGTTGTCGGGGGCTGCTAGCGGCCGACTCCCAGCCACCATATTTCACCGGCAGGCAGGCAAGCAGCTGACAGCACAGCACCGGCAGGAAATTGCTTTGGCTGTGAGCGGAATTTCAAACACAGGCGCACTGCATCGCCCGGGCCGCCCAAGCGCCGCTTCCATGTCTCTCTCTCTCTCTCCCTCTCTCCCTCCCTCTCCCCCTCCCCTGTCAATCTCTCCTCTCCTCCCGACACACATCTCTATGTCTCCCTGCATCTCTCTTTCTCTCTTTTTTGCTCTCTCTTATGTACTCATTTCCTCTGGCGTCGCACCTCCGTCTCTATATGTTTCTCCGTTTGCGCTTCCCTGCTCCTCTGCCTCCCTCGCACAAAGTCACAAACCCATATGCATCGGGGGGGGTTCTCTCCCTTTTGTCTTTTCTCCGTCTTTGCCGTTCCCTCTCGTTTTGCATCCTCTCCTTTCTTCCCTCGCTCTCTTCTTTCACGACCCACGGGGGAACAAGGTGTGGTGGTGAATGTGTAATGAGCGGAGCGAGGGGGGGGGGGGACGGGAGGGATGGCGATAAAGAAGAGGATAAAACCGGGAGAGGCGGAGTGGAGTGATAAGATAGAGAGGATGAATGCTAGATGGTGCTGCTCCAGAGGTAAGGGTCAGAAGGTGTGTGGATATGTGTGTGTGTGTGTGTGTGTGTTTGGGGGGGGGGGGGGGGGGGGGGGGGGCTTGTATTTCTGCCCTTGTCACAACCAGTTTAAGACCATTGGATGGAAGAGAGTTTTTTGCCAAGTGAGGTCGTTTTAGCTCGTCTTGAGATCCCGGCTTCAGGTCCAATGTTTAGGGTTTGGAATTGGAGTTAAGATGATGCACCGGCAGTTAAATCAAATTATTCAGATTAATCAATATCATATTCAAATACAAGTGGGATGAAAAAAAGAGTAAGAGTATTTTCACACTGCACAATAACATAGATAGTGCTATAAAGTATGTAATACTGTGCATATTCTGGGTGCAAAGGGAAATAATGTGTGAAATGATGCAATGCACACAAAGGTTGAAGCTTCTGCCAATTGAAATAATAATTTCCAGGGTGCCGTCTCACTGCCATCCTCAATTTGGTTAAATTATTTCCAGCCGTCTGCAGTTTCACTATTTTTCATGCGCGGCGTATTGAGGAGTAACAATGTCAGATCCATCAAACTGAGACTTTTATAAGCATGGAATACCTGCAGTGGGATCTTCAGTCATACACGACTGTCAGAAGTAACTGTGGGAATTTGAAGATAAATCAAATATGTGGAAGCTCCCTATTTGTGTCACAAGATAAATATATATGTGTTTGTGTGCGTGCATGTGTGTGTATTGAAGTGATAAAACAGCTGAGAGGGACCAATCTTATCGAATCCATTTTACACATTGTATGCTGGTGGGAAAATACATGACACACCCAATATGAAGTCAATATTAACCTGATGAATAAGTATGGAGAAGTGATGCCCGGTGGACGGACTGGTTTGGATCCGCTAACCTGCGTTTCTGTGTCCCCCCTGTTCTCTCTGCTCTGTCCCCTCCACCATCAGAGAGTCAGTTTGGAGTTCTACATCGATGTCCACGCCCACTCCACCATGCTGAATGGCTTCATGTACGGCAACGTGTTCGAGGACGAAGAGCGCGTCCAGAGACAGGCCGTCTTCCCCAGACTGCTGTGCCAAAATGCACCAGACTTCTCATTTGTAAGTCACACAAAAAGTAGAATTTTACCCAGCTTCTATCCCGGGGATCGCTCGGAAAGAGAACACATTTGCTCCAAATTTGCTCCATCTCCCAAACTACTGGTGAGGTGGTGTTCAGCGAGGCATTTAATTGCCAACTGTTGCACTCTGAGTGGAACGCGCTTGAAGACCTTGGTTGCACTGGGCCTCTTAGGGGAGTAAATGCATAACGGCACGGATTAGAGGTGAGGTGTTCATTAAAAATATGATACATCGCGTTAGCAGTACCCATGCGCACAGCCAACACATGTGATGTGTAAACATATACACGCGCTCACACAGGGCGTGTTGCATGATTTATGTGTGCAGAAGAAAGGAGCACATTCCAGCTGTGCACAAAGATTCTCACCCCGACCGCTTCAGAGAGGAGCTGAGGAGACTGTAGGAGAAGAGAGGGTTCAACTTCAGCAGCTCTGACAGTTCCGTTCAATTAATCAGTAACAGAAGTATCAAAGAGCACACACCCATGATGCCAGAAGTCCTTGAGGAGCAAAAATATGAGAATCTACACCGTCCCAATGAAAATATGGCACAAAGTAAGCTGTGGATTATCAATGTACTGTACATATAGTGTAACTAGTGTCCCAACACAGTAACACAGCATGAATGTTACTTGATCCCACGTGTATACAGAACCGTTTCCCTGACGCGTTACCATTAATATTAATGTGCCTGTGTACTGCATGTGTGTGCACAACACAAATAGCAAGCCCAGTGAAGATTATGACGAAGCGCCGAACGGGACTGTGAAAGTAGGCCGGGATGTGTTGTATGAGCAGTGCGGGTGTTGGAGCTAAAGCCCCCGGTTAGTTGTCTCAAACCGGGTTCATCTGGACGAGACTGAGTGCCGTGTGGAGGCTGTTGGAAATGAATGGAGGAGAGAAGGACAGAACGGAGCATGTTGGGAAAAAAAACATCCGTCCACTGACTGTGACGCCCCTCCACACTGCCATAGGTGTGGAGGGGCGTCACCTTAATTAAATTGTTTCACGCGGGGGCATTATCCACAAAGCCATTCTGCCTCAGCCCGGTTTCACTCGTCACTGACCTTCGTTTTCGCAGTGACGGTGACATTTCATAGCGTCCACTTACACACATCATAAAGAATAACCTTTATTGCCCATTGAGGCACGTTGGCAACCTGGACACAAAGGAAAGCCAGAGAGGCGGATGTTCACCCACACATGCATTGAAATGTCACTGATTGTCCGTGTCTATATGGGATGCAGGAACGGAGGATGAGTAAAACGCTATTTCAGGAGAATCTCTCTCTCTCTCTCTCTCTCTCTCTCTCTCTTCCCCTCCCTCTCTGTATAGCTTGTGTGACAGCTGGCCCAGGGGTTATCTCCCTCACTGTGCTTTTGTCCCTCTGCCCATTCAGCACTACCTAAAACCCAGTGCAGCAGCAGCAGCACAACACAATCATGGCAAAGTCCCACTGGTGGCCGCCGAGTCTGCATTTCAGCAAAGGCAACTCTCACTGCAGCAGAGCAGAGCGGAGTGACAGTGAATGGAAACTTTTCCACACTCCTCCCAAGACAACATCTTATAGTACAGCTGACACGCTGAAACCAAAAATAGACTGGAGCTTCTTTTTTGTCGCCGTTTACAGCTTTCTAAAGACTTTTAATGAAGTCAAATCTGTTCAGATGAGCCTCTGTGCCCTTCATGATTTGTCCTGGGCTCTCCAGAGGCAACTCAAGCTACTGAGGAAAGAAGAGTGATGGATCTTAATACATTTTTACTGATGAGAGATGTGTTCTTCTCTTTTCCTTTAATCACCAGGGAAAAATTAGGCAAATTATATTGCGAGTTGAAAATTTGTTGTGTAATTGGTTTTCGGTGCAGATACAAACAAATGGATCTACTATTTCCTAAATGCAGGAAAGATGCGTTCTGACACAAAGACTGTGTCGTCCTTCTACCCTCTAGTCCAACACAATGTCTCAGATGTGGGTGGTCTTCTTTGTCCCTCCCTTTAGTCCAACACCTCCTTTAACCGGGACATGGTGAAGGCCGGTACCGGTAGAAGGTTCCTCGGTGGTCTCCTCGATGACACGTCCTACTGCTACACTCTGGAGGTGTCCTTCTACAGCTACATGGCGGCCGGCAGCACCGCTCCTGTGCCGTACACTGAGGAGACGTGTATCCTTCATCTTTTATGGTCTGTGGGAGTTTGATTGTATCTTTGTGTGTGTGTGTGTTTGTCTCTCGTTGACCTCTCTCCCTGTTTCACACACACACACACACACGTTGTTGTTGCACTTGGCGTCTCCCTCTGAAATCCAGCCACTTGATCTTGTAATCATTCGAGTCATTATCGTAATATTCAACACCCTGGTGGTGAGTTGGTGTGTCCGTATGTGTGCCAGGTCGCTCGCACATGTTGCTCTTTTGTTGCCTCTTGTTGCGACAGATGTGCAGTGACAGAATACGGATGTGATAGCTGTGTCTATTGATTTTATTTACAAAGGAGAGAGGAGAAAGGGGCTTGTGCTGGAATACGCAATGCTGTACGTGTGTGTGTGTTTGCATTAAACAATGGAACAAACGGGATTCCTGCCTGCTACAATCATGCATGCACATGGAGCACACACATTACATTCGTCACGGGAGCCGAAGGTCATAGGTGCGTTAATGGAGCCAGATGGGGAGGAGGTTTTCCCTTCAGCTGACCTTCTCAGTGCTGAATAGCTCCTGAGAGCCGGCCGATAGCGGGCCGATCGTACCGATAGGGTGAGTGAGAAGAGGGAGGAAGAGAGATGCGGAGAGAGCGATAAGTACCCTACGTATGAAAAGTGTGTGCTCCTCTGCAGGTGGAATAGAGGGTGGACATAGACGTAGCCTTAGTGCCCTCTAGTGCTAAGATCTGGCACATGCTGTCACACCACGCCCACATGGAAAGTTAGTAAGATTCGGGTGAAAACTGACGAATAGTTCCGTATTTGTGATACAGAGTCACTCGTATTGGGATGTGGTGTGGTCTCCTCTCGCTTCGCACACAAACATCTCAGCTCTTCGCATTGCATTCGCGAGGCCCAAATCCCAACTGGAATGCAGGCGTGTGCATGCGCACGCGGTACAGCCACAGAACAAATACTTGGCCGTGCGTTTAGGAGACCTACGTCTGCCAGTTGTGATAAACAAATTCCCCAGTGTTTTTATTTGCGTCGGATGCACTGGGTTCAGAGCAGGATAATAATACAGGGGGAGCCAGGTCTGAGCCTCAGTTTGTGTGTGTGTGTGTGTGTGTGTACAGAGGGGACTTTTCATCTGAAGGTCAAATTGGAAGGAAACTCAGCCCTTTGTGGGAGGACTTGCTTGATCTTTTTTGTTTTCCCGGTGTGTGTGTGTGTGTGCATGGGGTTGGCTGCCTGTGTGTGTGTGGGGGGGGGGGGCTATGTACGGGGAGAGGGGATTCACAGGGTGGGAAAGGCGGCACAGGGACCTGGTGTAGAGTGAAGATTGGGGTCAGGCAGGTTGAAGGAACCGACCATGTCGCTTTATACGCCCCGGCAGTCAGCTCGATGAAGCGCGCAAATCATCAACAGAGACCTTTAGCATCTCAACGCCCCCACACCTTTCTCACCTGACGCACACAAACATGCACACACACACACACACACACACACACACACACACGCACACACAGTCCTTTAAACTAATACATGACAAATGAGTAATAACCTCCGCCCTAACTCTTACCTCCTTCAAAACACGCCACTCTTGCCCTTTAATCTTTCCTGCCTCTGCTTCTCCACTGCTGTGACTTGTAGCCACCAAAATTGAAAGTGTAACCTTTCTCACAGTGGAGACTTTGGTCACAGTTTGAAGTTGCAGGGAAAAGAAGAGAAGGCGTAGTGTGTGTCCGTATTTGTGTTCTGGTATCTCCGTTTTCATGTTCTCCTCTCTCCTTCATCTGTCCTTTCCTCTCATCTCGACAGCTCATTATATCATTTAGTCAAGCTGAGAATTGTCTTCTCCGAAACAGCAGGGACGACCTTCATCGCGAGTCGGTCTTCTCTTTGTCCTCTAATCATTAATATGTGTGTGTGTGTGTGTGTGTGTGTGTACCTTCTCTCATGTATGCTACTCTTTTTTTATTCATACGTACTGCACTTAGCTTTAGTCTCACTGACGTCCCACGTCTCGAAAATAATCTTAAACATTTTGGCCTGTCATTTGTGTCCAGGTTTAGATATTTTCAGAGAGCCGCTGGGTTTTGTGATGGAACTTCCAGTTCAGAAGTGGTTCAAATGTTAAAAAGTGTGGGACTTCACTCCGAAACTCAGCTTGATGCTTTTTGATATTTTCTTTGCAGGTGTGTGTGGGTGTGGATGCTTTTTTTTTTACGTATTGTAGGGAGACAGAATTCTCTCTGACTTTGAAGAATTATTCAAAAACATTCAACATCCATTACGCCTTCCCTGAGAAATGTGGCTCTTGTTTTGTTTGTTGCCTTTTTTCTGACAGAATGCAGATTTTCAAACTTCTCTCAGAGAAGAAAACTACCTTTTCTCTCTACTTTGACTTTCTGCTTTTTGGGGGGGGGTCTTATTGAAGATGTTCACTCAAATGTCCACATCTACTCTCAGGAGTGTTAATGTTGAGTTATCCAGCAATATTGCGTGGTGTTGGCTAAAACACGCACACTTCGTTTTAACGTGCACCTCGACAACAGTGGGTCCATGAAAACCAGAATCGCAAGTGGAACATAGTGCGCATCAGTGAACCTGACACCCAATGGGCATATTGTGAAGTATGCAAATGATGTGCCTCGGAGGCAAATGTGCTTCAGCACCACGCGTCATACACGTCATGTCACAGAGACGCGCCGGCAAGCGAGGACCCGGACACATTTAAAAACACAGTTGATTGCACAGTTATTGCTGCAACGCTATGCACAGATGAACAGGCGCACACATCAGTCGTTGGTGTTCACGGAGGGTCTGAGAAAGTCCTTTTGTGTAGAAAATGTAACTGCGTTCGGAGCTGAAACTCTGAAGCGTTTAACGGTTGCATGACTGAAAGAGGTTGAAGTGGCGGTTAAAATAGAAACGCTGAGAGACTTCTAACTTTTGCTCTCTGAGATGACATAAAATCATCAAGTGCGATAGAGTGTGAACGCTGAAAATAGAGGAACTCCCCCATTACGCCATAAGAGACTTAAGCAGTGGAATTGTCTGTTGAAGTAAAAGTTGTTGAAGTGACAAGCAGTGGGTAAGAGATGATTGGATTGTAACATTATCAAAATGATAGACCTTCAGGATAACGACGGGAATAAGGAAGAACATGAAGAGAGGCTTGGAGTCACACACCACAGGTACCACAATGAGACAGGTGTGTGTGATGCTATGAACATGTTGTTTAAACCTGTGCAGACAAAGCATAGCCTTTTCCTAACAATACATGAGTGCAACTCTCGTAAAGACACCGTAATAATTGGAATATAAAAATAGTTTCCATATTTTCTGTTTTCAGAGCAGCACAATGTAGATCAGAAGAATCTATTCCTGCAACTGCACACTGTAAGAAAACAAAAGCTTTTCTTGCACCCATTTCATTTTACGACTCAAGTTTCAGAGCTCGTCCCATCGGCAATGACACCTCCTCCTGTCGGGGATTTAAATCAACCCTTGTTTGTCCCTTTGGGCAACGGGACGTGAGGTCTTTCAGTCTGCGTAATTTCTATTGGGGACAAAAATGTCCCTTTCGGAATTGCTGTTGTTGACTGGGTTCTTAATTAGCATTGGTAATTAGTTCTCTGCGTGTCAGCGCAGTGACAGGACCTGTCAGCGGGGTCGTATTGATGGCTTGAACGTCCCCTGCGTTGTCTGCCTTTTAACTCCCGTCCGATCTGGACAGCATTCCCCGCGCGTCTTGTCCATTTTACCTCTGGGCGGCCTTGTTGTTTGATCGTCACCTTGTCTGTCCGTCCTGCAGGACTAGGCACGGGGGACACGGCGGTGAAAGCCGCTAAATGGCTCGCTGACAGTAAACAGCTGCAGTAAACAAGTCGTGTCCCAATCGCCTTTGTCTCACAAATCTCATCAGTGCCTAAGCTGGCGCGCCCTTGAGCCATGACAATGACCTGCTATTGATTAGACAAGACGGTTATGTATACCGAGATGTTAAAGAATACGCCCCACGCACCTCAGGGACAGGCAGGCAAGATGCTGGCACACATACACCTCTTTGACCTTTCTGCAGCTGGATAATGACAACACACTGATAATGATAATGTTGATGAGTTAGAAGAAATAATATCAGCATCATTAGTGCACGCGTCGATTCAGAAGCGGTTGCGTAGTTCTGAACTAAAGCGGGTGCAGTTTTTGTGAGTATTTCCTCCTTCATCCACCTCTGTAGTCCAAGCTGCAGCCCACCAACTGTTTCCTGGCCCTCGCACACATCGCTCGCTGCTGCTGCAGCAGAAAACTTGTTCCAAACCGTACGGTTTTTTCCCCGGCAGCGAGCCAGACAGCAGTCAGGGCATCCTCCGCGTCTCCGACCGTTCGCCACAGAGAGGAGGTTCTCCTTCAGAAGCCGACCGTCCATCACAAAACCTCCTGCACTAGACGGTGAGTCGTGACAAGCCAAGCTGAGAGGCCATCTGCGCGCTGTGGGGTCCGGGAGATATTTTTGTCGCTGAGCGCGTCCGGCCGAGGAGCTCAGGACCGGCACCGAGCTGTGGTGATGGAAGAGAATGGAGGAAAAACACCAAAACTTTCCTCAGGTCAAAACGTCAAGGATACAGGGAGAGAGGGGGCGGGGTGGGTTTTGGTACGCAGGTATATTTGAGTGTGAGTTAATGTCCTTGAAGAAGAACATTTTTGAGTGTATGTCAGGTCTTAGCAACTAGATTAATAACAACCTACATTCATGCAGCTCTTGAAATAGGAATGTGTTTCCTGTGTGACGGTCGGTCAGTTGGCCCACCAGAAATATTGCAACGATTGATGAGAAATGTTGTACAGACATTCATAGCTCCCGATGAATAAATCCTAATGACTTTAATGAGACTCTGATTTATCCTATGGCGACACCAGCATGTCAAATGTTTCACTTACGCTGTGACATTTCAATATCTAATGGGGGAAATGCCATGACATTTTCTCCACACATTCATGTCCCCCTCAGGATAAACTATAACAACTTTGTTAATCACTTAACTTTCCATCTAGCATCATCATCAGGTAAAGAGCTTATTATGTCAAATACTTTGACTGCATGAAGAAAGACATTCCCAACATCCCCAGCTGACCTTCGTGTATATTGATCATTTAACACGCAAAACTGAGATAATTACCATGGTAAACATTATACCTGCTAAACATCAGCAGGTTAGCGTTGTCTTTGTGAGATAACTTGCCTTTTCCATTAAGCTCAAGACACAGCCGCCCTGCTAGCATGGCTCCCTGTTGTTTAAAACTATTATGCATTCAAATTAGCACGAAAGTGAGACTCAGAACGACATAAACTTAGTTTCTGTCTTTCTTTCTGTCTGCTGTTCTGAGACAACCTCTGTGGTCCATCCACACGCACGCACACACTCTCCCACAGCCAGCCTGGCTGGATGCAGGACTCACAGACAGCCAGATGGGGTGTGAATATAGACTCTGGAGTCGTGTGGAGAGCTCCGCCATCAGCCTGCAGGGTGAAGGATGAAGTCCTGTGCATGCTCCCAAACATACGCGGGATCACACCCTCAAAGGCTGAGTTGGTAGACTTTACTGAAGGGCGTGCCTGCGTATTCACAGGTGTGCCAGTGTACGCTTGTGTGCGTGAGTGCATATCCATGTTTTGCCTGAGGTACGGCAAACTAAAAAGCCAGTTCAAACCAAGGATGGATGGGTTCAAATTAAACAGGCTTTAAACAATAGCTTCTCATTTTTATAGCAACGAGGTCATTACAAGAAATTGAAAAATGTAAAAAAAAAATGACCAGATCTCCATCTTTTTATTTCTGTAGGACAGTTGTTTCAATCACGTTTGTGACAGATAAATAGTCCAGCAAATGACAGGTCGTATCTGAGTATCAACAAGGTAATGTCAGGGGAGAGTGACAGATTATGTCTTTGTGTTGCTCCATCATGTTGCAGCCTGGTGACGAATGAAGGCAGCCACACACCAATGCCCCGAAGTAGGGAACAAACTTTAATGTTATTGTTTGTTTTGTGTTGTGATCCATATGAACGGTAGCAATGTGCATTCTGTAGACATGGTGGGTTATGGAATACGGTAAATGGAAAAATGTCTGAAAGGGTGCAGCGGTAGATTGGCAGCTCATATTGATGTTGTTTTTCCCAGAGACCACGTGGAATTTATTTCTATTAGCAACATCGTTCTTACTCATCTCTATTTACTATATCTTCGGTCCCGGTGATTGGGAACATTGCTGGCGTTCAGTGGTTCTCTACTTCTTTATTGTGTGGACCTGATTGTCATCATTACTTTCTCCGAAAGCTTAATGACCACAGGCTTACCAACAGCACTCATAGAGGCTCAGCTGTTTTATTAAAGCAGTGAAGTTATTGATATTGTCCCTAATGTAGTGAGGGTCAATTGGGCTGAGGGATGATGTGTGCACTCACCTCTGAATATAAATAAGGCCTCATTGTATAAGTAATTGCTGGTGCGTGATTCATGCCAGCATCATGCATTTGGCTGACGCGAGTGAAATACATTTTGATTTAGCCTCACTTAATGCGGACTGCAATGTTTTGTACCTTGAGGATTTACACTGCTCATTTGATCAGTCGCTCCTGTCTACTTATGTACTGTGACCGAGTATGGTGGTAATGTTTCAAAGGCTTTTATGTTATTTCTTATTAATTATTTGTTGTTAATTGTATGTAAACATGAAGTGATTTGAAGGTGTCATGTTAGAAATCATAGATGCCTGAAATATTACTGGGCCCTTAATTTACTTGATCTGTGGGTCTTGAACTGTATGTCGCTCTTTTTTTTAAGCAAGCTATCAACATATAATTTACTTTTTATTACCATAAAATTGTAAACCTTAATACTTACTATACCATCATTACTATGGAGTCATAGACACCTGATTCATTTAAGTAGTTACTCTCTTTTAGCTGTGTTTTTTGGACTCTCCCAACTCCTGTAACTAAATTACTAACTTTGTCGGTCAGCTTTTTAGGAAAACACAGCTGCTTCTTAGGAGTCAAAGAACAATAAAGTCATGGGCCCGGAAACCAAAACAATGAGCTAAAAGAAGTTAAAACACTTCTGTTGAATGGCGAGATGCTGCAGAGCCGGGTAATAAGTTCTCCACCTCACCACCAAATCTCCCTTTGGGAACCACTGCACCAGGGTTTTGAGCAAACGTTACCTGAGACGATTAGCCTTAACGCCGTGTCCTCAGACACCAAACTGGGCAGGAATGTCGCTCGAACCTTCCTGGATTACTACAAACTCAACAACCACATTAAAGACAACAGACCGATTCATATTCACAGGTAAGCAGTGCGGCTTTATGCATAACAAAATGTGAATATAAACTAATTACCTGAATACAATCTTAATGTGACAGGTTGTTCAAACTCAACTGAATGTACTTTTGTTTTCGCTGTTTACGGGACTTTGACCTGCCGGTTACTCCCGTTGCTGTGTGTTTGTCTCCAGCTCGGAGGTGACAGGCGACAGCGACAGGAAGGGAAACGGCGTTGGCAGAGGGGCGGGAGACAGAGAGACGGAGAGGAGCCGGGACGTCAGGCCCTAGACAATGAGACCGAAGGACAGACGGACACAGACTGAGCATGTATAAAACGCAGCGCACCGTAGCACGAGGATCCTTCACACTTCATTGCCTTTGGAAGCTCCTCATCTCGCTGGCTATAAAGACTTTTTTTCACAGATTTGTGACACTGGGATGACTGGTACTTGCAGGGGCTAAAATCAGAACAAGCATCCTGTCGGGTTATTTAATGGCTGTAAAACGTGGATTATTAAAGGCCAGGGGAGGAACATAATGGTTCCCCATGTGAAGTCCATCTGTGGCCTTCATTCGGCAGCTCTTTTTTTGTTTTCTAGCCACCTAAAACAAGGCATGTTTCCCTGCTGTTATCTTATTTCCTGAATATGGTGTCATGCTGTTATCTCATTAAATACTTACCCCTTTATCAATACTGCCAACATGGATGACTGCTTTTACATAAGTGGAATCTTCAATATCTCCATTCAGCTGTAGTTTTGCATCTATACAACTCTCTGTGCTCATGTAGCTGTTTGTCGACGAAGCATCTCTGATTATTATTTAGCTACAGCTTTTTAAAATGCAGGGCACTGTGTTACACATTTGGGACGAGATTACCATGTTTGAAAGGCGGAGGCAGACAGCGATGTCAAACGAGCGCGTGCGTGCGCGCGCGCGCGACGAGAGGGCGCTTTTGATTTGTCACTCCTTGATCACATGACCGCACATCCGCTCCGTCCGTCTGCCATGGCAACCTTCGAAACCAAACTTCGAAAAGTTTGTCTTGAATGGCTTCAGCGAGGAAGAGGAGGCTTCCCGCCGCCGCGGTGCGGCCCGCGTCTCTCAGGTGTACCGTACACCTGCACATCCGGGCAGTTAAGTGCATCATTACGCTGCGCCTTTGTGGCAAATCTCACATTTGACGCAACGTCAGTTAACGCGAGCTAGCTAGCGAGCTCACGCTCCTTTCCGTCTCCTTAGTGATCCTCGAGGAACGTTAGCCGATGACGTCAGCTAAGGATTGTGACTTAAATGTTACGTTTTGTAACGGCTGTGGCGTTAGATAAGAGTTTTACGTTATAATATTACTGTTGTCATTTGACTTAAATGAAGAACGTTCGCCTGATGTGGAAACTTAATTGCACACTTGTGCTTTTTATATCAGATATGTAAACTAACTTTAGATACATTTTAAACTTCAAAGAGATTTGAAATGATGCTCATTTTAAAAATGTGTAATTTTGTATTATTATTTTGTTTATCCTGCAAAGGGAAACTCTGTTTGATGGAACACTGACGGGAATCAGCCAGTAAAGGATGCTTACAAAACCAACACAATGTTGTTCAGCGACTGCAGTCCCTTCATCACACTGTTTGCGTGCAGGTCACATGTCCAGGAGTGCTGCTGACTAACAACAGCGATGTGTACCTCAGTGTGTGTGTGATGGGCCAGTACAGGAAGACCCCCCGTCTGCCCCCTGTGTTCCCTTTACTCTTCAACCATAACATGTGTTTCGTCAAGGTGAGGATGAAAAATGAGCTTGAGTCACAGGCGATGAAGTAGATCGACTGTGTGTCTGCGGAGATTGTTTTACAGGAATAGTGCATGTTTCTCCGAAAATACAATATGTTGAATCCTATCAATGCATATTTATTGTACTTTTCATTACAAAAGAGCAAGGTTCAAGTCTGCGTCTTAGAAGTATTTTTTTCCTCATTTCGTCATTGCATTTGAACTTGCAGCCCTCCAATCTGAACATCCGGGGCTCGTCCTCTGATAGAAAAGGCCATCGTTCCCCCTGGGAGTCGTGTTAGATACGGGGCTGTTTGTTGCTTAAGTATCGATCTGCTTTGGCTGCACTCTGTTTTACCAGACTTTCCCTGGCGTTGTTGACCCTGCTGACGTAGCCGACCTCCTGGAAGGTAAACGGACTTTTGGGATTTGCTTCCTGGTCTCTCTAAGCCCTGAATCCTCTGCCGTGCAAGCTTATAAGCTATCAGCCGTGATACTGATCATTAGCTCGCTGTCTCTTTGTGCTTTCCTTCCTCTCAGCTGACACAACATCTTTTGAGCTGATTCAGTTGGTGCCTCCAGGTATGCTTTCTGATTATGCCATATGGGCATATTTATTACTCGGCAAAACACAGCATCTCTAACATGGCTCGTGTGTGTGTGTGTGTTTCTGTTTACTCTCTGTGTGGATTTTAGAGGGTGACGTCCTAGCCACGATGAAGGACAGCAGCAGAGATTTCCTGTACCCTGGTCCCAGAACGAGTCCTGGAGAAGGAGCCGAAGAGCGAGAGATACTGATGAGGAGATCATCCTCCTTCCCTGTGGGCTGATTTCCATCTCTTCATTTGATTTATTTCTTAAACGTCATTAAACACCCGCGCCCATGAAAGAGTCAACAAAGGAGTAATAAAGTTACTTTTTAAGTGTAAGCAATAAGACACACGTTTAGCTTTTACAAGCAGATCTTAATCGACTACGTTAGATATTATTATGCGTTATGTGTATTCAGTGAAGGAATGGCAAATATATCTTTAACCCTACTTCTACCACATTATACACACAGTTTGCTCACTGGTGAGTAAAATGTTTGTCCTTAATTAAATTGTCAATGAATAGCTTTTTTTTTTAAATGTTCAATTTGGAGTAACGTTGAAGGGTCTGTACTTTTATTTATGTATTTTTCTGTTACTTTGAGCAGTTCAGCATGTACATTACATGAGCGACTGCACACTGCTCTTAGTCAATGCAGGTCTGTCTGTGGACGCGTTAAAGCGTTGTTCTCGTGTCACAGTGACATCGTGATCCAGCTTGATTGGCACCTAAGTTCCGCGTGTCATTCATAGACTGGAGGAGCTTTTTGCTCTCTTTGGTCTCCTCCTAAACTCTGTGGCTGACTCGTCAGTGCACACGTCTGGACTGTAGTAAGATGACCAACTCAAAAGCACAGGAGAAGTCATTTCCCCGGGAACACAGTGTTTTTCCATATGGAGCATCCGACAGAAGCTCTCCTTTCACTCTGCAGCTTGCCATTTTGTCATTTCCCCCCTCTTCTTATATCATGTCTTTCTCTCCCTACCTCCTGCAGTTGGCTTTGTTATCCTCCCCCTTGTTTTGCTAGGCACTAACTGGCATATTTAAATGGCTTCACCATTGCTTTTATGTGTTTCTGTCTGAGGCCTACCCACCAATTTAGACGTCTCTTTCCAAATGCCATATTATTTAAACATCAATGGGGCCTTTCTCTTTTCTGCTGTTTGTTTTTCTCCAGTCAGGCAAAGATTGAAGAATTTGTGAGTGTAAATTGGTGTTCCAAGCAGTGCTGTTATCCGTCTGTTTGTCGGCTAAAGGTGTTGTCTTTGTACTTGTGGTCTTTCTCCCTCCAGGGAATCTCCCCCAAAGTGGAGTTTGCCACGACATCAGACATAGAAGAGATTGAGAGGAGAGACGGCTTGCCTGCCTCACCTGTAAGTGTGTCTTCTTATTGCATCTCGTATATCTTTACCTACTCACCCCTCACACACACACACACACACACGCGTGACACAGTCACACACAGTTTTTCAAATTGGTTGGAGCTTTGGACTGCTTCTGGTTTGTCTGTTGTTGATTTGTAAAACACTTTAGATTAGGGTTATCACATGTATGGCTCTTCCAACCTGCTTTGTTTGAAATGTAAACATTAAAAACCCATCAAAGTGCCACTCGTACGTCGAGCACAATGTGTGTGTCGATCAGCCTGAATTACCGCTCAAAATGTCTTGAATTTGAACACATCACAGCTTCGTACTGTGCATTCATGTTTTGACCAAAGCTAGAATACTAAAGATTTATCTCAAGAGAGCTCTGATGAGTGCTATCGCTCGCCATCACATTTTTCTGTTCCTACCATGCACCTTCTATTGTTGCCATGGCTACTGCATCTATCTATCCACACTGGCGGCGTTTCAAGGGGATATGTTCTCTCCTTGTGAATGTAATTATGGGGAGGCAGATTTGTGATGTTGATTGCGAGGCTTCTCTCTCATCTCTGACTAGATGAGAGTTTTCACAATATTTGTCACAGAACCAGGCGGACAGCCAGTCATTTTCACATGAACTATCCAAAAGAATGGTCCCCGGTATCTTTGCTACTGTGTCCTCATTGATTTTTAAGGGTACCTTTTTGATCTTTCCGTCAAATAACATTGTACTTTTTTAGACAAATCTCCTCTCTATTTTTCTTTTGCTTGTATGTTTACTCCCAAAGATTCTCCAGGAGAAAGATTTTTGTCCAACCTCAAACAAAAAGGACATTGGGCTTAGAAATCTTTCTTTTTCTTCTAAATGATAAAAAAAAATCCCTGGTAAAGAAGTAAGTATTCTGAAGCTAAATTGCATCTACCCCTTCATGTCAAGACTTAAGTGGGTCAAATGTCAAAAATACTTCCAGGATAAAAATAAAAAAAAACAACAAAATGTAGGTGGACTCAGATTTGCAGTTTGGGCTTCTAAAAAATGCGTTAACCGTCAGCAAAGTTAAATCTGGGTATGGGATAAAGCATGCAAAAAAGTCTGTCATTTTGTAAAGGTTGTACAGACTCATGCAGTATACTCAAAGGCTAAATAGTTGGAACTGTCTCCGGCTTTTTACTCGCACGTAAAGATCAGCAGGAAAAGGCTCAAAAAGAGTGTCACATCAAAAAAAAAACAATGAAAATCTTTTCTCAAACCGCCGTGTTTGTATCATGCATCCATCACACAGCGGCTGGCATGTGGTGTCACAAACACTGCCATGCACGTCCCAGGTGCGGCAACCTAAGCTATTTGTTTAAATGGGACGTCACTGACAGCGAAGCAGATTGTCAGAGTGTTCTCCCGGCCCCCCGGGGGGGGGAGGGTGTCTGGACCGGAGCCCCGCTGTGGCTGTCAGACAGTAGAATTTCTCCATTTTCTCTCCTAATGGCTCCTCAGCAGAGGCATTTCCCGGACTGCCCGCCCACGCGCCCCACAAACCATGTCCTGTTCTAATAGACGTTCAGGGTAATCTCCCCAAACCATCTGAAACGCCAGTGATGAATACGCACTCAGCGATGTCTTGGTCTTTCTTTGCAGGTTTCCGGGTGCTCTAATCTGACCCTGACTGGACAACTTTTTTTGTTCTAAAAGTCTCTTTTGGCCATTGGAGACAGTAGGACAGGTGGTTTTAGTCAGTGTGTTAGCCAGTGCATTTGCCAGATTGTTGTACGGTTTACGTTGGATTGCACCAGTTTAGTGTTGGGATATTAACATTGTGTGCATTGTGGAGCAGCTAATCCTCAGTCGCTGACAGGAATACTGATAAACTCTCAGACAGAAGAGCTGGTGTTAAAGATGATGGTCGGAGAGCATACATTCCTCAGATTTATTGAATCATACCAATCTCAAATGGCAACTAGCAAAATAATCTATTTATCATTTAGTTTCTCTTAAACATTGTTTTAATGTTCTGTGAGTTCCCTAATTAGCATTTTGATTATCTTTGTTTTACAGCCAGGTAATGCCTCTTTATCATATTAGACTGGAGATGGCCATCAAATGCAATTAACATTTAGTCTTAATTTATTTATCCCTGGCTGGCACATTGCATCGGAGAATGATGTTAGCGGCCATTAGGTTTATTAAAGCGATTGCGCAGAGGTTGTCTCCATGACAGTGCCGACTGCGAGAGCTGCTGTTGTTGTAACACTTAAGCGGAAGGATTTAGCTGATGGTTTACAGATTCTGTCCACGGAGGACAAGCGTCGCCATGACGGCTGACGCTTGTGTGAAGGAACGACGTTGTGGTCTGCTGATAAATCTGCTGAGATAAATGTAATGTGTCACCTCAAAATCAAGGCTTTGTTTCACCAAATGCATCAACATTGTCCCCCCCCCCCCCCTCTCGTATTCTGTCCCCGTTTACCCAGACCTGCCGCCTCTCTCCAGTGAGACCGTCTTCGGCCCGGGACAGACGGGCTCCAGCGGAAAATTCTTCGCCGTCCCACGTGAATTTTCCCAAAACCGACGACGCAAACCGTGTTTCCCGAAGGGGCGGGAAGAAAAAGCCAAAAGCTGCGGCTGGACTTACAAACTCTGCACCTTCCTCGTCGTCCAGACGCCCCCCCTCTTCATCCACGCCTGGCCGAAGTCCCCCGAAGGACGAGGAGGGAAGACGACGACACGCGTCTCCTCGAGCTTTTGCGAACCCCGGCTACCACCAGCACACGGTGTCCTCCAGAGCGCGCGCCTTGTCCCCTTACACCCACCGCAAGATGTGCCAGCTCTCAGAGGACGCCAGGCAGCGGCTCGGCCATCTGCGGCTGGGGCCGCACCGCTTCAGGGGGGAGACCGAGAGCCAGCCGCCCTTCTCGGTTGGTAAAATAAGGCTTATTCGTGTAGACTGGAACCAGGTGACGCGGAAAGCGAGGCGTCGGTGCGTTTAATGCTATTAACGCACACGTGGACAGGGGTTGAAATGAATGGGATCCTGAATTGATGTAGTTCGACCCTCCAGTGGGGAGCTGCACAGAATTGAACATAATCTAGTGGGCAGATTAAGTGCAGGGCACAATAAGAGCGCGGTGTTAATCTTTCTACCTGCTCTGTTAATGGATTTTGACGTCACGAAAGCGTTTCACCGCGAGCACGAGTGTTACAGAGCTGATTATCCGCACTGAGGGCCTTGAGTGTGCTTTAATACCACTGGTCCTGCATTTAAACGGTTACGTAGTTATTTGTTCACACTTTTAATTATGGCCGCGCCGCCGCTGTGCGATATTGGCATATAAAAGGGAGCGACTCTCGGATCGCGCAGCCACGGGGAGAACACGGCTGATGGACACGAACCACGCGGCCTCCCTCCCTCCGCTACCTGCTGCATTCCTGCTTCTTCAATTACATCAAATATAATCCTCGGATATGAATGCACTAAGATGCTGTTATTACAAGAAATGATTAGGTGGAGAGTTGTTGTTTTTGTCTCACACATGAAAGGAATTTACAAGAATAGACTTTTTTTTTTTTTTTTTTTTTTGGCTGTGGCTTTCCGGGGGCATTGTTTAGTGGGCAATTAACCCCAGTAATTAAGAGTCAAGCTGCAATTAACAAATAGATACCTAATGAAGTAGCTTAGCCCAACGGTGAATTCGCCTCAACTCCCTGTTCGTTTGTGTGGAGGAAACGCATTTAACCAATGCACCATGACATTATTCTTCTTTGTTATTTATGTGCTTTATTATTATTTTCAGCTGAGATGAAAGGCAGGCGGTGGTAACTTTGTTTTGTTTTTCCTTTTATTCTGTGCAAACTAAAGCGTGGATGATGCATTCTGTTGTTGATTTAAAATACACAACGAGATCAAATGTCATCTAATTTTTATTTGAAGTCGGTAGGTTGTGTGATTAATATGTCAGTATCTGGATGCCGCTTAAATGTCAAGAGGAAAAATACCAAAACAACCTTGCTGTGCATTTGTTTTACTATGCAGCCATGAATCAAATTGCAACGGTGTTGAGTTAATGATATTGTTTGACAGCAGGTTGTATTTCTGTTGTTTTATCCCAGGTCCCTCGCTGCACTGGTGCGTCTGTGGATGAACCGCCTTTCTCTGCTCCACACAATCTCAGCATCCATCATCACTCCTTCAACCTGGCAGCCGACCACACAGGTAGGCCCTCGCCTCCACATGCAAAAACTAATACGCTTATTGTTACATGCGTGTTCCTCGGGTCATGCTATGCTTGCTGCAGAGGAAAGTGGTCTGTAAGTGTTTGTTTTGTGTCGTGAAAATGGATTTATTTTGTTTGAGGTTTTGCGTCGCCATGATAAGAAGTGGTTGAGTCTTTCAAAACAATTATTTAGCTGCATTTATATTTTTGGTTTGATGATGATAAAAATTGTCAGACATCATTTAACACATTCAATGTGGAGGTGTTGAGCAACTGCCCGGCTAGCTCAGTCGGTAGAGCATGAGACTCTTAATCTCAGGGTCGTGGGTTCGAGCCCCACGTTGGGCGTCACTGCTTTTGGATTTGTAAATTGATCATTTTCAACATGTGTTATTTGTCTTATTGTCCAATGTAATGCACCAACTGCCATGTCAAAGTCCTTGTATGTCTAACATACTTTGTCTATAAATGGTCCTGATGTTTAAAGGAGTACACTTAACATTTAGAAATGTACTGTATATTGATATACTGATATTCATCTGTCAAAAAGCTGAATATTCTATCTTGATGATAAACCTTTTTCATTGTAGATTCTTCTCTACAAGGCAGTTACAGACCAAGAGCAGCCACAGTAAGCTTCTTTATAACATTTCAAACACTGTCACTCGTAGCCAGACTAACACAACTGTTTCAGACACTTTGTTCTTAGAAAAGGATTCCGAAGAGATTTTAGCATACCAGTTTTATCCAAACTAACTTGGTAACATTGAATGTTCATGTTGCTATAAATCTATAGCAACGAGACGTCTCGCGGGACACGTCGGGTTCTGTGGCGGCCCGGTGGTCTCCAGAGACACAGTCCAGAAGCTTTGTGAGAGCTGCTGCCGCAGCGCAGTCCACACTGACCCCGGCCGACTCCAGGAGGACTCTGAAGCTCGGATATTCCCTCAGAGAAAGGTAAACTCTCTACCTTTAAAATTGTTTGGAAAATGTTAAATCAAAGCCGCTTCAGGGATGATAATAAAGCAAAAGGCAGGTCAATATTATGAACAATGTTAGTCATAGAATGTTACCTTTATGTGGGAAACCTCAGATATGTTAGGTGTATTATATAATCTAATAATATAAACCAGCTGATTTTGTTCACTGATGCCAAAGCAGAGGAAAATATATACATTTTTAGTGGGTTTACCTCACACATATCTGTGGGAATCATCTGTGTTTACGCAAAACATCTTACAAGTCAAAGAGACACCTGTATGAGTTTCCAAATACGTGGCAATCCTGTGAGATGCAAGTCACATCGTGCGTGTGTGTGCGTGAGCTCATACACATCCAATCTTTAATTTTGATCACACTCGACAGCCGGGATGATTTCCCCTCCACCTTTTAAATTACACGAGCTGATGTCTTGTCATGTTTTGTTCATTACTGAATCGGGAGGCAGGGAGAAGGGAAAACAAAAGAGGAAAATGGTATTGATTTAGGTTTCAGCTCGAGTCTGATGCATTTGACCCGATGAACGGCGCTAATACATTCAGAGGAGACCTTGTCATCGATCACGGCAGCTGCGAGTTGAACACAGCGAACGCGACCGCTGTGCCGTGTTGTTTGTTTGCCCACTGCACAGACCATAAATAAACATTAAAATCAATAGTCAATCTTAAACTGCAAAGTAAATTGTAGGAAATGAATGATACTTTTCCCTCAATTGAAACGGCGACAGGAGTTTTAGACGGGGGGGGGGGATTAGAGCAGGCCTTTGTAGATTCCCGCAGTCAGGCAGAGGGGCACGTCTTACCCCGCATCTTTGATCTATAAAGAAAATGACAGATGCCAGTGGCAACGTTTGCTCCCTAAGCCCCGAAGACTCAGTCTATTCATGTCTCTGGATGATTCGTCCTTGATGACTTTTTGAAGCAGGTAGCCGGTTTATCTGATTACGGATGAAAAGCTTCCGTTCCACAAAGTGTGAGCCAGCGTCACCTCATCGCCCCGACAAGTAGGCCGGCACGAGAGGCAATGAGTTCATCAGTGTTCACTTCGGTCGGTCTGTCAACGCAAGATTGCATAACTGCCTGTTGTCGACTCGCAGACTCATTTATCCCTCCAGATGAAATGCACCATTTTTTTTGGTCAATTGTGAAATTAATTAATTAATTAATTTGTTTGCACAAAAAAGGTAGAATTTAAGAGGATACACATTTAATGCATTCATTTATATAGTTTTTCAAAGTATAACTTCAGTGTGCGGGTAGTGTCCTTTTTGCATTCACTTGCACATCTTGTGTTGCAGCACAGACTAGTGGACAAAAGGGATCACTTTGACAACCTCTGTTTAGAAGTTGTACAACTGAGGTAATAAAATATCATGGGAAGAGAGACTCAAAATATTAGGTCAGACAATGTTAAAAAGTTAATTGACTTTATTATTCTCGATATAGTAAACTGTTGAAGTTGGTTGTTAAACCAAAGGCAAAGTTGAAAAATCATAAAACATGATTATTTTATTTGAGAATAGCAGTCAAAGAAAAAACCTCATTCGACTAAGACCTCAAATCTGAATTTGAGCAGATTACTAAGCGGAGGAAAATAAGAAAAAGGTGCCTTTTCACTTTTAGTTTATCAATACAAAGCGATAGATGTTGTAGGTGTGTATCCATGACCAACTGCGTTAATAAAGGTTTTTGTTTTTTTTACCGCTCAGGCTCCAGAACAGTCGGCCAGGTCCATCCTACTGCGAGGAGATCCACAGCAGAGTTCAGAGGATCCTGCACACACACAAAATCTCCTGGGACGCCAAAGTCACCCTGGACCTTTAACTTCCAGATGTGCTGGTTAACGGAATAGTGGAATCAGTCGGAGTAACAACCTCCCTCTTAAACACGTCGATTCCCTTTGATGTTCATACAAAATGTAGATCTTCCCGAGGAATCGCTGCGCTGTTTTCTTTGTTTCTCTAAAAAGGGAAGTCAATTTGCCCTCCCACCAGCTGTTTTTTAAAAATTCCAACAGAGGCATCTTATCTCTAAAGGCGTGAATGGAAATGGCTCGAGTACAAGTTTGTGTGTAAGCTGCAGCTGTTAAGGACTCATCAGAAAGTAGCCGAGAGACACGGGGGGGACATGAGGGACAAAAGTGATCCATGAAACAGCAGATCAAAGACATTTAGCCTCAGCATAGAGAAAGATCCTCAGTGCACATTTGTCTTCAACATTGAGGCAGTCCGGTTGCAACACACTTCCGTGTGACGGTTTCATTCAACCACCGCAGATGAATTCCATCTTTTGTTCTTAAGCTGCATTTGTACTCGCAGACTCAACTCTGAAGGATTCTGAATATCGACAAGGTTTTCCATTCCACAGAAGAAACAGTGACTCAACCTCTTTAATGCAAGGAGTACATTGACTTAATGTCCAGCAAAGATCTAATCAGAATACATCGGATTTGTATTCTTATCTAAATTGTTTTCAAAACTTTAATCATGATCTCCTTTAACTTCAATTCCAGTTCAGGGCACCAATTTGTTTGCAGTCAATTCATAGTGTCATGTTCTAAATGACACCGTGGGTCCATCTTTTTAATATTCAGAAATAATCACTGATAACTTATTTCTTTCAACCCAAACGAGAAGTGTTACCAGCCAGACTTTAAAAATGAGTTGAATTTACTGTCACTGGTGCCAGTCAAGACATATTTTAATGTTCATATGATGCACGTATATTTAGAAAGACTATGATTATGCAGCTGCATGTTTGGAATATTAAACCCCATTTCATTAAAAAGGTTTCAGTTGCATACAAGCATTTACAGTCTTACAAAAGCACTGACTGTTTATCGTCCATAACCAAACATTGTGTCCTCGGATCTATTTCTTACGGGATTTATTCTTCTTCTTGTTGTTGTTGTTGTTCCTCTTCTTGCCACCTCCTTGTGCCGCTCTTTCCATCATAATGTGCTGGTACTTCAGTTTGTTGCTCCTGGTGAGACAGAAGGAAAGGTCACGTTATACGTCTGCAGTAATGGGAGCAAACCGACCAGTGTGCTCACTGAGCGCTGCTGTTGTGCTGTGACGTAAGAGCCACAATAAAATATTGTGTTGTGATGGATGGTTTGTCTGGACATTGATAGAAAACACCGTATTTGGTCCTACCATTAATCCCTGTGACATAATAAAGCCAACATGAGTAAAAAGAAAAAGGAGCTTAGTCTTTGACTTACTGTCTGAACTGAGCGTCGGCGAGAAGCTCCTCCACCATCGTTCTCTTCCTCTGCTTCTTGGGAAGACGGGAGTGATAGAAGTCGACCGGGCTGTCCTCCACCGTACCAACCTGTCACAGGAAGGAGAGGCCGGCTACAACGTGTGGCTGACTAAAGCACGTGGCACATGTAGGCAAACTCCTCAGTGTGGAGCATGATGGAACATTTGGGATCATCGATGGGATAAAATGAACACAAGTCTCATACGATCTTCTCTGCGGTGGTAAAATGAGTTATTTAAAAACGACGTTTTGCCACATTCGCCATGTAAAGCAGAAAAGGGAAGTCATCAAAGGATTGTCTTCCACTATCGAGTCCATTACTCCACTAACCTGAAAATATTTGGGAAAGCCGTCTCGGTCGTTCTTCTTGTAGAACCTCTTTGGATCCAAGGAGCCTCTCATCTTCAGGACTTTGAGGTCCATTTTCAGCTCTTTGGTCATCTCGGGGGCTTTCATATTAAACCAACCATCTCCGGTTGACTTCTCCCTCTCCGTCTGGGGAAAAACATGGTCATTTTAAAATGTATTGGAGAAGCCAGAAATCTGCTGTAGCGTTTCACGTTTGAGGGAATTGGGTCCCGACATTTCATCATAATTGATTCCACAAATGACAAGATCTCACACCAAAGCACAGCTTTCTAAACATACCCGGTTCTTCAACTTCACGGCGTTTTTAGATTCACTGTACGGAGGCACTGCGTCCTTCTTCTCAAAGTCTGGTCCCATCACGCTCTTCTTCATCACCTGTGGACATTAAAAGCATCAAGACACAAAGCCTTCTTCTCAGAGAAAACACTTGAATCGTAAAAGACAACAAATTACATCATCTCAGGCGGCATTGCCTGTGCTTGCAAGCTACAACGTTCAATATACATTCTGAATAAATATAATCCTCAAAAGATCAATTACTCATTTACCACATCCGGGACCTTCCGTTTTCGCAGCGAGCTGGAAACAGGCTTTGACTGGCTGCCGTCCAAACTGATGTACAAGCCCCCGAGCTCCTTCAGTCTGATGCCAGGGTCGATGCGGCTGGACATCCCCTTCCTGGAACCAATTGGCACAAAGAAAAGTCCTCAGGAAGAGCGGTCGTGTCTGACAGTTTCTAACAATTTCAAACTGCTGCACGGGTAAAAATTACTTTTATAAAGTAATGTGTTATCAAGCAGCGTTTAAAAAAACAGCTATAAAAATGAGCGTGGCTGAGCTCGGTTCCACTAGGATTAAATGATGTGATTACACTTGGCTGTAATTCACCAATTGGTAGTCATTTATCTACAAGGCAGTAATTCTAGTTCATTATAAACAAATTCCAAGAAAAGACTCCAGGAAGCAGGTGATATCAGCACGGAATAAAAGCGAGCTCTAAAGCACAATTAACACACGGATTTGTTTGACCTGTCAAAACATCGCTGTCAATCAGGGCGCTTAGAGGTGCTAGTAGACACATTTTATGCTACGCTAACATAAGGGGCTGCTAGCCGTAGCTGTAACATTTAGCATAGTTTAATCTATTCTAATATATACACCTGAGTGTATGACTACTTGTACATGCGTGTAATCCTTACTTTCATATACTTACAACAGAGGATTTCTACTTGAGAAAAGGAATTGTGCATCTTCATCATCGTCGTCGTCCCCCTCCTCATCAACAAACTCCTCATCTTGCCCCTCCTGCTCCACCTCGGTTGGCTTCTCGTAGTACTGCTCATCCACCTCCTGCCCGGGCCGCGTGTCGATCATAAACAGCCCACAAGAGGACGAAGCTGCTGCTGCTCCACACTTGTGGGAAGCTCTTGCTCGCTCCTCTTCCTCCTCCCAAGAACCGTCAACCTCCTCATCTTCAGATTCCTCATCCTCGTCGCTGTCCAGCAGGCTGATGATTTTTGTATTCTCGACAACCACGACGTCTTTCGGTTTCCGTCCCGGGTCAGAATCCACGGTGATGCTCCGGCGCTGGCTGGACGGCACCTGAATGGACTCAACTTGCGCCGTGTTGGATCCAGCTGGGTTTTCCTCCTCGCTGGGCCCAGTTTTCACAGCCACCTCGTCTCCCTGTGGCGCGCGGGCTTCCGCATCAGCAACTTCCATGGCTTCATCCATCTCTTCAGTCTCCTCTGGGATTACAAAAGCGCTTTCACACAGTGTTACCGTAGCGGATTGGAGAGGTTTCCCCGTCTTTACGGGCTGGATTGCGTCCTGCATTGTCATCTTCTCGGAGACTTCCCAGTCTCCATTCAGAGCACACGGCTCCTCCTGTTGGTGTCCGTCGGTCACTGCGGGTTTAATTAGAGCTTCCGCGGCACGAGCCGGACTGTCTGATATCTTGAGGGTCACATTGGGGGATTCGTCTTCGGAAACGAGAATTACTCCCCCTTCCGCACTTGTTGCAGCTGCCTCAGTTGGTGTGAGATCAGTACAAATCCGGCCTTCCTCCAGGGTTTGGTTCGCTTCCACCAGCGTGCAGTCTGCTTCCTCCAGGATCGCTGTACTTTCTAATGTGGCATCATTGATTGAACTGACCTCAGCTTTATCTAAAATAATACTACAGTCCATGAGTGAGCGCCTGGTGGCCCGAGTCATGTGACTCGTGGTGCCCGCCTGGGAACGGCTGTCGGTCGTCTCGGAGTCAGAGTCCACATTTCCGGGACGGGTCGATTCGGTCTTTCTCTGCCCGCGAGTCCTCCGGCTGTAATGGGGCCCCGACTCGAACCCCTCGGAGTCGCAGGATTGGTACTCTACGTTTGCGGCAGCCGCGGCACTCGCTTTAGCTGCCCGGCTCAGTCGAGCTCTCGAGGCCGGTGATTGAGGGGCATCCGAGGTTTCGTCCAGGTAGGCGGGGATCGGCCCGGTTTGCCTTCTGGATCTCGTCGCTCTGCGAGCGGTGGACTTGGAGGTTTCAGCTCCCGAGACGCTGGACACGCAGCTGTCGGCGTCCGAGAGCTCCACGTCTTCGGTTTGCCGCATGGCAGATGATCTGTCGCGTGCCGTTTTTCTGAGACTCCTGGTGACTCTCTGGGACACAGAGTCGCCGACCTCAGCGAGGCGTCTAGGAATCACCTTCCTCCGTGTGCTCCTGCGGACACCCGTGTTTGACACCGCGGAAGAGCACGATTCCACCTCGGAGACATCATCATCTTCCTGACTTACCAGCTGAGGCTGTAGTCTCCTCCTCCCCCTGGTGCGCGTCATTGGTAGTTCGGCGTCAGACATCACAGAGCAGACCGAGTCCACGTCCGACATTTCCACCGGTGTGCACGTCTGCTCTGGACTGTGCAGTCTGGCGGCCCTTGTGCATCTTTTTAACAGGGACGTAGGTGGCGATGGATTGAGTGGTCCCTTGTTTTTTTCCAGCTGGCTGCTGGTTTCCTCAGGGAGGCTTTGGGTCGGACTTTCTGCATGTTTCTCCCCGACAGTGCGCCTGGTTCTCCGACTAGTGGAAGGAGTGGCCTGTTGGACAGAAGTAAAATGGTATTTGTACAGCTGGTGTTATGAGAAGAGGAAATAGACATTAAAACGTTCTTATGATCAACAAATAACATTAAAGACTGAAACCTACAATTCGTTACTCCCGAGTCTTTCTGACCTGTACAGCCGGTCTGAGGATTCATTTCTACCTGAGATTATTGCAATCTAAAAGTGGGTCCACATTTAAAAAAAATTTAGATCAGATTTGATGAGCAGGATGATGTGTGAGTGGTTGAGCAAGAATAAAATAGTCACGGTTTATGAAGGAAAAGTCACCTGGTGAATAGAATGAGTTATTTCTCCTGCTTAACATAACTGAGGACCCGGATCTTTGAACCTATTGAACCACATATCGGCAGATTATGAAAGTTAAAGGGGATTCATTTAGCTTTGATAAATACATAAATCTACACCAAGGGATACATGCTGACCAGAGGCCGAAATAGTGGATGAATTGACAACGTGTCTAACTGATGCATCTTCACTCTGCTCCTATTTAATTCATTATTATTCGATTCCGGATCGATGTTTGGGCGACAAACATTTTCCGTCGAGTCTCGTCTGTTTTCGTTACGGGATCGTTTTATCCACTTTGTTTCACAACATCGACACCTTGGCTAACTCTGCTGCCACGGATGTTGTCCACGTGAAGTTTGAGCAGCTGCGCACGCTCAAGCTAACAGACACGTGACGCGGCTCCTGCGCATCGAGCCGAACCTTTCCTGAGTCTCTGGACTTTAGCGGCTTTTAACGAACACGTCTTTGTCATACGTACCGGGACATCAGCGGACTGGTCGGGGTTTACTTTCATTGGGGTGGACACGGTGACTCCTCGTCTGGTGGCCACCATCTTGCATGCGGCTAGTACACTAAACTACCCTCGCTGGCTCCTAACACTTCCGGTTTAAGAGCTGGACTCAACCAATCGATCAACGGTGATAAGATACAGGCCGAGTAGACGATCGCAGAGTTGTGAACTCCCGAGACGTGAGGGCGGGAAAGCGGTTTGGATATTTTGGAGTTAAAAATATACGGCTGTTAGTACTTTATTGAAAGTTTTTATTTTATAATTTATTGAAAATGACGGATTATAGACTCATGCTTACATTGACACTGATATGTACTGTGTTTTAGGTTCTTAAAACCGGATGTGTTAATGTGCAAGTTAGCTTTTTGGTCATCATTTTTTTATATGTAAAAAAAAAAAAAAAGAATCACACAAGCCCAGTCTTATTCCATCTTTTAAATAGATTACATCACCGTTGATGGTAAAACATAACTTTTGTAGTTTTAATAAAGCTGATTCATGATATACAGATACATGACAACATTGCATATGTTTACAGTACAACAGATAGGTTGTTGTCATGAAATTAACTCGATCTTGTCTGGAAAAACATCATTCTCTTATTAAAAAAAAGGTATTTTTCAGAGTGAACACATTTTCAGATCTCCTTGGCCCAGAGTTTCCAGTGCAGACAACAATGAATTTAGAGGAGCAACGCCTGCTGTGCATATCAATCTCAAAATATTGCTGTTCTTTCAACCCTCAAATTAATCTCATGATTACCGTAGTGGGTAAACATGGTCAGAAGAAAATGCCTGGTAAAATAAAGTCATATATAGTTATTTCTTCACCAATTACAGTCAATCAGGAGCATAAAATAAACATATCATAGGTGATGATTTTAATCAATTATTTTCCGATATCTTCAGAAAGTTTGGAATCATTTGGTGCAGAAAATAAAAAAGGTCTCGTTGTTTTACTTTTGCTTTTCATTCAGACCAATAAATGTATAGCTTGATTCACACAGACACAGTGGAGAGAAAGCAGGTAAAAATAGATGAGAGGCACTTCAAATCAAAAGAAGGTTAAGGAACTTTCGCCTTGGATCAAAGTTTAGCAACTGCCATTTTCCATCATTAAAGCAGCCTCCATTGAATGGATCTGAGGCTAATCTGTCAATACACAGAGGAATCTGTGAAACGCTCACTTTCCCAGTCTATATTCTATGAAATAGTTGATGTTTCCTGTTCATCTGTGACGTCACAGAGACAACGGTAATGAATACCTGCATCGGTTCAAATGAAGAAATTGTAGACGATCCGGATGCAACCTTATCATTGAGATAAAACAATGACTTCAAGACTCACGGTGAATGGCAGCATCCGTTATTCAGAGCTTTTACTTTGCATGTTTTGTGTGTATGTCAATGGAAAGAGATGAAAATGGCTTCGTCCTTGTGTCTTCCATCGCGCGGTGTGCTAAGGGCTTGCTTTCCTTGCACTGACAAGGTACCCCTTAGCCTTGATAATGCCCCTGCACTTGACGATGATGGAGTAGCGAAGGACCCACTCCAGCCTCCAGTCAGCAACGTTCAGGTCCTGCGATCCCTCTCGCAACGCCTCCTGGAAAGTGGCTGCTGTCATCAGCTCTGTGGAAACATGAAGCCAAAAGAGGAACTGTATAAAACTCGTCTGAACTGTGCAATCTAAACTGTGCAAAGAACCTGAAGACCAAATTCAATGGACCCCAACTAGGACAAATGATTGAATTCCACCTTTGGGATCGTTGTGTGTGAGCAGCTGGATGTCAAACTCCTTGGCGAAGGCCGTCAGCTCCGGAGGCATCACGCAGCAGGAGGCCAAGTTGAACTGGTTACTGCTGGGCTTCACCTGGACAAGAGAGGCCACGAGGTCACCGACTGGCTTCATTCAGTTAAGCATCATGTACGTTGCCTCTAAAGCCATTTAAGGAATAAAGCCGGGTTTTCATTTCTGAATTGGCCCTCGATTGACTTTAGAATTGGGTCTGAGTCTGATGCGAGGGTCACGACTTTTTGACATGTAAGAAATGTTGATCTTGCAGTTTGACAAGTTTCATAGTCTGATATCCCAGATGCAGTCTAAAGATTTAGTCTGAACTGAAAAAGGGACCTCGTGTTAATTATAGAGATAAGCAAATGGCTAGTCTAAAGTAATACTTCTGAAGGCTTCCACTGACTTGAGCCCAGTTGTAGAGTTGTTCCAGCAAGTCTTTGTCCAGGTCAGACGTTCCGATAGCGGCGATCTTCTGGCTTCCGACCAGAACCTCCAGCTCCTTCCAAGACGGCTGAAGGTGAGCCAAGCTTCGGCTCTCGCCGTCCAGGGGCCACGGTGGCGCTATGATAACAGAGTCAAGCTGGGACACTGCCAGCGCCTGGCAGACTGGGAATAAGTGACAGACGAGGCCGTGACACAAGTAGAGTTCAGTCTCCTACGGATGTGTTGGTAGTTTTTTTTTTTAAGATGAAATGAGAATGTAGCCGAAGAGATTTAAAGCTCACCCATTTCCACCGCGTCGCTGATGGAGGACTGAACTGACTCGCACAGGAACAGCTTCACTGCGAAAACAAGCAAACTGTCAAAACGAGAAGAGCTGCAACGTAAAGGACTTCTCCCAGAAACACCATCTTAGCGTAACATTATCATCTGCAAAGTTCACCACATGCCTGCAACTGGACTGCAGGCTATTTGAACAACTCTGCCGTTTTGTTTGTGGCCGTTTACGCAAGGATCTCTTAACAGATGAATAACACTGATCTCTGGTGACGCCATGCACAACACCAGATAATAATGGAATAATAATAATTAAATGTACCTGTGTATCCATGTTTGAGCGCTCACACTTTATGCCCCCTTACATTACACTGACACCTAACCCTAAAACCACTATTATGGCAATATAATGAATCAGTTTTTATAGATATAAAATATATATATATATATATATATATAAATTCTTATGGAACATGTTTCTTTGAAATGTGGTGGAGTAGAAATGAGTAACTAGTACAAGATCAATGAATTCAACAACACAGGTCTGAGGTTCACCCACAGTCTCGTAGCACCCTGTGGTAAAACCCTGCAGCACTGACCTGAAACCCTCAGCTCATCCCTCTCTTCAGGCGAGATGCGGTCAGTCGCCTGGGGAATGGAGCAGTCCAATGTGTCTGGAAAATCCTGCGTGAGAAGCACATCATTTAGAGGCTGTGTGTGTGTGTGTGTATCCACAAACCACTTAATATTAGTGGCTTGGTCCGTCCCAAATATTTGCTTTTGAAGATTAAACAAATGACGGGACGGACAGAACACAGCTAAGTAAGTAGCCTGTGGAGATGTCTGGTAAAGAAACAGAAGGTTATGTTTTTAACCTGAACCTCCTTTAGGCCTTTTGCTGCCATTTCTGCTCATCTGTGCACAATACCGCCGCCTGCTGCTGGTCGGTCGACTACTGAGACACACCTCAGAAAACCTGCCTTGTTTCATTTCATTCGGGAGGAAGTGGTGTTCTGAAAATGGTGCACGAGTCGATCATTATAACTCAAACATTTCCGTCTGATCGATCACCAGAGGAATCTCCTGGAAGTTGTATCATTGTGTTTTATCATTCATCAAACTTTTAAAATACTGTTTTTGAGCAGACTACTTGATAATGAGTGCTCCATTTTTTAAGTGTTCTTTCACATCACACATGAGACACTCCCATATTTAAAATTAACATCTACATCACAAAGTGCATTGTTAATAGAGGTTTTACATGAAATGGCAAGAATGTCAATCTCTACAACGCGGATCTGCTGCACGGCATCGAAAAGCGCTTGTGTTTGTCTTCCAGCAGCTTACGTCCCACTGAGCCTGAAACTGAGTCCCTCTAACATCCAACTCTTTCCCTGTGCAAGCACGTGTCTAATATGCTTTGCATGTACGACGCCTTAGTTCAACTCTTTCATACTTTCACCCCACGTGAGTCCTGTGGGCGTAGTACAAGTGGAAGCAGATTAGTGGGATCACACATTGTTTCAAATCTCCACGTCGGGTGTTTACAGAACACGATAGCTTGATGAGCAGAGACAAAGGGTTAACGCGATGTAGGAATCTCATCACAGTTAATGAACACAGCCCCCACGGCAACGTTTCTGTACCTCCACCCACTCCTCAAACCCCCACCCACAGACGGACGCACATTTGGAATGGCGCCTCCGGCAGGCAGCCCTGCATGAACATTCATCATGACAGCTTCTTTTCAGTCAGGCTACCGGGAACCTTTGATGTTTATCTCTACAGTTATTTTATTTTCCCAAGCACTGGAACGTTACAGGAAATGATGCAAATACTGCTGGTCTGACCAGAACGACGTCAACGCAAATATTAACAGTAAACATCTCCTCACCTTTGTTGGCAGTTTTGTTGTGGAAAACCAATCGCTGAGCGAGGCTTGAATGCAGTCTTGAAGCTGGAATATCAAATGAAGAAAATCGTAAATTAACCTCTGTGAAACGTGCATCTTTTCAACACGGATACTTTAAAATGTGCTCAGGCAGAACACTTCTTTTATCGTCAGCACACAAACATCTGGACAGCTGTGACATGCTGCTCTATCACCTGTGTGTTTTAGATACAATTCAAATTATTTAGACGAAAAGTATTTTGAGACAAAACCCCTCAAAGTGTTGGACAAGACGGGAGAGTCAAGTTTAGGTGCTGACTAAGCCATTATTTAAACTATGACATTTAAACTTAAACAACTATGTGGATGAGTGAGAAACGCGTGTGCGAGCGCTGAAGGCAAAAGAAAACATCCAATCAACCAAAAGGTAAAGATGTCTGGCCGAGCGCAGAGAGCAGAAACATTGGTTCTGCTTATGGTAAAATAATAAAGTGAATTAACTATTTATAGTTACATTAAGGACTTAAATAATAATCTCAGGCATGTTTCTGCATTATGGAATCATACATTTTTCATCATATCTTAAAACAGAAAGTAGAGGATCAGTCAATTATTTATTTACCTAACCTTAGTTACAACTTCTTTACTATGAAGATTTGTATTGTTTTATTTAAATATATTTATGTTTTAGATTGTCTTTTTGTCAAGATACGATATTTGAAAGTAAACTTTGGCTCTGTGAGTGTCTGTCCGACCTTCCCCGCATTTAATAGTCCCGATTATATTACATTATATTATATTATATACATGAATGAACGTTGAAACACGTGAGCATGTCAATAGATTGTGTACTGACTCAAACCAACACTGCACCAATGAAGCACCTGCTCAGTAAGACACACTCCACTCAACTTAAACCTGTATTTCGCTTTATCTAGACAGATAAATGAATTACTCCTATTTGTAAACGTCTTTCTCTCTTTATAACCCCGTTACATCGTAAGACTCTTTAACTAACATGTGTTGTGGTCACACCGGTAATAAGTATTACGTTAGCCAGGTGACGTCGGACGTCAACGTAAAAAGGGCTAAGCTAACAAGCTAAGCTGGCAAACACACACGCCAACCTAAAGTTCTACTGTTTTTTGTGTGTGTATTTCTTTACCTCTTCGCTGGGGGAGCACGGGCATTTCTTCTTCAGCCGACTCCGGTTGACCAAGTTCCCGGTGTGCAGTCTCAGGGTTTTGGCGTGCGTCAGCAACATCTTCGCCTCACTGTTGGTGTTTCGGGGCTCCATGTGGGTCTCGGGGAGGAGGAGAAGGGGGGCGGTTGAGCTAACGAGATGCTAATCGGTGTCTGCGACGTAGCGCGCCTCCACTAACTGACAACAAAGCCGCTGCTCTAAACTCTGGCTAAGAGCCGGGGATGACTTATAACAGCAGCACAACTGTTGTAAAAAAAACTACGCAGTCAGAATGACTTGCACTCGGTGTGTTGACTGACTCGCGGGTCCGGTTGGCTGCTTTGAGGCTGTTGTACAGACAAGCCGGTCGGTCACGCCCACACGGAGACTTCGGGTGAATGTATTGTAAAACCCGGCGCTGGATTAGTGGAGCGGTGGGCTGCATCCATACCGCGGAACTGGATCAAAGGAATGTATTTTTGAATTGGATGAGATTCTCATTGTTGACCGCTAGGTGGTGGTGTCGGGTTTGTGATTTTTCTTAGGCAGCATTGTATGACAGCTTGAATAAGTATATTCAAGAACACATTTTAAGCAAATTTGAGAATTTGAGAATCAACATTTTCCAATGCTTTCTACTTTCAACACGATTGGTACTTTTGCCTCATACAATCGACTTCAATCTGTACAACTGGTATTCTAGTCTTACCTTTTTTATTTGTATATGCACCTTACTATTTATTTTTTGGTCTATGTGCTGATGTATTAACTAAATTCCCCTCCAAAGCCAAGTAAAAGCTTATCCATCCTCTAATTTACAAAAGTAATGGAGCCATATTGTATATTTTTAAACTACATTTATTTTACAACAATAGAATAAAGCAGATTAAGTCATGAACATTTGAACTAAAATACAACAAATTTCACTTCTTAACGAACCGTTGCACCTGTTTGCACAATGGTATGTTGTATGTATGCATGTATATATGTATGTATGTATGTATATAGGTGTGTTGGTATGTATTTTTGTATGTATGTACAGTATATATACATATATATATATATATATATGTATCTATTTAGGTGAGTAGGTATGCATAACACTTAGATTATATTTCCCTTCCTTTTTCCTTATAACATTCTGGTTTCAACATTACACTACTGTTCTACACAAGTCTGGTCAATAAAAATAAATAGTTTTCCCAATGTGGTGTGGAAAAATGCCACTAGCCCGCACAAAGTCCTGGCCTAAACCTCATCAAACAACATATTTAGTCTGGAACGCAGACTGCATCCAGGTCAAACATGAGAGCCCTAAACTCAGAATGACATGATCCCCAAATCCTTTAGAAGTCCTTCCCAGAGGAGTGGACGTTCTCAAAGCAAAACATTATCATCACGTCATGGGTTTTTGAATGAGACCTGTATTTATCACATAGGGTTGTAGTAAACTATGTAAAGCCCTTCTTTTTTCTTCAGATCATATTTTCTTTTCATGCCTCACGAGGGACAGTTATACTTTCTTCAAATTCTTTTCTCTGTGGAAAACTTGGACGACACTGAGGTCACAACCTTTGTATCTTTGCCAGGCATTTGGGGGAAGGGGAGATTTTACAACTACAAAAAGCCAACACATCTTGGGCATTTATTGGTATATTTCCATATTTTTAAGAGTGGAAATGATATAAAATTATAGAAAATTATAAATACAGAAGAACTTAAAAAAAATAGAATATCAAAAATGTAATATGTTTGCTTAGAGGGGCAAGCGTTGTTTCACCGCATTGGATAGAGCTTGTTGAAGAGCCCATAATACTAATATACGTGCATTTGCACACATTTACACATAGTCCCACACATGTTGTCACTTAATTGGAAATTAACTAGTAATGAAGCTTGAAAATAACATTTATCCCACATATTCAGCATGTGGGTCTCCTGAAACACCACATTTCCTTTTCTCTTTGGTTACATCATTATTGTTGTGTATATTATTATATTATATTTCATTGTAACTACTTCAGGAGACGAGAATTATTTGTTTCAATGTTTATCTAATAAAAACCGTCTTGATGAATGATCATAGCTGTAAAAGTCCACATATTGCTTGCAAGCAGGAGGTTAAATACACAGGTGTGAAAAATTACAAACCATGTTGAGATATGAACCACGGTTAAGATGGGGTAACAGACAGTTCCTTTGTGTGAGTGTTTGTGTGAGAGCATGTTGACTCGCCCTGCCAGCTGCAAATAGAAACTTTGAGTCATTCTGCTTTTAGCACGTTAAACTTCAATACAGACAAATATCACTCTTTTAGCATAAGACTATGTTATTACATATTTTACCATTGCACTCCACTCTATTGATTATTCTTTAATCACACAGAATATTGTGATTCCAGCATTCCACTGGAAAGATGTGTGTGTGTTGATGAGAGAGATCACAGCTGGAGGAGTGACTTTAATGGCTTCCACTTGGGTTCTTCACTAGTTCCAGCTATAGGTGATGTTATTGTACTCATCTCCCTGGTTAGACAGCCACGCGTCGGAGGAGTCAGGTATCTGCAAAACTGAGAGTCATCAGCGTTGCAAATCCCCTGCAGGCAATTGTCTCACCTTCTTTCATCTTTCATCCTGATTTAATTTGTGCTTGTATATTTTTATCTTATTTTACTTTATCTTATTTTATTCTATATATTACCCCAACCATCAAGACAAATGACTATATGTGTAACATATGTGGCTATAAATGGCTTCCTGCCTGAGGTGAATCCAGCATTGTCTCTCTCTGCTTGTTTACTGTTTCTGTGGCCTTAATGGCTCGATAACGCATCTTCTGTGCAGGAAAAACTGTTTCTTTTCTTTTCATATTCTCTGCTTTGTTTTTTCCGATTTGTTCATTTTGTTTAAAAAGTGGATTAAGCTTGGTAAGATAATAGTTCCATCATCTAATAGTTTAAAAGTTCGAGCCCTCTAATGCTACTTAGTTTGTGACTTCAGCATACTGGAGCTACATTGAATCTAATTATTTTCCGTCTTATCCATTGTTTTCTTAATTTTAATTTTATTAAAATATTCAAATATATTAGTACCATTTATGTGTTCCTCCAGTCCTGCTGACTGTGGATAACAAGAACAATAATGTTTCACATTCTTCCCAAAAGTAGAAATCAGATACTTTGAAATTCATTTGGAAAACATCTCTATGATTGTGGGACAATAATCCTTTTCTTTATAGTGATTTAGTCCATACTAATGTTTTGTCGTAATTTTAACCTTGGGATTGTGTTTTTTACAGTCAATGCATGCCAAAATGTTTATCGGTACTCAGTACGCTCCACAGCCTTTCCATCCCTCCTGCTGAGCCATGTGTTCATTTAACACATATGTTATGTGTTCATTTAACACATAGCTCAAAATAGTCAAATCTCTATATAAGGTCTTTACCTTCTTCCATATTATCCCACAGTTGTTTTCACTTAAGAAAGTTGATCAGGTGGTTTGTGGTTTCCTGTTGAAACTTTCATTTGTGAGCTGTGTATCTAAACCCACTTTTTCCTTAGGTAGGTTTACTTTATTTAGTAGTTGTAATACCAATTATCTGTTTTTTTTATAGATCTGTTCGTGGAATCCACTTAAAAGTTTGTAAAATTTTTACATTCCAGCAATTATGAGCGTATTCTTCTAAATTAAAGACCAAACCAAATATACAATCTTTATACCCTTGAATTAAAGTGGATAATCCAATTGTATCCCAGATAAATATTTGCACTCACTGGATTTGAATTATGCGTAATAGAAGTTTTGAAGGGATCCGGAGAGCTTCAGTGCTGTGGGATCAGATTGTCATTTGTGCGAGGACGTATCTGTACAGATGCAGAGGAAGGCACGGACAAATCTACCCGGTGAAGAAGGAATTAAACACCTCAACTTTTTAAAAGGTATCATCAGAGCATTGCATCATTACTTTTCACTGTATAAATCCATCGCCGCCTAAGTGTGCCAATGTGCTCAGTGAGAGAAAGTGATGAACACATCAGGCATTTGGGGTTATTAATTGTCCTCAGTGGGTTTCGATTTACACTTTCGAGTACTCTGGTGGTTACTGACGCGTGTGTTCGCTTTTGTGTGTGTGTGTGTGTGTGTGTGTGTGTGTGTGTGTGTGTGTGTGTGTGTGTGTGTGTGCATGTGTGTGTGCGTGTGTGATGGTTGGAAGAGGGAGAGGGGGAGTACGGTCCCATGGAATTCAGCGATCAAATTTCAGCTGCGGGACTTTGAGTGTTGTTGACATATTCTGACTAAGTGTGGTAAGAGGGAGGCCGCACACACACACACACACGCGCACACACACCACACAAGTGTGTGCACTATAATACAGATACACACATCTTGTGAAAGACTGAATGTGAGCCGGAAGTCTTCCTGCACGCTTTATAAACAACCTCAACATTCAAGGTGTTCTTATCCAAGAGAGACCTGCAGAGGGAACATGCAGCTATAATTGAAAACAAACCCGCTTGGGTTCAGTAAAATGTCACTCAAGATAAAAAGAGTGCACGCTGCTAGAAACACAAGAGGATTTCAACATCTTTAATCAGGGGGGGGGGGGGGGGTCAAAGACCTAAACCTTTTTTTTCTTTCACAAGCGCTCAGAGGGGTTTGTAATGGAAATACAATATCACGTGGAAGCAAAGGGGGTGGGAATGTGTACTCCCATCTTTCTGTTCAGCTCCGCTCTGATTTCATCTGTTTAAGTCTGCGCAGCGGCCCAACAAGAGCAACAGCAGCCACAGCCATGAAGTCCCAAGCTCTTGTCCTTCTCCTGGTCCTCTCTTGCACGTATCTGTGCCTTGCACAAGGTAAGTGGAACAGAACTATGACATTATTATAACAAATGTGATTTGTCTGCCAGTGCAACTGCTTATTTTAATAATAGCACGACGATGTGATGGTAACTGGTAAAAGTTGAAACCTAAAGATATGGACACCGCTCTGTGTATGAAGAAACACATTTAGTTGCTTTATGACTGCAACTGTATTTCATAATCCACATTCCTTTAGATTGGAAAACAATACACATTGACTAAGTAGAATAAAACAATGGATTTTGTAAACATTTCCACTTCAGAAATACTGAAAACATGAGCCTAGGTGCATTTTATTTATTTTGGTAATTAATTAAATTAAATTTTCTTTATGTTTCATTTCCTACTGTGAAGGTCTAAATAATGTTTCAATTCCCTTTGCGTGGCGACAGTAATAAAGAAACTGAATCCACTATCTCTTCAAGTAGTCACGGTAATGGCAAAATTAGCCTGTAAAATATGCAATATTTGACTGTTTGCTGTAAACATCTCCCTGTGTGTGTGTGTGTGTGTGTGTCAGTAAAATACCACACACCATAAAGAAAATGATTGACTCTTGTTATTTTTCATTGCTGAATCTAAAAAGGTTCCCGGAAATCTCTGGCACTTGCAGGCGGGTTTATGGGAATTCCTGAGAGGCTGTTAGTTAATATTTCATTAATTACAATTGTTTGATATAACAGCGAATAAATAGTGCACTCTTTTTATTCATAGGCGTTATAATAAAAACAGCAGTATGCAGACCTATAAACACAATTCACCTCTCTCCCCAGGCTCGTATGGCAACTGCTGCCTCGGCCATCATACTAGGATTGCAGAAAGAGTAAAGAAAAACATTGAAAGTTACAGGATGCAGGAAACAGATGGGGATTGCAACATCAGAGCTGTTGTGTGAGTAAAACACTTTTGAAACTTCCCACTACAATCACTTGGCAAATTTTAAAGCAAAAATAATGAACCTGCTTATTTGTTATTTGATCGACCCAAGCTCGGAGCAGAACATGTGAGCAGTAAGCTTAATGATCTTAAATAATACCACTAATGTCTTTAGATTCCTGATAAAGAAGAAACCGTCACATGCAAAACAGTTGACTCGCTGTGCCAATCCGGATGATCTTTGGGTCCAGAAGCTGATGAAGACGGTGGATGTGAAAATGAAGAAACGGTAAAAAGTTACGCAACGCACCATGACAATGAGAAACATCATTTCCCTGCAGAGAAACTCAATGATGGAGTGCAAATCTTCACCATGAAACCTTTGTCTCCATAGAGGACGTGGAGTTTAACAACAGAGGAACGGGGCCAGGAAGAGGACGGCAGATGTTTCACCTCCCGTTTTTTTGGGCGCCATATATCACCTTTAACCACATGGAGTATGTTTTGTGCATGGTTCAATATAACACGAACAAACCATATGCTCATTGTTATTGCCATTTAGCTAAATGCCTTTATATGAGCCTACGTATCCATTTCTCTTTAACATGTAGCAGCTGATAGGAACGAGCCACTGGTTGGCAGCTTTGAAATGTATTCTACAGACTATATTTGTGTAAAAAATGGGAATAGCTTTGATGTTTTTTGAATGAAAGGGTTTCCAAATTTTTGTAAAAGTATTATCATTTTATTTTTTCTCTATTTTCGTATCAACTAAAGAGGCAATAAAACCCGACTCTGGTTTCCTTTAAAAGTCGACCGTGAATAAGGAAACACCAAGATGTTTTACATCTGCTCTGTCAGGATTTGCTGGTGCACCATTCCTCTATGATAAGATCTTAACTGGATTTCCATGAGGGCAGCTCCGGTAATCTCTCACAGTCTGATTTGGCAGAAGCTTGAACCAATAATTAATGACACGAGACGTCCGTTCACACTATGAAACTTGGCTCACGGGAGATTTGGTCAAAAAATACTTTTTTCTTTGGCTTCACGATAACGACGGTAAAGCATTGGCATGTTGGCAGCATGGGAGTTAAAGATCTAGCGTGACTGAGATTTTCTGCCGTTTAGATAAAAAATCTGTCACTTGGGCTGAAGAATAGTGAAACAGGTTTTGTGTGGCGTAACCATTTACGCCACATCTGGTTCATTCTGGCTGTGAACTGATCCTTTTAGAATGATCCAATTCGTCACGTAAGTTTATACAAAGTTAGTCTTCTGCGTTCCCATCAAGAACAATGGACACAAGATGGAGAAACAAAACTGTACTCCAATAGTGGATTATCACCTGGACCAGTTCATGTATTTTTATGCACAAAGCATAAAGGTGTTAGAATTCAATTTATAAAACAAAGAAAGACCGAGAGTTACTTAAAAAGTTGAGACCCAGATGACGTTGAGGAAGTGGTTGTATCCCCACGGTGACCCTGGACCTCCGAGGTCCTCACGCAGTTGCTCGTATTCTTGTTAATCCAGTCAAAGGGTTGAACCTTGTGAATGTTTCCCCACTCAGCCAAGACGCTGCTCATTTGCCGGCGGATGGATGAATTGTGAAATGTCCTGAAACATCATAAACAGGTTTATGAGGACATAGAGACATAAAGCTCGATGTCCCCGGTGCAGGTTCCTCTTTGGACCTTTTTCTGTAACGGTTTGTAACTGAAGATTTGGCAAATTAAACTGAGTAAAAGAACAGCAACAATGTTCTTACAAGGATATTGTTTGCTTTCTGAGTGTCTTATTTACTAATCTTACTTATAATATTAATAATAATAATGGTTATCATTACGTTAAATCCCCTGAAGCTGTAAAAGCTCCTCCATGTTCTTTCCTGCATTGCATTGCAAGTCAAGCATTTAAAAAAATGCATGTTGTCTTTTTTGAACTAAATGCTGGCATAGAAGGACTATTGTAGGACGGCTTCATGGCCTCTCACGATGGCTGTTGTGCAATCACAATGTAGTCGTTCATTTCACTTTCATTTCATTCTTTTGAATCATTTAGAAACTCATTGCACGTGACGAGAGCGTTGCTTTGTCTGGGGTATTGTAAGTGGATGTGTGCAACACTACTTCAAGTTTGTAAATGTTTGTTTCTCCAGCAAAACATCTCCCTGCTTCCTGAGAGACGTGTTATATCTCGCTCCAGTTGTGCTCATTTTAAAGAGCTTTACGGGAATCAAACTTTAACATTCCACAAGGATTGTCTCTTAACATTGACAGTTATTGGTTGCAAACACCCTGAAGCTAAACTGGTCGTGAATGGATTGATGTGAATAAAAATACCAAACATCTCGCTCTCCTAAATGGTTTTGTTCAAGTTTAAGAGGGAAAGTAGGGAGGAAAACCGCCTGCCGTCATACATGATATACTTTACTGTAATACCCTTAAAGACTCCACCTTTCATATTTCATGTTGCACTCTCCCATAAATAAAAAAAAAACAATTGCTTATGTAAGCAGAGGGGTTACTCTTTCGCAACCATCTCAAATGTGCTTTCATCAACTAAACAGATTTGTCATTCATCCAGAGCTTTAGACGGTTATTTAACTGTCAAATGTAATCAGAGACAACGGTTGACTTTTTTCAGCTTAATACCACTGCACCCCATAATAACCATAGACAGTAAGGAAAGGTAAAGAAAGAATTCCACTAACGTGAAAGAAAAGCAGAAGAAAAGATGTTTATTTTAAGTTTAGTTTCATTCATTCATTTTTATTTTAATCAAGAGAGGGTTTGTATTGTAAATAAGTCATGATATGAGATCTTTTGTGGCATTTACAGGTTGTTAAGAGACAATAAACGTCAGATTTTTAGAAGATTAAACATGACTATTTCCCAATGACTTTAACAGAAATGGGATTACCTGAATTAATCGAAGAACTTTAAAATCTGTTCTGTTTTTCGGCATTTTTGTTCAAAGGCAAGATTCAGCTAATTGTGGCCCAACTTAAATCAAGTCTCAGAGTTAATTATTTTTTCCGGTTTACAACAAATTGCTCTCCCTCGATGCATCAGCCAACGCAACCTTTTGATTAATTCCCCTTCATTCTGTCATAACATACATTATTCCCTGCATCTTAAATGCGTCCAAAAAAAAGTTAACATCCTGTCGTTACACGATGATCAATGATGATTTTCACACGGGTCGCATTGAGCAAGAGTAGGCTTTCTGCAAGTCGAGACTCCTTCTTGGTGCTCACGGGGGCCCAGATGTGTCTGCCATACGCACACAGCTTGTAAACACCTCTCTGCAGAAAGGCTGCGGGCTGCAGGTTTGACTTTTTACTGCAAAATGTGACCGTCATCTTAGTGCCAATCACTAATCAGGAATATTTGTGCATGCAGACACTGGCAAAATTGGCAATAAATTGCGAGGCGACGGTGAGACTGTCAGACTGAGGCACCGTGGAGTGGAATTCACAAGTGAAATGTTATGTGACATTCTTATAATAATAATAATTGGTTTTATATAGCGCTTTTCAGAAGTCTCAAAGACGCTTTAACTTAGCTTTAACAACATCCATCTTAGTGGAAGGTAAGTGGCGTGAGCCAAAGAAACTGGGGTTTTCGAAGTTTGGCAAGTGTCACAGTCTCAAAAGAACTCACAGCTTGCTTCAGAACTGATAAATATGACCCCCTGCTGCTTGAGATGGGTTCATGTTGTGCAAACGGTCTGAGAAGGTCAATGTTCTTTCAAACTTCAAACTGACTTATTATCCCGGATCTCCCAGGAAATCTGTAAATGTTTGAAATCCTGGCTGGAGTCTGGCACGAAGCAGCAAACCATTACCATTATCCTGCTGTAAGGACACTAAAGAGATTTAAGAATATTAAGAATCATTGTTTGAAAATACTGTGATTTCTATTCATTAATTTAGCCTCACTTGTTGCTATAATTATAAATACAGAGTAACAGTTCAGGCAAAACTCAAGCATTTATTATTTCATTAAAACATGGGCAAACATTAACACACTTTTTAATACAGATGTGAAATGTTATATGTTATTTTAAAAGTATGTGAGCTCCAGACTTTTGGTGACAACCATGAAAAATACTCAGTGTTCAAAAAACATATTAAGTAAATATTAAGTAAGGCGTTTTAGGCATTTGTTCATGTTTAAAACAAAAAAAGCACCTCTGTTCCTGATTCTGTTATTGGCCAGAGTAACCTTTTCTCCAGATATTATTCCATAGTCTCAGGTTTCATTTCTGTCTATCGCACTAGGATTACCTGCATGCGGTGATTGATGAACGTCGTGTATCATTAAGCTTTTGTTGGTGATGTAACGATGGGAACATAAAGTCACAGCCAATAAAGGAAGGTGCCCTGGTCCGTAAAGTATAATTGACTTACGATGTGGGACGGAAGAAGCGTCCGACTCAGATCTCAACCTCCATGTGTTTGCCATTCCGCTCAAGCATTGCGCAACTTGAGCATTGCTCAACATGTAACATAACGCCGCACAAATTAAGGGAGGCTCAATTAAGCGACGGAGTGCCAGTGAGGACGCCGGCCCATGTGTTTGCCATAAAGCCACCGAAGCAAAACTGTTTCCCCGTTATTTCTCCTCACAGCACGACGCAGACAGCCGAGGGGTCGTCCACCTCTACAGTCCACCTCTTAGAGCTCCCGTAGTCATCGGGGTGAAGCACCGAGTAACCCGCCGCCTCCACCGTCCTCCTCTTCTGGACCCGGTGGAGAAGGATCCGGTAGGTCCCCGTCAACGGGCTCCGACCGTTCAGGCAGGGGTTGTTTTGGAAATGACCCGCCGTGATACCCAGGTCCCTGAGCAAAGTCTTCACCTCCTGCTCCTCGGCACACAGCGCCCGGTGGGCCTGGGCGAAATGCGCCGGCGACAGGGGCAGCGAGGCGTACGCGCGCGGGCACTCGATCCCCTCCAGCCAGGGGCCGGACGCGACCTGCGCGAGAGACGGGCGGTCGACGGGCAACGGCCGCAGCATGCCCTTGATCACCAGCTGGCACGGAGGGGGCACATAGGCTGGGACGGCGTAGGCCCCCTGCAGGATGCAGCGCTTCAACCTCCCGAGCTTGTCCCCGCGAAAGGGCATGGCGCCCGTCACCATGAAGTACAGGAGAACACCCAAGGCCCACGTGTCCGAGCAGCAGCCGGCGTAACCTTTGTCCTGAAACAGCTCGGGGGCGGCGTACGGCGGGGAGCCACAGAAGTTGGTGAGGAGCTCGTTCGGGCCTTTCTCGGCGCTGAAGCCGAAGTCTCCGACCTTGATGCAGTAGCTGGTTGTGTAGAAGATGTTTTCCGCCTTGAGGTCTCTGTGGACGATGTTGTTGTCATGCTGAAAGGTAAACACCCCCGCCCCCCCGAAAAAGGGGGAACATGTCATTAGAGGTTCTGTTTTGTGGGAACATCAACAGAAATTGAACAACAGCATTAACTTCAATGGTCCTTCGATGTTTATTATTGTAATGTTGCAAATTTCTAAACTCCACTGTACTTATCAGACAGTTAATAATTATTTCCAGTTTTAAATGAAGAAATCTGAACATAACATTTGCAAAGTGAGTTCTGAGCACCTCCAAAGAAGGTTTTCACCCCTCCCACCAATGATCAAACATGTATCACTATCCAACATGTCACATTGAAAACAAAAAGTACATATTCCTGTCTTAGTAATTACGGCGGTGTGACACTAACCTGCACACCACAAGGGGCATTTTTCAGCATTAGGAGCAAATTTACTTTTGTTGATTCAAGTACAATTTACTGAAAATACTACTGTACTTTACTCTCTACTCCGCTAGTGAATCTTTGGTTATGTTTTCTGATGTTGTGAGAGTAGAGTAGAAAACTAGATCCAATTATTATTTTAAATGAAAAAGTTCACACGTATGCAGCATTAGGGGTCTTAAGACACTGATAACACATCCATAGTTCATCCATAGACTGAGCCCAGCTCTGTGTGAGGATGACGTGGAAGCTCACCATGTGTTTCACAGCAGAGACGACTTGTGCAAACACCAGCCTGGCGTCCAGGTCGGTAAGCTTCCCCCTGCTGGTGATCCGGGAGAACAGGTCTCCGCCGCTGCCGTACTCCATCACCAGATACAGCTTCCTGCTGGTCTCCATCACCTCGTACAGACGCACCACGTTGGGGTGGCACAGCTTCTCCATGCAGCTGATCTCTGAGTTGGTCATTGGCTGGATCCTCTCGTCCAGACGCAGCTTATCCATGATTTTGATAGCGACTCTCTCTGGGACAGGAGGGGCGGGCGGGAGGGGATTAGATGTCAGCAAAGGACTTAGAGAGTATCAAACAAGGTGACGGCTCAAAATAAGGACAGACAGTTCTTAAGATATTTAAGCACACGGGAGTGTTGTGGCACATAAGACGGCTAATGAAATGTATTTCTGGCGGAGTCATAAGAAAAAAAAAGAAAAACACATCAACGACTCGTGATTCCTGACCTTTGGTCAAGGCATGGATGCCCAGCCTGACCGTGGAGAAATTCCCCTGGCCGATCTCTCCACGCAGCTCGTAGAAGCCGACCCTTCGCCCGAGCATCAGGTCGTTGACGATCCTCTCGCTGTGGGCCATGTCGTAGACGACGCTGTCGAACGGCGACTGCCTCATCCTCTCCGCTTCGGTCAGCTTTGGGACGGCACTTGGGCGAGCGGAGGCCGTCGGCCTCCAGCCTATTTTCTCCTCCACTATGGCCTCGCTTTTTGATTTTTTGCCCTCTTTCTGCTTCGGCCATATGCGTGCTTTGATGGCTAGAAAAGAAGATTTAGGGGAATTGGAATAAAAATTGAGATACGTGGGTCTTAAAAAGTTGTCTATGTGAAACAAATTAAATCCACAAATTAAATAGCATTAGATTTACTTTTATTTACGTAGTATGCACCGCTGACATTGCATTTGTTGCCGTAAATAGCCAGATGCACTCTTGAGATATTTTTGTAGTAGACCAGAAAAGTCCTGAGGTCAATGTTACATGTATAGAACATCAGTAATGAGATTGACCTCCACGTTAACTTCTGAGCTAAAACGTCTGGCCGTCACAACAATCCTAACCGCCGCCAGGTTTGCGCTTAGTTTATAACTTGTTGGTTGCTGTTAAAAGACGGAGGCAAATGATAAAATGGTGAAATGAAATAGATTCTCAGGATACAAGAGGAGCTCTTGTAATGACATTTTATTTTAAGCCCCTTTCTCTTTTCTGGTGTTGCTTTGGAAATATTGATTTATACGCTTCATCATAAATTTCCACATGTAGCACGTTTTGGACAAAAGCAGGATGTGTCAAACGTTCCTGTTTTGTCTCTTCTGGAAACATAAGTTCATATTTTAATCACAATCTCAAACTCTTAGCACATCTATTTAAAAAACAGAATATTTGGAGAAAGTTCTTACGTGAACTTTGTATCCTGTTCTGGTCATAACAGGAAGTTTAAGTTCAGCATTACACAAAGAGCAATGAGCAACGTGGGTTAAATGTCAGATTGTTTTTCCGTCAAATCTTGAACACTGTCACATTTCAAACAATACAACGCTTCCTGCAAAAGACGGGAGTTTTGGCAAAGAGCAGATTTACCTTGGAGCTGTGGATCCTTCATGTCTGTCCCTCAGCCACACCTGACTCTCACTGAACATGTGAACACGGCCTACGAGGACTAAATCCCTCGTCACAATCCTATTAGCAGTGTATTAGTGCACTGCTCATTGGGTTCTTATCTAACATAGACTAAAACGAGGCAATCGCTGCATACGCACTTTCAAAGGAAATACTAATCATTAATCACATTAGTTTTCTGTGGGGATAAATATTGGAACACAATATAAAAAACATAACAAAACATAATAAAACACCTTGTGTATTAATTGAATCACTGAAAGATTGATGTTACACATATTGCAGTAGGCTAACTTTAACAGTTAAAATGAAAGGAAACTCGGTCAAATCAACCTTTGAGAAGGTAAAACAATACGAGGTTAAGAGGTCATTTCCATCCTGAATGCAAATGAATTAGCATTTAGCATCAGCATTTTCTTAAGAAAAAACAAGAAAAAGATCTGTGCAGAGTAACAACTCCAAAGGACAGTTACTGTCGCCAGAAGCCACCTGTATGCCTACAGTTTGTCATATTGGCATTATTAGGTTTAAACTTCCCCCATGTGGACAAAAAGCATTAACTTAAAGTTATTTTTTATCCGGGTACATTTTTTACCAGTTGAGGTAAGAAGAACATTGCTCATCCAACATATATTGCTTTCACAATAAATAAAAATACATGTTTCACTAGCATAAATATCGTGGCATCTACTCTTCGAGTGAGCAGGATGGACGTTTGCTTCGCGCCTTTCCGACCAATCACCAACGAGGATTGGTTGGCGGGAGAGGAAAAGGCGGGCCTCCTAGTGTTCCACTGACGAATCAGCGCAGGCCCCTCACCGAGAAACCGGAAGCACATGCTGGCGCGCTGCTCATGATGTTGTCATCTGAGACATGTTGCTAGAAGATCGGTGATTAGTGCGTATATACATATATATCATTATATTTTTCGTAAGTGTAACGATCGTGTTAAAAAACGAAAATGGCCGCAACAGTGGCTACACCCGTCACGGCCACGGAGCCCGACCCTGTCCGGTGCGGGAGTGAGGAGGAGAACCGTGGGGCCGAGGCGGAGGAGGACGGCGCGCGGCAGCAGACAGGCCCCGCGGCCGCCGTGAGCCACAGCAGACCGTCCAAACTCCCGCTGTCCCGCATCAAAGCGCTCATGAAGACCGACCCAGACGTGTCCCTCGCCAGCCAAGAGTCCGTGTTCATCATCGCCAAAGCCACGGTAAAAAAAACAACAACAACAAAATAAACTGTAGACGGAATAAAAGGAAGTCTGTGTCACGCCGAGTCAATCGTGATATCTTCATCCGGATTCAGTACAATGAAATGTGTCATTTGTTTTTTCCGTGTGTTAAGTGAAGTTCATAATAAACTCCAACCTGTAAGCATTGAAGTACTTTCACCTTTTATTCACCAGGGCCGTTGTCCTCAAATTGAGTTATTTAATGTGTCACAGTCTATAGAACTGACATTAAAAAGGAATGTGTCAGCTTGCAAAAACCTAAATGAAATAATAATGAAACCGATTTAAAACAGAGGTTTGAACATAAGCTAATAGATATAATTATATAGATGGAAAGAAAGTATAGCGAGAATTCCTCTTGTCCAAATAATCTGCTCTTCAGAGTTTTAACTATTCAAATTCTGACTAAAACGTGAAATGAGGCGACAAAACAAGGCCTGTAGCTGACAAAGAAGGAAATAAAGATCAGTTTTAAATGCACGAAGCAAAATGAGATACAGTTTCCTTCGGGTTCTGTAGTCAATACTAATTGTACCAACAATAATATCCGTATGAGGCTCCGAATTTGATTTGGCTTCAAATGACAGAATATCAATGCCGTTCTTTCTTCTAGGAGTTGTTTGTAGAGATGATTGCCAGAGATTCCCTGGTGTACGCCCAGCAAGGAAAGAGAAAAACGCTGCAAAGAAAGGACCTGGGTAAATGCGATTTGAAAATATCTAATAATAAGGCAAAGTACATTTAACATGTTCGCTTGGATGTCGACAAACCTAATATTTAAATGTACAGATGTAATATAAGAACACCAGTTTTTACTTTTTTTTTAACTCCCTTCTCTTTTACCTTTACAGACAATGCAATAGAGGCCATAGATGAGTTTGCATTTCTAGAAGGTAAGCCCCACCAGGACTTTATTTGAATTCACCTAAACAAGGTGAACTTAATATAACACATTTGTAATGACATACTGCATATTCGTGCAAATGTGTGCACATGTACTGTATACATTATTGATCCCATTCCTATATAAAATGTATGTACAACTTCAGTTTGTTCTTTTTACTTTTTTGTAGGAACGCTGGATTAAACGTGGCTCCCAACGAGAAGAACATTAAATATCTGCAACCATCCAAGAAACTTTACACAATTTGTTGTGAAGACCTTTTCTGGTACTTTTCTAAGTCAGAGTCTCAGAATGGATATTTATAAATGCTTTTCTACAATGTTTCATTAAGATTTGTCATACTTTAATTTCAGTGGTAATGTGTACATGTGTTGATGTTTTTGTAAATATTTCTGAAAGACTACTGTACAATGGAATAAATGTAAGTTTTACACAATCAGATTTGCAAGATGAATATCCATGTCTGTCTGTGGTCAGTATTAAAATGATATTCTACACATTGGTAAAACTAGACAAGTTACTATTATGCTAAAAAAAACAATCTATGTAATGGTTACTATACTATACTACTATACATATCCCGCACTATACTGGGCTGCTCATCCTGACTGGGAATCCTACTTCCAGGATTTTTTTTTTAGACATTTCAGTAAAATGTAACTTTTAGATGACGTACCGACACAAAAAGCATCACATTACTAGAAGACGTGAATGTAGACTGAATCCGCCTTCTGCAGGAGAGATCCAAAGAGCTTTCCAAATGAGAAGCACAGTTCACACAAACCACATTGTTCTAAATTACAGCATTGGATGGATTTATTCTGCTGTGCAGCTCATCAACTTTTTTATCGTCATTTTTCAGAAACGTGGCAGTAAAAACTGTTGTTTTGTTTCTTGTCATTGTCCCAATGCTGACAAATTAGAATGTTTCCCCTGATACATCAATTTGGACCACAAGACGCTGACACCAAGCTTCTATTAAGTTTTTAAAATGTACTTTTTTTTTCCCCCATCAATATTTTTTTTTGAAATGAAGATATGTGCCTTGTTTTATTTCTATTATAATTTCTATTTAATATATTTAATGATATTTGCATAATCATTTAAATGTTTGAATTGTAACTGATTCAGTTTGAAACTACAATTCCGTTACTGCCCACTGGTGGACAAACTATGTAATGGCAACACCAAATGACTGCAACATATCTTTGTTATTTCTTTTTAGTTGTCAGCTGACATTTGGGTTTGCTCAGAGTCAGTCCGCATCTGTTGAGTACAAAACAGTTGTGGCAGAGACGAAGAGACGGTAGTTAATTACAGTGCAATACCTGCAGGAGGTGAAAGTTAAATGTCTTGTTTAGAACGGTGACTGTTGTTCAGCACTGACAAAATCACAGAGTTCTGAGTTTGCTGTAAGGATTTATCTGAATCTCTCTAGACCTGAGACATATTTTGTTCTTCCTGGCAGCATTTATTAAACACACACAAGCGGGTTCAGTTTCACACTGGAGGCACAGTCAAGACCCCTTTGAGTTTTTGCAGCAGAGATTTTCAAAATAAATGCCTTTGTTTAGCTGATTTTCTGGGTTTAGTGTTTGGTGCAGTGGTGAAACAGAGCAGGGGGAAGCACATAGGTCTGGTTTCAGAAGAGCACCAGTCAACTCCCCGCAGAGGAATGCCTGACTGGCACAGGGGAACATGGAGTGCTCTTTTATAATAAAGTATAATCATATGTTGAAGGATTGGACCTTATTTAATTCCTACAGTTAATAACGACATTCCATGAAGGAATTTTCATAATGTGAAAATCAAATCTAGAGCCTCCCTTTGCCCAGAGCAGGACATGCACAGTGAATCGGGGAGCTGCCTGATTGTCCTTCTAATGATGGGAAATTGGCATGATGAGAGAATAAGCTGATCCTGTGCCTTTGTCTGGTTATTTAAAAATAAATGCAAACCAACTGGCATGATACTTGTAATCAGATCCCAGGTAAAGAGAAGGGTTAAATGTATTCATCTGCAGATTAAGGCCGACGCTACGTCAGGACATTCCACAAATATTTTTTTCCTTCTCTTCAAGAAACCCTGATGTTAAAAGAATAGCTTATAGGGGAAATTTCCTTTTCTTGCTTTCTGGTATCTAACGTTTGTATTTTAAATACAACAATTAAGTCAAAAGGTCATTACTGTAGCATCACGACTGGAAACAGGTTGAATCTGTTTACCTGGTTCCACTGAATGCTTCCCACGGTGATCACCTGATTGCAATGTCTTCAAGGCAGACAAAAAGGATTGATTGATTATTAAGAATCAATAAGTTTTGCCTGTCACATTTTTTCCCTTAGAAATCCGACGCAGGTAAAGTGGGATATCTTCGGCTGCATGTTTAGCAGTGAACCGTGTCATCCATCATCTGCAGGAGGCCATACTATCTCAGGTTCTCCACCCTCTTTAGAGGGAGACATTACCCCCACCCTTTTGCTCCTATTCATCTATTTTTCATTGCCCACATGTTTGTGAGTCTGCACATTTTGACAGATATTTTAATTGTGGCAAAGATATGCAGAAAATGTGTCCGTCTCACAAGCCGACCCGCAGTCATGTGGAAGGGTATGTTTTTGCAGCTGACATTCCACCCTGATTTCTTGGGTCAATTTCTTGAACAGTTAACCCCACCTCCAACACACACACACACACACACACACACACACACACACACACACACACACACACACACACACACACACACTTTACCCGAACCCCACCCCTCAGTGCACAGACGGCATATTTTCACATCCAGGAAGCAGATACGTATGCCCATATGCAACATTGTTGCCTTCTTGTCTGAATATTTCCCAGTTCTTCAGGTATTTCAAGGGCCAAAGGATAATTTGTTCAATGTTTGGATCCGTTTTTGCCACAGGACCTTAGGCAGGCCCCTATTGATTACCGCATAAAACGGGCCCTCTACATTCCCCAAAAGTAGTTTCTAAAGCAATATTTCCTTGCATGAGGTGCCTCATTGATCCAAAACAATCTTTTGCAGAGGACAGAAAGATGAAAGCACCGAGGGCAGTGAAGTGTAATCTATCGTTTTCATTTGTGAGGTTAAGTTATGTATTTGTAAACTTAGGAACTATTTCATAGCAGTTTTCCCTTCTATTTGGGAAACATTATGTCATGGAATCCCCATCACATGAGCGATAATGTCATGGATTAAAAACAAAGTGAAATGAAACAGTGAGCCATGTTGCATGCCTGTGTTTTTCCTCTAGCCAACATAAATAACATGTATCCTAGCATACAGGGGAACACATCTACTGTAGGTGTCAAACTTTGGTGTCCATTCAACAGAAATAACTTGAAGGAAAGATACCAATTTCCTGCAGCAGTAGATGAGGATGAAGAGCAGCAACGTGCTACATTTTTACCAACTACACAATCCAAAATGTTTGTTGAATAGTTGTCAGTCTGTAAAGAGTTACAGGAACCAGATTTGAAGCAGAAATATGATGCTGAAGTGATCCCTGTTACAAAGTTCAGCTTTATTCAGCTCATTGTTGGCAACGATCAAAACCAGGAATCCAAAGACCAAGAATGGGTTGCAATACTATTCAAAAGCAAGGCAATGAGATCATTTGGGAGAGCAACAATGGATCCGTGCCGGGTGACTACAGGGAGCGGCCGAGGAGGAACTAGACGGGGAGCCCAGACAAGATCTCAGACAACGGGAGAGTCAGTGAAAACGGCGTGAGACGGTATGAAGTCGGGATCCTGAATGAAAGGAGAAGAGAATTGGTTTAGAACAAACTGCCATTGTGTGACAGTGACCAAGGTGACTTGGTGGTCGAGGGGTCAGCGGTTCATGTCCGTACACTTTGGCATCAGTGCAGCAAGATAAACCACTAGAAGTCAGCAGAAACAAGATTTCCTGCAGGTGCTACCCTACAGCTACACAAAAAGCTTTCTTAAAACTTTGATTTAAAGCATAAATTGGAAGCTACAGTAAAAAAAGAAGCTATTGTAAACTGCAGAGTTACATTTATTATCACTGCCAGGGAAATTATCTCTCAATATTGCTGTGTAATTGTTTTTTTTATGCTTTGAAAGCCATAAATGGCCTTCTAGGCACCTCCATTGTATTTGGGTGGCTTTGCAGTTTCACCAATATCCTTGTCAAGTAAAAGATTAAGATTATCAAAATGGCAAGTTGGTAACACAAGTTAAATAAAGAACAGTGCTCCAAGCAAAGGGCAAATGAACAAAAACCATCAAATAGTTCACATGGTCAAAATCCCCACTCATATCATTCCTTATTAATAATATATGGAGCTCAGTTATCGAGATTCAGCACTTTGCCAATTAAATGTGTGTAGACATTAACTGTAAAAACATTTGTTTCATCTGTCATCATCCAGCTTCTGGATCATTTTATAGACCGTCTTTGTTGGCGGCATCGTCGGTCTTTGGTATGTGTGAGGTGACATGTGTTGGTAATTTTTCTCGACCACAAGCTCAGTTCAAAGGAACATCTTGAAGCAGACATCCATCTATGTGTAATCAGCACAAGATGCTTTTTTCTGTTGAAGAGCCTTTGCAATCGATCTAGATGCTCACAATTGTATTAGGGTTTGTGGTCGGACACGAGAGCATCTGAAACTCTTTATTCTTTATTCTACAAATAAGTTACATTTACTTGGTGGAATTGGTGCATTGACATGAGCCAAAACCTAAAAAAGAAATGAAATGATCGCTGTAAAAGAACTAAAGCACAGGCATTGGTTTCCTATTGGCTGCCAGGCTTTTGACAGAAGTTTGTTCTGTAAATCAAAGACTGATGATTGGAAGTGTCCAACCAAAGAATGTAAGATTTGTCTTCATTTGTTAGAAGAATGATTAAAGACATTCATCACCAGAGTATAATGCATGCCTGAAAACAAGCCTCATTTCTTTAGAGACACACAGCGATGTGTCATCCGTTTAGAAAGATGACACATGGGAGACGTGGTTATTTGTTTCATGTAACCTGAAATAGTGGCAGCATATGAACTGAACAGTATAAGTTCAGTAAAGCTGAGGACGGCACCTTGTAGAACACCTTCTCCAACGTGCAAATAAAGAGGTGATGAATTACCCATAAGATCGAACAAACGTTTTTAAAATGGAAAACCCCCCCAGAAAAACAGGCCCGGTTAGGTGTTTAACCGACGAGTTTAATATCAAGAGAAGGCCAAAGGGTCGAGATTGATGTATTCGCATAGCCAGCAGTTGTTTGCTGCTGTGTTAATGACCTGAACCACCTACGTTGCACATTTAAGACAGCACACTGATTTAAACCGGTTGTCTCCCAGTGTCAAGATAAGCTAATGGTTGATCAAAGATTCCAGGTATGTTTGGCATTTTTGTCTGGAATCCCACAGAGAACAAGACTCTGCTGCAAGACCTATTGAGACGCACCAGTCAGACACGCCTACTGTCCGGTCTGAAACTTTCCACAACCACATAACTGCAAATCCAGGTTCATTCTATATTATTCGGAAGTGAAATACGTTTGTGTCGTTTAAATGGCAGATCACGTGATCTGAAAGCCACGGGATGAATCCTTGTGAATCTGTTGTTCAGTCCTGGGTGGAGAAAAGGCAATGGGGACAGCAGAGGCAGGATGGAGGAATTTAAAGCCTCAAACGACAACGCGAAGCAGCAGAAACGGAGGAACGAGCGAGAGGTGAGATGAGCGTGAAAGAAAAAGCGGATCGGGGAGGGAGTTTGGCTGAGGAGGAGAGTGACTGAAAATGGATTAACGGAGGGTGGGAGGGGAAGACGGTGAGACAGAACAAGAGAGGTGGTGGAAGTGGGTTGAGTGAGAGATGGGCAGGGAGGTAAAAAAAAAAAAAAAAAAAAGAGGGAGGGAGTGATATAAGAGAGGCAGCCACAGAGGGAGAGGTGACAGAGTAGATTATCCTCGTCTCCTCCTCTCCTCCTCTCTGCCAGCCTCATCATGTTCACGCCGCAGATGTTGACTGTTATCTCTCTGACTGTTATTCTCCTGGCATCTGTGGAAGGTAGGACACAACCATACTTACTATCTGTGTGCGCCTGGGTGTGTGTTGCATGGCAGGTGGACAGTGTGGCAAAGGGAGCGATGGCGAAGACAGAAAAGGAGAGGAAGAGGGAAAAAAGGGGGACAGCAGCGGCAGCAGAGAGGGAGGCACGGATGTAAACAGAGGGACGGGACGCGGGAGGATGAGCGTCTGATGTCACACATCACTCAACGCAGAAAGAAAGAAACGGGCTTGTGTGTGCGCGACGGTGTTTGTTTGTATTTTCGTTTTGTTGAAGTACTGGAAGTGAGCCGGCGTTCCCAAAGGGACGTATTTGACGTTTGAGGAGCGTCTGTGTCCTCGAAATGGCCAAGCGGCCGTGTCCCATTTTACAGCTCTTAATGCTCCTGCTGTGTCCATCCCACTTTAAATTGTTTACTCGTTTGCTTTTGGATGAAAAGGCATCATGGCACACCCTCCACACAAACACACACTCCTCTCTCTCTCTCTGTCGCTCTCTGTCTCTCTCTCTCTCTCTCTCTCTCTCTCTCTCACTTTCTCTGTCTGCCGTGTTCGTATGTTTCGCAGCACAATGGGATGCCTTTGTAATTCCTGACATTCTTGTGTGCATGTTTGAGTGTCCATCGGTGTATGTGTGTGTGTCCACGTGGAACCGGAGTCATGGGCACATTCTCCAGAACAGATAACATTTGGCTGTTTTGTCCTTTGCTAACATCAGAATTCCTAACGTGAGAGGTTTGCATTATGTTGTTTGTGATCATGTGATAAAACACATACTGTCCGAAACTTTTGTGGCCGGACGTGTTCGGTCTCCTGTGCTTGCTTCGTTTAATAGAGGAAGGCAACAGAGTTGATTGAGCTTGACTGGAAAAATTAGCAAACTGCCGTCAATTTTCTTTTTGTTTGACACCCTCCTCTCCAATCTTTTTGCTCCCTTAGGTAAAGGGGTGCAGATGCAAAGGGACGTCCAGTGCTGCATGTTGTACTCCCAGGGCAAGGTGCGTACCAAAGACGTGTTGCGCTTCGAGGTGCAGACGGAGGGGCCCGACTGCAGTATACAAGCCATCATGCAAGTATTTCGAGAGCACACAGCAATCTGCAGGCGTGGAAAATATGCCTCTCGTTAGAGGAGGGCAGAGCCGGGCTGAGAGGCATTGTCATCTTTCCAGGTCCCGTTGTTATGGCAGAGCTTGGAGCTACATTTGCCAGGGAAGTAAGAAAGGAAATATGTGAGAATAACAAGCCATCTGAAAATACCTTCCGAGCCAGCTAAGCCCTGCCGCAGCCGCTGCGTCAGAACAGCAGGGTTTAGTTAAGTAAACTATTCTGCATTGTGATACCTATTGTTTCCAGGAGGTCGGAGAAATCTGAGTTCAAGGAGCTGGCTTTTTTATGGACCAGTTAACAGAAACATGGAATTCTTACGCGGTGGTTTCTTTTTGCGCTTCTCTGTTTCAGCGGTTCCTCCACTTCTTTCCTTTTACTTTGCCCACTTTTGCCCACAGTTTGACTTGTTTCTTACAGGGAAAGAAAACATGATTTGCCTCCTACAGCGTTTCCTCTCTTGCAATTCCTCCGGGCTCAAAGTTTCCGCCTTACTTGACAGACATATTTGTTAGTCCGCCACATTCCTGGTGGTTTATTTTTCATAGCTTTTCTTCTGCCTTCAATTTTCGTAATTAAAATCCGGGTTTTGCGGGAGATCCGTTTCTCCGTTACCCATGTTGTGTAATAAGTACTGTGTTCTTCTTAAAAGCCTTTACACAAAGAAGGCGGTGAAGTGTGCAGACCCCACGGACCGGAAGGTGAAGAGGTTGCTAAGAAAGCTCCTGTTGAGACAGAGAACCAAGGACCACAGAACCATGTGGCTCCTACCTCGTGACAACCTGCCCGTCATGTCCGAGGTACGTGACACAACCAACAGAACCGCGTTCAACGTTATCAAACAGAAAGTGAGGGATTTTCATGTTGTTCACCTGTGATTTCCTCCTCGTGTGAATATTAGAACAAGAAAGATAACTGGGCAGTTCTCAATGTGGAGTGATGGAGCGCCATCGGATATGGAGGAAAACTCATAGTCGTAAGTGTGTTTTTTTTTCTTTTTTAAAGCAGGATGTATAAATATGTCTCTTAAATGTCTCACCTGGTGCTTTTGCATACTTCTCCACAGGCCAAGAACGCCGTCAGCAGCTCGTCACTTTACACGGCACAGCTTGCTGAATCTCCAGTCGTCTTGTGTGTCTCTCTCTATCTACACTATCCGTCTCCCCGGGACCAGACCCGGGCAGCAATACATTTAAATGGCTTTAGATATTCAAAGATGAACTGTGCTTGACATATTCTCAAGCACGTGGCTGGAACAGTCTCTGAAGAGGTGTATTTACTTGTAAGATAAGTTGAATTGATTTTTTTTTTTTTTTAATGGCTCATACTGTTATCTGCCGGAGTCGGCCTGGAAGTGTCTCCCTCTACAACATTACTTCTTGTGAGTGATGTGAAAAAGGTGTAATTAAGCAAACAATGAAGTTGCAGTGATCTTTCTTTATTTCATATAAGATACTCTCTATGCTTATTTGTGAATTGTATACCTTCAGTAATGTATTTATAACACTGCACACACTGTTAGATGGGTGATCCCGAAGCGGGATCAGAGAGAAGATTTCTTCCTGTGTCACACAAAGGACAAAGGTTGCTGATTTCTTTTCTGACATGTATCGACTCTTTAAAACCCATAAAATCCCGGCCAATCTTCTAAAAATCAGGCATCTATCAAAGATTTAAATGTCTAAGCATTTGCAGTTTACATTTGTCTTCTCCACTAATAGTCCACGACTAAACTATGCCAAAGTATCCATGATTTAATTCACTGTATGGCAAGGCTGTTAAAACTTAGAGGGCTCAATTGTGTGTGAAGCACACAAGTATTGTATCGTAGAAGAACACACTGTATTATCTCAAGTGAACTATTTTATAAATTAATCTGAAATAATCGGAGCTGCCTCACTGTCTTTTTTTCTTTGCATCTTGTCTGCAGCAACAGTACTGGTGGCTCAAAAGCAAAGAAACACATAGAGAAACAACAGCAGAAAGACAATGACTGGGTTAATGAGGAAATGAAGTGTAGGCGGGGAGATTATCAGGTAGGAGCAGTGAGGTGATTACAGGCCAGATGGGAATTTGCAGGATGTGGAATGAGACGAGAGAGTTCTGTCCGATTGTTGGGTTCATACATCCTCAACTGCGCTTTTGTGTTTGGCAAATGTTGCCATCCTAACGCAAGCAAAGCAATACCAACGAGCATGGTAAACATTGTAGATTCTTTATATGTGTGATATAGTGTGTATTTATATTTTTTAGCATTGTCACTGAGTATTTTTAGCATGTTGATGTTATAACAAAAAGGTGCTCAAATGGCTGAAGCCTTGTCAGGAATAAAAAAATGGGCTTTCAAAACGTGTTTACTTTAGGTAATTACATGAAATAATTATTCATGTGAAGGTTTTTAGTTACATTCATTTATCAGTGAGTGAGATCGGGGTCCGTTTTGTAATTGAATGCACTACTATGACAGCAGAAGGTTTTCATTGACTCACTGTACATTATTATTACAAACGTTTTTCTCAGATATAATTCGACCCGTCTGTGTCTCTTAAGACTTAAGACTTAAGTAGAACAGCTTCCGGACAGGAGAGCATCCTCCACTAGGGGAGGCCACAAACACAATAATGACAATCACAGTTAAATTCCTGAGCCATTTATTTGTCGCATTTTACCATAAGCTGTCCATCAAAATGTTGAGCTTTTCACTGAAATGACATCCATCTTCAAAACTAACGTCAAATCTTTGCATGAGCGTAACGGAGACAAAGCCGAAGGAGTTTTAAATGCTAAATAACTTCACAATACCTTCCTCTAAAACAGTCACCAAAGCATAAAGCCACAGTACATTCCATTTCTGAAGACGTTCACTAACTTTCTTCACAATACCTTTTCACAAAACAATCAAAATGAATAAAAATAAATAAATCTTTAACAAAGACCAGAGGGTGCAATGAAGTACTGATGATACGCACATTATTTTTACCACAATAACAACAAAGATCATAAAATGGTCTTGAAATTGCATTTTCTTATACTTAAATCAGTAATGGAAAAAAAGATCCAATGTAAGATAAATGAAACATTCACATTGAAAAACTAAAACTTTCATGTAGGAAGAAGGACAACTAAGTAGATCTAAGAAAAAAGATTTTACCTACAAGTATTCCATTTAATTACTGTGAGGCAGTGCAGTCCATCAGCAAAATGTCATAGTGACAGCACCAAAGAAACATGACTATTGAAGAACACAGGAAATACACACCAATATAATATATTTATAAGAAAACACCAAATGAAAAGTATTTCAACAAGTCTCTTCAAATATATCCACTTCAAATCCAAAAAAGTAAATCACAGATTCTGCTTCACATCATCTCCAACAGTCAAGTATACTCAACATTGTACAGTGAAACAGTGCAGGCCAACTTAAATAACATAAAAATAATCAAGACATGATTTAGCATCCTGCTGATTCGCTCCATTTAGTATTTCTGTATGCAGCGATGTAGAAGCTCCATGTACACGTTCTATTAGAGGTAGTCGTAATAAGAATGACAACAAATGAGTCTTTACAAAAAAATGTATATGTATGAAGTGTTGAGTCATGCAACACCAATGATGCGGATTGAAATATATATATATATATATATATATATATATATATATATATATATATATATATATATATATATAGATAGATAGATAGATATAGATAATAGGAGCCAGTGGTGGTGTTTTGTCTTCAATAGTCCTGTGTATCAGTACTGATGATAAGAAGTTTTTGATGCTTCGACTGTACAGTCACAAAGCTCTGAATGAAGAATGAAGCTGGAAACCTTTTTTAAATGACTCTGAACCCTCTTTTTTAATTTCTAGCTTTAACTGAACTGTACTGATTTCCTGTCATGAAGCAACCTCTGGGGTCAGACTTTGTATTTCCTCGTTTAACAGAGAATTTTCTTTTGCCTCTTAAAGGAAAAATGAAAAGAGTTGGTGTATTCAACTGCAACATCGATCTCCAAACCCACAAGCACTGGCCGAATAGACCATTAAATCATATTTTCTCTGTGAGACGACCCGCTAGCTAAATGCTTTTGGCACGTGAAGCCCTGCAGGGTGTCGTCCTTGTCTTCACATCGAGGTCTCGCCGTTGCGGTGGTTGAGTGAATCATTCTCCTGACAGATGAGCTGGTAGGGCTTCTCATTCTCCTCGATGACAGAGTTGCGCACCTCGGCATCCTGACTCTTCAGCTCTGCGCGGGAAAGGTGCTCCACTATTCCCGCACCGAGGGAGTCACCCAGCACGTTGGTGGTCGTCCGTAAGCGGTCCCTGATGGGGGGGTCAGATTAGAGACAGCAACAGTAATATAGAGTAGAGGTGTGCATACAAGGAAAACGCTAGTGTTTACATAGCACTCACAGCTGAAAATATAATGCATGTGCTTCTAAACACGGGCTTTCCAATCTGTCCGTCTGCATTATGCATCAATAACCTTCCGTAGTGGTGGGACCTCTGAAGCCTCACGCTGACATTTAGACCCACAGAACCAATCCCCATCAAGCTGACATTTAGTGGGAACTCACAGGAACCAATCCACGGCGATGATCAGCGTTATGTCCTCCGTGGGCAGTCCTACCGATGTCAATACGATCACCATGGTAACCAGGCCAGCTTGAGGGATGCCTGCTGCTCCGATGCTGGCAGCAGTTGCTGTGATACTGCGTGGGCGGCGGGAGGGATGGCGAGGAGAGCGGAGACATTTAATGAAAGGGAAACAAACAAACAGCACATGTGCTGGTGGTGGGAGTAATATAGTGAGAAAAGCAGCAGGAACTGTCAAATGATGTACATTTTCTACATGTGCATATTGTTATGTTATGTTAGAAAGTTATGCATGCGTTGTCAAAGAGAATAACTCCACAAAGACCCTTTTTGTATGATGCAATGAATGTAAGGAAAGGTATTTCCTAAAATGCACACGGTGTCTAAATGACCCACAATGCAACTCAACAGTTTGACCTTAGACTTGTGTGCTGTGTGCTGGTAGTAGTGTTGGTTCACCTTTCTCCTGATACTTAAATCTTGGATTTTAATCAGCCCAAGCAATAAGGTGACATTTCATGCCGCCAACATCTGCAGTATTTTTGTCTAAACTAGCAAGTGTTGTTACCTGATGGTCAGAATTTGACCAAAGTTTAGGTCCATGTCATTGACTTGGGCAATAAAGATGGCCGCCACCGCCTCGTAGAGGGCGGTGCCGTCCATGTTGATGGTGGCGCCCACGGGGAGGATGAAACGCGTCACCCGTTTATCCACGCGGTTGTTCTCCTCCAGGCAGCGGAAAGTGATGGGCAGCGTGGCAGAGCTGAAGCATGCAGGAGGAGAGAGTTTTAGACTCAGTCGGACACACAGTATCCTATCAATCAATTTGTTAGTATTATTAAGTAATACAAACAAGCTGGAGTACGCGTTCACCTAGATGAGGTTCCCAGAGCAGTGATGAGCGCCTGCAGGAGACCGGCGATGAAGCTGAAGGGATTCTTCCTGGTCACCAGGAAGTAGAGCAGTGGCAGGACGAACAGGCCGTGGATTAGGAGACCCACGATGACCGACACGGTGTACATTCCCAGCTGACCGCCCACCTCCGCCAGGTTCTTCATCTCCACAATCTTCCCCGCAATCAGGAACAGGATACCAACTGGAGCATACCTGAGGGGTGAGATGGTTGTGTTAAGAGGAAGATTTTTAAGAATATAAAACCTACGACTACCACAGTTTAACAGGGCTGTAATTATTTCACACTATCTTTTGCAATTAAGTGGAAAAAAACATCAATTTTGTGTTCACCATGTCTGTCAGTACCATCTATGAGCCTGTTCAAGCTTTGTTGAATTTATATATTTTGGAGTATTCGGGCCACAAGTTTAATTGTTGAACCTGTAGATGAAATATATATTACACTTCACTATTTGTATTAGGTATCTTAAAAATATGGGATCTCCTCTAGAGATAAAAACAAGTGAATCGTGTTTTAAGAAGTTAATCATGTCCTACCATATCAAACTCTAATCAATACAACACACTTTATAACCACAGAATCACAATGTATCTTTAGAAACAAGGAAGTTACACAGCAAGTGTCTTCACTGACCAGATGATGATGGACACCAGCCTCATGATGGCTTCATTGAGGCAGTCAAAGAAGTCCCTGAGGGCCTGGCCCTGCTGCTTCATGCTGCCTACAACCAGACCGAAGCACATGGAGAAGACCACCAGACCGAGAGCGTTCACGCCATTAGAGGACCCGGACGCGGGGACAGTCTCCTCCACTGTCTCCTGTGTTAGAAGATACATATGCGAGGTGATTGACACAAATTGCAAAGCTGTGGTCCCTCATTGGAGCAGCAAACCCTTTTCTTCTTAGAACCGTGTCGCCGAGAGGAGGATTCCGCCGCCTTCACCCACCTGTATGGTGTGCAGCACCCTGCTGAGGTTCACGCTCAGGTCGGACTCTGTCATGTTCAGAGAGTCCGTGAGGTTCAGCGTCACCGTCACGTTCCTTATGCGGACAGTCTTCTTGTACACTGTTTTATACTGCGAGAGAAAGCGTGGAAATTAAACAAAAAAACACATGTTAATACAGTTTGCATGTTTATCAAAGTATAAACAAGTATGAGGAAAGGAATGTGATCTTTGTGCGCGTGTCGATGGTCGAGACGGATGATCTTTTGAGTTCTTTGGTAATAAAAATGGAATGCATGTTTTTACAAATTCGAGAAATAGACGTTAAATGGAATGATATTATTACTTTATGATTGATGGGAAAAGAGCCTCACCTGCTTGAAACAAGCCTCCACCAGATTCGGAGGAAACATGTTCCTGAGATAAAAAGTAATACGTTATTTTCATTTGTGCTCGGTTCCTATAAAACAACACCACATGTCTCCTAATTCTATAGTATGATAATAAATAAAAGTGATAATCTGTTTCAACCATGCTTCTGTCTGAGGTAAAACTATAGAATCTTTCAGCATCTCTAAAGCACATTACCTCATCATCTGGCCTCCTTTCATTTAGACAAAAAAGGTTTTTGCCGTTATGTGCCAAACAAACTGGCTTCTGGCATCATATTGCACGGGCACTGATCTCATGGCTTGGTATATACTACTATTACACATTACATGTGAAAAGATATGCGATTGTCACTCGAACCAACAGCGTATGTGCGGCTTCATAAGTAAGCAAAGGATCTTAACTCTTACCTGATGAGATCCAGGAAAGCATCAGCAGCTTGAACCGGCTCTATGTTCCCACTGTTGACCACAGGACTGTCCCTGCTGCCTTTCCCCGGTTGGATGATTATCACGATAACGATGCCGATGAAGACCGCGATCAGGGTGGTCACCATGTAGTAGACCACCGCGCGCACACCCATCTTACCTGACGCCTTGCTGTCCAAGGAGGAAATACCTGAGACGAGAGTTAAACCGCTCGAATTCAGTCTGCCGCCAGAGTTTGTCATCGGTATCGTTTTGCGCTGGTGAAAAAGCCGACCTGTGACCAGACTGGAGACGATGAGAGGCAGCACCAGCATCTGCAGCATTCTCATCAGAAGCTCCCCCGGGAAGGCAAAGTACTTGATCTCCCTCAGGGACAGGTTGTGGGGGCGCAGGGCGAAGCCCAGGATTACACCTGAACGCAAAGCACAGATGCACACGAGGTCAAGCTGAGTCAAGTAGGGCCGGCGAGAGAAAACGGTTAAACCTCCACCGGTTTTCGCCTCCTCGCTTACCCAGGGCCACGGCGGCCACCGTGAAAAGAACAAAGAGGTTCCTCCGGAGGAAACCTCTGACGTTTTCCCGACTGACGGAGCTCATCCTCTCCTTCAGGCTGCTCGCTCTCCTCTCCATGGCCCCGCGTAGGCGTCTCCTCAAGTCTGCGCTCTCCGCAACGGGGGGTCTGTCCGCGTCCTCGTTCAGGAAGAGAGTTGCACTGGTGGGGGGCTTCTCGCTCATGATCAGCTCCAGCACCTGGTCCAGGAGGCAGGTCTCTTGGGAAACTGGGCAGGGAGCGGAGGACACGGGGAGAAGTGAGGTTAAAACGCCGGGGCAACATTTTTTTTGTCAGGATAGAATGCGAATGGACAGGAAGAATGCACACACATTGATATTGACATCAAACAGCGTCCTTTCCCAAAACAGGAACAGACGATGGAACATTTTGTGTAAACGGTGTGATCCCATCGCAAGATGGTCTTTATATTTGGAATTTCGACTGTTCATTGGACGACCAAGACGGTGTGAAGACTTCGGCTTGTACCCAAAGTGGTTGTGAAGGGCATTTTTTACAAATAAAACATATTTTGTAGATAAAAAAATGAAAAATAATTTATTTTTCACCTAAAAAAATAAGAAAATGATTAACTTCAGCCTACACAGAACAACATGTAGCAGTCGGTAATAGACAAGGTTATAATGTTGTCAGTAACAAGATAAACATGCCATTTCTCCTTTCTGATTTCTACTGTAATGAAACAATTTTAAACAAAGCAAGTTGAAAGTGTTGAATATAAAAGCATTGCAAATAAAGTAAAAATGTACAATAGTTGTGGCCTTTTGTTTTTAATCAGTAGTCAAGATTAGAGATTAAATGACACCGTCCGTCCTTGAATATACGACAGCTAAGTATAGTTCCTTAATGAAAAGCTGTATTAACCTGCCTTATTCACACTAAGGTAAAGAGAAGGCAAAGGGGGATCTGCAAAGTCTTCATCTATTCCGTTGGCATCATTCTTCTGTCTATTGATTTTCTTATGTTCATTGTTCTGAGGTAGGTTATGGATAATTCAAGCCCACCATTTGGCTCACACATAATATGATGTCATACTCTGTGCATGCCCAGTGAAGAAGGCAGTGAAGAAACAATTAGGCCTCAGTGAAGGAATTAAACTGAAAAAACTGAATAACATCAGCTGCTTGAGGAAATCACCACAAATCCACAAATGTGTGAGTGTTCATGAACCGCCACAGGGCCGACCACAGTGAGCGGCACATCGTTTTGAAATGTTTGAATTGTCTGCCAAATGAACCGCATCACTGCCAGAATTTAGGATTTTGAAAGACATATCCTGGTAAAAATTCACCGAGCGCAGTCTAGCCGCTGCATTACACGGTTTTTTACTGTATTTGTCGCTGGGTTTCGTCGGAGCAGCTGTGTTGCCAGAGCAGCAACTTAACTTCCGGCCTAAAGCCGCCGACTCTGGCTCAAACTGCTCCGTGCAGGCTGCCGGCAGCGCTCTGCTGGTGAGGGACAACACGAACATCCAGCAATTAACCAGGACCGGACAAATGCGCTGAGCTCACGTCGTAATGGAAAGAATCCGTAAACCTGGCATGGATATACATATTACATCAACGTATCTCGTTAAATCAACTAGAATACAAAACACAGGCATCCGTATTGTTGGTAGAAGGGCATCATGGGGAACGGAAACAGAAAGCCTCCACAGACTAAAACATATTAGAACACAGGGAGAAAATCTCCAGCTGTAATGTACACATTCAAATAATGCATTGCAGTCAATCCTCATTTTCTTTATCTCCACCGCAAAAATGATCTCAGGAACTCAAGAACTCAGACATAACGTTTCATTTGATTTATTTCATGCACAGATCTTGTTCTCACTGATGTCACACAATGAGAATGGTTGCTTTGATAAGAGAAGGTACAACTGTCTGACGCCGTCACGACTGCATTACAAAATGCATTAGAATCGCAAAAAATGTTGTTGCAATTTCTCTGGCTTGCTAATATCCAGCATTCTCCAATTAAATACACAAATAAAGAAGTAGCTTCCAGGCTTTCCTTAGCTACCGTGACCTGCTGGCTGGTTACTCACCGCTCATGGTGTCGCACAGTTTGATCAGAGTCCACTGGAGCTGTCGGTGAAGACCGAGAGTCCGAGTGAGGCACAATGACGTTGGCCGTCTCACTGCTCTGCTCTCAACCAGCAGACAGACATGAAAAGGCCTCTCACATGGCCCGACCTTCTCACACACAAGACACGCACGCGCTGGCGCACGTGCACACTGAACTAACAACCTCTTTCAGTGCGTGACGAGTCCATAAAAAGTCACCTCCGGCCATCCAGTTTCCATCCCTTGATCCATCCCTCCACCTGCACGCCGCCGATCTACCTCCCTGAGCACTTTGCACACAACAACACAACATTGCAATGGACACAACACCCGAGCAAAATCTTTGGATTTTAACGAAAGGAAAACAATTTAGCTGAGCTGAATAATGTTCTGTGAACAAAATGTCCAGGATTCAGTGTTTTTGGAGACACACACTAGCGACAACAGGGAGTGTCATGGTCGTGCATCAAGGGGTTAGGAGGCAAAGTGAAGCTTGTCCTGGGTTGCTCCAGCTGCCTCCATCTTTTTTTGGAACCAGAAGTGACCATGTTTGGTAGAAAGGGTGGAGCATTAGTGCTCGGTGGGGAAAAAGTAGCATTGAAAAAACCTAAATTAGCCGCTTACACTAGCGTGCTGGCTTAGTTATGTAGCCATGGCCGTATCTTAGATTAGTAACTGTGATTACTAATTGCAACATGCAGACTGCAGATTACACAGTTATCAAAGAGACTGGCGTGTTAAATTTAAGATAATCAAGCTTTTTTATTCAAACAAATGTGTAGATTTATAGTGTTAAATAGCTTGTTTATCCCTTTGATTTATAGCCAGTTGAGCGGTTTGTTCTATGAAAACCCAGTTAGCATCAAAATAACCAGAATATAATGATAGTTAAATAGATTGATAGATAGATGGTTGACAGCTTGAACACACATAAAAAGCTTTTCTTCCAAATGCAGTAGGTTTTTTTAATTCATTCTTTGTGATCCTCTAATGAAAAAATTAACGACATGAAACTTTCTGCAAAAGAAAAAGAAGATAAAGTCAGATACCCTGTTTTCCGCCTCAAGTTGTTTCAAGCCGTCGTGAGGAGACGGATCCTTCCTTCTTCACCTGGAGGTCTTCACTGAAGACGCTGCAAAAACAGGGATTCAAGCTTTACAATCACCTACACAACTTTCCCTCAATCCGTCTCAGACCCATCTAGACGGTGCTCGTCTTTTATAAAAAGAACGAATGTTACACACCTCTGCCTGCCCGAGACTCTCCTCACGCCGTCATGTGGATGCCCGTCTCTCTCCACGACGCAGCCGGCAATGAACAGCGTTGCCCACACACTGAATCTCCTCTCATCAATTCCACTCTCACAGCATCTCCTGTTTTACTATCAAGCGGCTCGTGCTCGTCCATGGAGCCTCGGAGGTCTGCGTGGGAGGAGGAGAGGTTATGGATGCTTGAGGAGAGGGAGAAAAAAAATGGAGAAAAACCACCTTGTTTGTGTGTGAAATAGTCTTAATAAACTGCTTTCTAAATGGATTTTACGATTAGATCAATCTGAGAGAGGAAACAGTCAAAAGTGTATTAAGTGGACATAGATATCATCACCCATTCTGCTTATTAAACGCTGTGGGTCCTGAGGGAGCTTTGTGGTGTAAAACACACAGTAGTAATCGTTGCTCGCTCTGCACTGCTCTCAACCGCTGTGGGGAATTCATGTGTTTGTAGCCCTTTGGCACGCAGCCTTCCACTCCAACACCCACTCGCCATGTTCACGTTCACACATGTTCGATTGCAACGCCTGCTGCAAACTAAAAAATATAAACATATTTTTTATAACACACAAACTCTTTATCTTAAAGAAGAGAGGAAGGGCGAGTTGCAATGGGCTTTAGTACCCCGGGGGGGGGGAAATGGACAAACTCAATTGAGAGGTTCTTTGGGGTTTTGGGGACTTTGAAATGTCATATTCGTGTAATAAAATGTACTAAGTGAAGACTCTTCTATATTGCCATTATCATTGTATAGAGTATTCTGTATATTTGCATACATTACAGGGAAAAGAATGATGAGAGCATTCACCTTCTTGTTCCAAAGCTTGATAGCAGTTGATACAACCACATCCACTAGGTTAATTTAGAAACGGTTCCTGAGCTTTTCATTTAAATTACAAGATCTTCCTCAGCAGGAACTGTTCTTTCAACTACAGATGTATTAGTTTTCCATTTAAGACAACTTATGCAATTACAGTCACCAACGGAGATCATGTGATGAGATTGAGAGCTATAGAATTACAGTACTCTAACTTGTGATAAGATAGTAGGCCACAACACACAGGAAGTCCTTAGAGAACAAAGGAATTTAAAAACTTCAATGTCACGAAAGCTGAACTAAGAAGATTGTGTGATGCATTTGCAAGCTTCAGATGAGCTACTGACTGGACCCCGTTTTCAGATGGTTAAGTCATTGCAGCTGTGTAACTTTGTAAAACCTCCGATCGCCACTAGACGGGTTGTTTTTCTAAATGACATGGAAGTATTTCAAATGTCCTTTTATTTCACATTTGCAGATATTCAGATGCATTTTATATCATAGAAATTCAAAGATCTGTGGGTTTGAATAATTCCACCAAAGAATTTTAGTGACAGAATTAAAACACGCTCCGCATGCCGGTACATTCACTGCAAACATCTAGAAAACCGTTTATTGCACCCAACATGCGGATGAATCTGAGGTGGTGGACTTCCCTCTGGTTGCAATCTGGTGTAGGACCAAAGTGATAGAAGCAGATTGCATCACCATGGCAACACAATTACGCTGGCATAACGTGGGAGGCAAGGATCATGTATGATCCACGGTTAGATAGTGTAATTATTCACCCGCCTACAGGAAGGAATATTTATGCCCGTGTTATCTTTTTTTTGTCTGGTTTTAGTGCAAAATATCAAAACATAATTTGGGGTATCTTAATGAGATTTTTACCGTTGTGAGAGAAAAATCATCAGAGTAACTATATTATGAGGATTACTTGTAAATCCCGGTGAAATTACAGCACGCAGTTCATCCTGCCCATTAGTTACCTAGCAACATGCAACGTTTACATATTGTGTGGTATTGGTGAGTACCGGCCAAGATGTTTGTGCATCCACTTTATTGTCTCATATAATAGTATGCTGCCAAGGCAAGTGGAATGGAGCATGCTTCCCTCTGTCCCTGGCACAAAAATAACACACACACACACACACAAGGTTGGCTCATCAATTATTTCACAAAGGGGGATATTAGCACAGCTTTGCCCTAAATTCGAACCCCTCCCACAATGGGACACAGGGGGGCTCATATTTTAAGAGTTTAAAAATCTTTACGCAGCAAATTCAGCTCCGACTTGTTTGGGTGTTAGAAAAGTGACGATAGTGTGCTACTGGGTTTGGGCAAGATGAAGAAGATTGCACAATTTTTTTTGATAAAATACTTCACTTCAGTGTAAAACCAGAAGACAACACAGATTGCAATATGCAAGACCTCAGACGATATCTAATCAGTTTGATATCAATTTAATATCAATATATTGATATATCAAAGTATTGCCACCTGCCATAGCAAAAGCTAAACTAACTCTTATCAGCCCTGTTCTCACAAGCTTTCATTTATAGTTTTTTCTAATTTTGCGGCCTCTTGGACAGTCCCCCCCCGACCACCCCAATGTCCTCGGTTCAAAGGCGTGTGATTGGTTCCAGACTCACATATTCAAGAGATGAAAGTAGCGATTTGCCCTCTGCATCAAAATACCTTGGCCACACAGAAAGGTCAGGGAATGGGTTCTTCACTTTGAAATGTCAGCTGATTCCTTCATACTGGCGACAGTGTGCTGCATGCTAAAAAAAAGAGGCTTTGCAGCGTGAAGAAGGGTAGAAAAATACTGTTGTGCATTGGTACTTTATTGGTGCATTATCAATAAAGAGGAGAGAATCATATTTTGCTTTCAGTCTTGTATTATCTGTGAAGAATTCGTACAAAAAATGGATACAATCAAATGCAAAACTGCTGGTAGTTCATTTACATGTTTGATATAATTCATACAGGAAATACTACAAGTGATTTGTCTCATTTTGTTCACTCATTTCTAAATGAGTCATTGACATTCAAAACAAGGTGGTACGTAACCCCCGAATTAACAGCATATGAAAAAACAACTATGTGTGTTTGGTAAACAAAAGTGGGTTTCTTCCTTTAGTTATGCTTTCACATTGTTAGGTGGGGGGGAAAAAATAAGATTAAACATGATCTGTGATGAGTGATTACAAAATGTTTAGGTTAATTGAATAGTCTCACAAGTATCAAAAAGGTTCATTCCAAAATGGTTCATTGTAAAACTACACTACTGATTCCATTGGTTCTTTATTTTACAGGTAAGAATACACTGAGAGATACTGTACCTTTCTTTACATTTTAAATATTATTCTGTCTTCAGAATAATGTTGATTAAATGTATATTCATACCTCTCTTTTTAGTCATTTTGAAAAAAAGTCATAAAAACTTTTTACACACTAAAATCACCCAAGGCTTTAACATTAGTATTGTCATTTTCTTACTCATCTCGAATAATGCAGAACAGTAGAGGCAGTAAATCATTGTAGTGTTGCAGAAAAATAAATAAGTTCACTGAACGGATTAAGTATGAATCTGGTGTGCAGTCCAGTTATCAACTCACTCTCCCATGTTTACAATTTCTACAATAAACTAAATGTAGCCGGTTCCAGTGTGTAACTAGTGGGTTTACTTGCACCAAAACACCAAATGACCAACTGCCCCTTGCTGAGGGATCAGAGGAAAGTTAATCCACAAGTAGGTCCAGCTTATGTAGTGTTGTTAGAGTGAGACGCAATTAGTGTGACTTGGGAAGATGTTTGCATTTTGCTTTTTTAGCAGACGCAAAGAGGTTATAGTAATAACAAAAAAACTAATACAAAAAGAAAGATACGTGTGTAAAATAATAATTAATTAGTGAAATAACACCTGGATACATGGGTGAAATTATAAATTTGTGAAATAACATTAGTAAAAAAAATTGTGAAAAAAAAAATGTGCAAGTATTAAATCATTGTGTCTAACAGTGATTACAAATAGTATTTTACATTACATTACAGTATTTTGATCACTTCCCAATGGCTTTGACTTTGGCATTTGATGCTGTATTCTGAATGACAGCAAAACAATAGTGTTATTTCAATGAGACGACACAATGAACATCCTTGATGTGTCCAAACCATCAAAGAACAACTTTGGTTCGGCTGAACGCAAAAAAAGGATCAAGAGTAGGTTTGTTCCCGAAAAGCTTGAGTCAAGCACGGATATGAGGATATTTGGCAAATATCTCAACGGAGAGAAGGAATAATCAAGAACGCTGTGATATGATTAAATTAGAATTCATGTGTAGAAGAGCGATATGGAAGCATTATTTCATGGAAAGTCCTCAAAAAGCGTAGTTATAAAAGGATGTAGTTATAAAGGCCACGGTGACACCGTGTACGGTGTACGAGGGGGTTGGGTGGTTGCAAGCGGTGCAGTTACTGTTTCTTCCCCATAGATTGTTTGACGGCTTCCTCCAGCGACCTCCTGGTTACCAGCAGCCGCACCACGTCCTGGTTCTTCTTCGTTAGTGTTTTACGGGCCTTATCGTGGGTCACCATGGTCATGTCCCAGCCGTTAACCTTGGGAGGGGGAGGGGGGGGGGATTTAATTTAAGAAGCCGAGCATTGCTCCTAGTGTACGCATGGTGCCACCTTGTGGAAGTGAAGCAAAGCTCGGTTCACACCGCCCACCTGCATTATCTTGTCTCCCTCCCTCAAACCCGCCACGTCGGCTGGTCCATTCTCCGATATCCTCGTCACGTAGATGCCCTGTGGGGAAAAACCCAAACAAATTCACCATCTCATATGATCATGTATGAATAACAAATATACAGATCTAAAAAAATAAAAAAAATTAAAAAGAGGAAAAAACATTAAAAAGAAACAAAGCAAATAAACGCGGTCCTGCCTTCACTGTTAATAGAATTACTATTCATTCATTTTATTGAATTGGTAACACAAATAAGGGTATTATTTGGGGCGCTGCACATGTAAGGTCTGGAGAGCGCCCACCTTAGCGCTGTCATCCTTTTATCCAAGGTGCTTGGAGGTCTTGAAACAGTCGGGAATGACATTACTAAGCAACCTGCCTGACGTCAATGATGAAGTTGTGATAAGCCTCGCCGATTAAACTAAACTTCTTTTAAGGTGGGTGAAGTCTCAAGTATTAAGTTGTGTAGATGAGATAAGAGCACCTGCAAAGTTCTGTGGTTAAATATGTCAACAATATCTAAAGGAAAGCGTGAAAGGTCAAAAGGTTAGAGGCCAATAACTTCACTTATTATTATTTTAATGAAACAAACATCAGTTCAACCTTTAAATGTTTGATTTTGAATAAATTATCCAATATCAGTTAATGTCGTGGTAGATAAAGAGATATTGATTCTGTCGCCACCCATTCAATTGTAGTACATAAGCAGGTTGACGCACACAAACAGACTTACTTTGTCAGTCTTGTCATTGGTGAAGGGATTCTGTCCGGGATCCTGGTCGATCCCTCCGCCGATGCTGAAGCCCAGGATCAGATTGTCTCCTTGTCGCAACTTCTGGATTTCAATTCGTTCCTGTTGGTAAAGAAAAAAAAAAATCTGGTCCGGAAACAAGTGAACAAACACACATTCTCTCAAAAAGAAGTGTGTCCCTCTGGGTGGTCTCATGTGGTCTTTAACCATAACTGCCACGTGAACTTCACGGTGGTCATTTAACATGCGCTCATGTACATGTACGGAGGGTGTGTTGGTTGTCAGTTTTGAAGGTGTCCAAATTCAGGAGGAAAAGGACTGTTGACGGCCACGGTAAGATCCAGCTAAAGCACCTGCTACAACATTTAAAAAAAAAAGTAAACTCATGACAAACGGTGGGCTTCTCTGGCTTTTGCCAAGTGATTGAGGCCCTGCCCGCCATGACACAGACAAACAGCTGCAGGCTCACCAACCACCAGATGGATGACTCCGAGCGCGGCGCCTCTTCACAACACTCCTCGACACAAAGGCCGCCTGTGTGTGTGTGTGTGTGTGTGTGTGTGTGTGTGGTGATGAATGACATGACATTCTGAGTGGTGTGGCTGATACAATGAAGCCTGAGGACTTCTAAGGCGCTTTTAATACAGTCAGTAAATAAGTATATGATACGACTTGTTTCTACATGTGTTTAACTAAATTCTATTAGTATTATTCACTGGAAATGAATATTAGAAACATACATTTGGCAGGCCAATACATCCCTTTGCAGATACATAACTGTTTGTGCACACAGCTGTCAGCCAGATGTGTCCACACAGCCCTCCATTTGTAACGGAGACAATTTCTGCATCTCTCGAGGCCAATCGCACAAACACAAATTCAACCCAACCGCAGTTACATTGTGCAGCGTTGTGTTAAAAGTCGACAACAGAACAAATGGAAGTCAACCGGAAGACTGGGTCTCGCTGATGGGGACACCACGTGTGTTAAAGAGCCGTGCGGTCTGACTTGTGACGTATGCAGCATTCGACAGCCTCCCTCCCGGTGTAAACTAGACGGCCGCACCGCAGACACCTTTGGAAAAGGTGAGAAAGGCAAGCGGGCGCCTCCCTGTTAGACCGAACCCAGGGCGGGCGGGAGGGAGGAGAGAGACGGCTAGCTTCGCCCTGTAGCCCCTTTAGCTAAACAAAGAAAAAGTAACATTCCAGTCGGTGTGACACGGCTCGGCTCACGTTAACGACCGAGGTGTGAATTAACGTTACGTTTGCAAAGTTTCGTTAAATTCCGAGGGTTTTTTTTTGCGCCGACGAAGCTGCGCGCGAGCGTCGGACCCGTCGGGCCGAACAATAGAGAGCCGCTGAATGGACGCAGACCAAACTTACCACAACAGCGGTCAGCGGCTGCCCCGGGATGTACTTGGACATGTTTTCGCTACGACTTTTCGCCTTTTTAGGGCAACGAAGGCGCACACTTGTTGGTTCAAGTGACGAAAAAGAAGGAGCCCTCGAAAGTGGTGCAACTTCCCAGGTCACAACATGAGCGGCGGGTCGCTGTCTGGAAATCAACTGCTTCCCAGATGACGTCACCTCGCTCCCGAGCTTATTCGGTGTGTGCGTTTTGTAGCACGGGCTAGCCGGGCAGGGGCGGTGTTTAAGGGTTGTCTATTGCCCCCCATTGACGCTTAAAAAAAAGAAGAAGCTTGCATTACAAATCCAACTCTCGCCGGAAGTGTAGTCACAACCCTTGGCTGGGCGTTCCTTAAAACCAACTTTCACGACGTGTTCTGAGACATGATGTCATCACACCTGTACGGTCTTGAAGCCTCCCAAGAGGCGTTACGATGTGCGTCGTGAGAAGTGGATCGATTTACGCAGAGCTTTACAAACGGCGTCGCGTCAGTATGAGTTAAAAATGCTTGATTGTGACTTGAATCATGTAGAGTCGAGAGGACTTGCTAGTCAGCTTGAATGATGAGAGATATTGGTTCTTATTGGCAAAAACGGAGAGACAGAATTAGTAATCAATAGATGAACCGCTTCACATTTGGCATAGAGAGTAATGAAGGGCTGTAAATCAATTATCGTATTTGCTTGTGTTTGGGAATTGCTAAGTCTACCAGTTCAGCCCTTCGTTTTCAACTACGGTGGCCCTCTGGTGGCAATGGGTGTCTTTACAAAGAGCTAATGGGTGATTAAATCATTGCAAAGAACGACATAATGAAGTTATTTTTATAATTTAGAAAAAAAAAGTATGTGCCAATAAATACATTTTATTTATTGGCATTTTAGATATATTACATTGTGATCTATGTAATATATCTAAAATGCCAATAAATAAAATTGCTGAATTGAAAATGAGATAATAAACACAGACATCTGGTGGTTTGTCATTCCTATTGTTCTCAATCCGCCTGGCTGTTTTGTCTCAACCAGCATGGAAGTTTCCAAAAATGTGAACATTTTGAACAGATGTATGGATTTTTACTTTGCTTTATTTTAACATTAACCAACAACGTTTTCATTAACTCACAATCTTCAAGTGTTTCCCTTCAGTGGCGCCACCACAGCCTTCATATTCATTACATACCATTTCCCTCACCATCCACAGTTTCTTATATTGTACTCTTATATATACTCATTTTAAAAACAAAACAAACGTTTATACTATGAAACATTTAGGACCGGAGTGGGAATGGAAAACCTTTACATTGTAAAATCATGTCCATTTCCCACTTGTTGAAAGTCTATAATGACACAAGTTGTTTCTACTGGTTTTGTATGACAACCTCTTCTATTGTTAAACATATCAAACTGAAAAATGACTCAATAATCAATCCAATTATTGAAGGCAACAAGAAAGTCATAGCATCCTTAAAGTACTACTTTGTTACATTACGAGAACATCCACAGTAAAATGACACACACACACACGCACGCACGCACGCACGCACGCACGCACGCACGCACGGGATAGAAATGGACCGGCACATGAAGACATGACATGCGATGACAATAGTGAGAAGGGAAGTACAGAAGGAAGAAGCTCATAAGCTCATACAAGACGGTTCAAAAGTTATTTAATAGCTCAGCTATTTAAGTAAATGAGAGGCTTCGTAACAATAATCAAGTTGTATAAATTATAAAGAGCAAATGTTCTAGATGTTTTACAGTACTAATATTAGTCTCCTGTATTCAAAGTGACTGACATTTCTGATTTGCATGCCCTGCATCACGTTTCCGACAGATACCTGTCCATCTATTACATCACAATGAGACAGATAAGAACATTTCAGCTTTGCCCTACTTCTCCTTTTGCAACAATGTTCATCTGTTGTCTAAAATAAACTAAAGATAAAGCATTCCACAGTCTAATTACAGTCACACAAAGACAGCAGTCAAACCTTTAAGATCCTTTTCGAAACCTTATCCTTTTGGGAGGACCGATTCAAGCTCCTGCTTTTATTTCGCATCATGCTTTTGTCCTGCCCGCACTTTAGTGTTTGATCCATCTGTACATTATATTTGTAGGGTGGCAGTGGTGCATCAAAAGCCTGGAGCAAAAGGTGGAGGTGGAAGGTATTCGTAAGGTAACTCTCCTTTAGTCAGTTCCACATTGGTGCAGCTCTGTGACGTTTGGGAATCGGAGGTCCGCAGCTCCGTGATAGACTGGTACTCGTTCCCAGCTGTTCCACCCCTCTCAGTCTCCTTGGCGTAGTCCTGCGACAGGCTTTTCTTCTTCAAGAGCCTCTTCTTGAGGTTCTTCAGGTTGGAGGCGACCGAGGCCTTCGCCTCCTGGTTCTTTGCGAACGGGACGCCGCCGCCGAGGGGGTTCTGAGCGGCCGCAATGTCTCGTTTCGGTAAAGGCAGGGAGGCCCGAGCGGGGACCCGAGGAGGCTGCGCAGGCGGAGGGTCGCCGGACGTGCATCTCCTTCCGGTCACAGGCTGTAGATTGTGAACACGAAACGTACAACGTGGACGTTTGTGAGAACATATAAAAGGGAACAAATAGAGGACAAGATCTTTAAAAATCATGGCTAAACAAACAAGACAACGTTCATATTCAGCTTTGTCTGGACTGCGTTGGTGTGTTCTTATCAGGTTTGATTGACAGCGGCCTTGAAGTGAACCATAATAACACCCACAACTGTCATCTGATTTTGTTTTTACGTTTGCTTTGTATTTGATTTGTGCACAGAAGTTATCAAGACATTTTTCTTCCCGAGCCCACTTCAATTGAGTGAAACAGAAAAATCTCATGGAAAACAACCGTAACTGTTCAAAAGTCAGGAGAAACCGAATGTAGCAATGTGTCCTTATGAGACCTTCAGAAACAGGAAGCTGGATGCAACAAAACCCCTCAGAAATGTCCTTGATCTGAAAAAAGTATTTTTAAGTTCAGGAAGCTTCTATAAAAAATGTTTGACCTGGGCTGGAAGAGGGAGCGCGGCTCGTGGGATCTCTTCTTCCAGATTAGGGTAAAGCCGACCCGGAAGCCAGACTCTAGAGCCATTTGTTCCAGAAGAAAGGGCAGGTGGGACTTCTTCTTGGGATGACGGGTGACATAAGCTCGAATGCAGCGAGTTGGTTGGCAAACAATTCATGTCGCCGTTTTGACTTCTTTGGGGAAACACCAACTCCGCGTAGTCGGACTTGTTTTCCGTCATCTTCAGTGAGATCAGAGACAGAAAGAGAGAAAGACGAGACAGAGCTGGCCGGCCAATAAGCAGATATAGTGGTGGTCTGGATGGGTTACACTCAATGACGTCCACAAACTCGTGACACCTGTGTCCACTACTCACCTGTTCAATGGGGACAGTCAGCAACTCACTGAAAGGCCTGATGGGAGTCCGTCTGTGAAAGTCCACCAGGTCCTGCAGGCAACGGTGATGCCTGCTGTCCCCTACGATGTTGTACTGGCCGTCCTCCGAGGTGTCGATCATGAAGTGCCGGCAGCGGTCCTCGGCACTGATCCACAAGGAGACGGAGAGAGAGAGAGAGAGAGAGAGAGGCAGGGTCATCGAACCGTCGGACCGAACGGGGAGGAACGTTGGGTGTGGAACGTTGAACGGAAGCCCACCGGTAAGAGAGAGAGTAGCCGACCCGGCTCTCACCGAGGCGGATGAGGAAGTAGCCAGGAGGCTTGGACATCAGCCGTTCCTCTGCCTCCCTGCACAAACAAAACGTATGCAAATGGCACACAAAGACGACACATGTACTTTCATCTGCAAATGGTCTGACGTGTGAACCGGAGCTGGAAATCAGTGAAAGTCTCCCATTTATCATCTTTAATTCTTAGGAAACAGCTTAGTGTTCAGTACATGAGAACATTCTCTTATAGGACGTAAACATCAATTAAAAAAAGGACACTGAGCAATAGAACTGTCACTAAAGTAGACAGGTGGAGTACACGATGCTATTAATGATTATACGGTTTGAAATGTGTAATGTGTAAACTGGGTGTGGAGGAAGAGTTTTATTATTACACGAGGCTTCCAGCTACATCACACGCAATACGTCTATAATCAATGTTTTGTTCTTGTAGATAAAAAGGTGCGCGCTTCAGTTTTGCTCGTTCTTTTCACTCGGAATGCTTCTTCTAATTCCGGTTACATGTAATTGTTTTTTTCAAAGCCAAACGCCAGTTAAAGGAGCACATGCTCTACTGAGGGGGGTTTGCAATAGTGACCATTCATCTGCATGTGGTTGCAAAGAACTTCCTTAAAATTCATTTTTACTTCCTGGAAATAGAACAGAATTTAACATTCAACTGTTTATTGTCATACTTTCTTTCTACTCCTTTTGAGTCCTTCTTTTGTGTTGATCTCTACAAAGTAGAAGGCACATTTAAACTTTTACAATTGGTGTTGTGCTGCTTTTAACCGGACTTTAACATCATATATATTAAGCAGCGTAAAAATTCACTGAAAATAACAAAAATAAAAACACAGAATACACAACACTGGTGCCTTTATCATGTTTTTAAAAAACACGGCTCTCAACATTCCTCCCCGGCTGACATCCACTGCTGCAGATGAGGGCAGCAATACACTTACTTCCTGGAAACGATGCCATGAAACCATTCTGGGACGACGCCGTTCCTGATCACAAGCCGGTGCTGGGACTCTGTGAACCAGGCGATGGCATCGTGCTGTGCCCCCTGTGACCCCTGGCTGCGCTCCATCGTCCCGGGACAAGACTCATTTAATCCTCCGTCTGTTGCAAAGTTGAGATCTCTTTGAGTTACAGCTCAGGAGAACAGGTGCATTGGGTACGATACGAACCTCGCACACATGTACGAGCTGCTGGTCGACAAAGATCACTGCATTTAGGATAATGTATTGATAACGATCAGACGCCAATGATGTGATGACATTTTTCCTTTTCCATGTTGTCTGCTTATTGTTCAGTTACACATATCTGGAGTGATGTACTGTGAACATTGTTCCACTGTGGAACGACTTAAAAAAATAGACAAAAGCTTTAAGGACGTTGTTCTACTTTCCCAATTTTCACTACTCAAATTACAGAAGGCAAAATAGCTTTGATCAAATTTATTAAATTAAATTTAGCATTTGTAGACTGAGAACACCGTATTTGCAAACTAAACTACAGATTTCTACATTCAGCAAACGGTGCTCACCTTTCCTCGGGCAGCTTCCCTGACAAAAATGACACAGCGCGTCTCACTCACCTGACTACTTTATCTGGGGGCGGAGTCTAAACTCACACCTTTGTGAGCAGCTGTTTACCAGTCACATTCAGAGAAGACTATTATTAGAACGGCGCCCAGAGAGGAATATCACAACATTACAGGTGTGCGCGGTGAGTGAGTGAAGTAAGTGTGAAATGAGAGGTTTCGGTTCCGCCCCTCGACGGCCGTCACGCCACCTTCCGTTTGTTTGTAGTTCAGAGCACTGAGGTGGGTGGAAAGTCACAGGTTAGAATCCAATCTGTCATCACAGAAAGTACAGCGTTGTGAAGGTGTAGTGATGAGTGGCAGTGATGTCTCACTGAGGCCCCGTCACTTCAAAGAGAGTCCTCGATTAGTCGCCTGATATGTTGGAGTTTTAAAGGAAATAAGAAAGCTGTCGTACAAATGATCATAAGCTTATTTCTGCTGTAGTCAGAGAGGAAGCGACAGACCGGAACTTTCTGGACATAACGTCCCAGAGTCACAAAAATTAAAAAAAACACTTTGGTAAGTTTCCACACGTGTTGACAGTCTAAATGAAAAATGGGGAAATACTGCACGCAACTTAAGCAATGCAAAATATTTTTCTATAAGTCAGTAGTCTTAGATACTATTTAATACCATTACTATTTGTTTCTTAATAAAGCTAAATAACTTGTCTGACTACTCTGGAATACTAAAATAATCATCTAAATGAATTTCCCCACAATAAAGAGGTGAGGTGATCCGCTTGAAGGAAAAAAAAGAAAACCATTTAATTAAGAATCTCTTTTAATAAATCATCAAAACACACATCTACAAAATGTGTAGATCACTAAGATTTATGAACCTTCAGTACAATCATTGTAGATCTTATTTACAATTGCTGAATTATTTCATTTATTTCCCATGAAATCTATCAATAATCAGCAATGAAATCCAAATTTAGTTAAGGGATGCAAACGATATGTTAACGTAGACATTGCAACTGTTTGATCAAGGAATGGATAGACGTAACCCGGGCGAGCCACTTCAACCGAAATTGTGCCAAAAGTCAAGCCACGTTAAAGGCAATGAGTTACATCCACAGGTTAACAGTTAAATAGTAAATTCAACGACACCACTAGAAACGATTCTGCACTCACTGTAAAACATCAAAGGGGAATTTCAGCTTGCAATTAATTTCCTATTCTATTCTTCGAAACGGCTGAACCCAGCATGTACAACAGGATTTGGAGTGACAGAAAATAAAAACCGCAAGAATCCTTTGCTCATTTCTAATCTCAAATGAAGCTCGTCAAGTCGAATGTGCAAAGCCTTCTGAGGGTTTCTACGCACAATGCATAGTTCAGAAGCCCATAATACTGCACCATAACAAGACACGGGCTGTCCCACCAGAGGGGGGAGAAGAGAGACCCGGTGGGTGAGGGGTGAGTGCATCGGGGGGTTCCTAAAAACATCACCAGGGATGCGAATGCACAAGAGGCCGGAAAAAAGGGAAATGTCAATTGATAGGAATGTTGTAATAGCTCCAAATCAAAGGCCTCCTGTATGTGTCCATCACACTTACTCAAAAGACAACGTTCAGTGCTCAAAGATTTTTAGGAATACATGGAAAATTTGTGCATGAATATTCTTTGCCTGAGACTGCAACCAGCAGTCAACAAATGTTATGAACATTTTCTTTTTGGAGACAGAACAACAGGAAAAAGTGCATAATAATCAATAAGAACATAAAAGGGCACTTTGTCACTTGGTGCTATGTGTTTTGTTTCACGCCATAAATACTGCTACAGCACAGCCCCAATCCAAGGCCCGTGTGTACGTGCTCCCCCAGTGGATCTGACGACAGGAAGCAGTGTGGGTGCATAAAACAATGACCTCATCATTGCCGCGGGGCCTTCTGTGCCTCTGCTGTGTAACTGCATTCAGGTGTCAGTACGGCTAGTTCACCTGCTGAAGTGCAACAAATAAAAACGCAGACCTCACATTAAACACTCCGGCTCTTATTCATAGAAATCTGAACACCTAAAGTGCTGAGGAAAGCGACTACAAAAAAGGAATGTGTGTTCCCTTAAAACAAGCACACTTGGGTCAAGAGCCCAGTCTTACTGCAACCATGTGAATACTTTAAAATAGGCTGAATCCAGGACACACACAAACACACGTGTTGATTTGACAAGAGGAATGTTTCAGCATATGAAATTAAGCGAGAGAGACAAGTAGAAAAGGTGGTCAGAAGACGTGTAAACCCCCGATGTTGATATTGTGAACTATTGTTTCATATTGTGAATCCTAATCAATGATAAATATTTATAGGTTGCATTTACTTAACGTGGATAAAATAAAAGTCCAGGCCACCAATTCAGTACACAAATGTGGCCTAATAGGTTCGGATTGTAATCTCCACACCTTCAAGACATAAACTGCATCAATCAACAGATGGCAGAATATTCAAAATTAGGAAGCCTATTGAAGTAGAAACCTTTTCTGGAAGTATAATTTGGGCCACTTTGAGAAATAATGATCAAATAACCAAAACCTCCCCAAGAAACGAATTAACCTTGGAATCAGACATTATTGCGAATATTAAGACAGTTTCTTCTGTCTCACAAGTCTAAATACAATCTAAGGAATCGAGTTGGAACCGTTAATGTGTTTAGATTTAGCATCTTACCGAAGCCACAGCAGCTAGATTCACAGTTGTCGAGGGAACCGAGATAAAAAGCGATAAACTTGTTTTTTCTTTTAGCCAGAAAGAAGAAAAAAAAAAAAAAAAAAAGAAAAGAGGCTGAAAAAATAAAATAAGAGATCAGTGTGTGCTCTGTCCAGTTCTGTCCAGCGCGGGACACATTAAGGCGAAGGTGGATGCCGACGCTTCCGTCTCCTCACAGGAGCGTGCAGCGGAAGAAATTGGTCTTCTTGGGTTGTTCTGTAATCTTTACTCCTTGATTGCTGCCTTGCGGGTTGTTGCCCTCCTGAAATACACACAGGTAAGAAAACACAAATTCATATTAGGAGCACTTTAAAAATATTAAAACAGTATATGACGTCACACGCTGCAATAGATTTAAAACAGGTCTTACCAGCTTCTTGTCCATTTTTGCTTTAATGTCTCTGGCGAGGGTTAAGAAGGCCTGCAGACAAAAAACAAGACCATTTTTATTAAATCAAACCACATTAATGATAGTCCTCTTGCTGGGACCAATGGTTTTGGACAAGAAAGATTGTAAGTTTAAGTAACTGCAAGAAAACCAGAACAAACTCCATATGTGCTCACAATCTGAGGGTTTGCAGTAAACAGATTATATGATTACTGAAGAATTATGCCTGTATTTTAATGGTTTAATGAGTTTGTCTGTTGTATTAAAGGCTCGGGACTGATTAGCTGATTATAGATCAGCTGATGGAAAATGGGTCTGAGTGTGTATTAAGGTTCCCTACACACTGGGAATTCTATACAGTACACGTCTGATTTTTAATCATAAGAAAATATTTCATCTGAACTCTTCTGTGCCACAAAGTACAAAGTCAAATAAGTCGACAACAATCGCAGTGACGGCGTGAACTCACATTCTCGACGTTGATGTTGGCCTTTGCACTGGTCTCCATGAACTTGATGCCGTACTCCAGCGCCAGCTGACAGCAGGAGACACAAATCAGGGTCAGTATTCAGCAAAACGAGCCAGGAAAATAAACACGTTTCCCCAACAGGGCTCTCAAAAAGATTTAAAATGTCAACTTCATCATCCCACCTTCTCTCCTTTCTCTTTGGATACCTGACGCTTGTCATTGACGTCACATTTGTTCCCAAGGACCATCCTTTCCACATCTGCTGATGCATGCTGAGATAATTTGGCATAGAGAACAGATAAATAATAGAATACCATAGATTAATACATACTTTTTAGCTTTAATTGAAAAACACGTCTACCAATGTAAAACATGTAAGGCAAGATAATTTGGCATAGTGAGCAAGTGACGGATAATTGCTAAGTAAAAAGATAAGTAAAAGAATGCCAAACATTCTTTTTAGCTTTGTATAAAATGAGTGAAAAATCAAAAAAACACTTCTACCAACGTAAAACATGTACCTCTTCAATATTCCGTATCCAGTTCTTGATGTTGTCAAAGGACTTCTCATTGGTGATGTCATACACTAACATTATGCCCTGGAGAGTAAACGACATGAAACAAGTGACCAGCCAGACCAACAAGACACCCATCCTTACTTATTATTAATAGTCCATGAATACACACTAGTGTCTAATGTGATTTTCTGCTGTCCACGACAACCCTTATTAGTGATGGATCACATGATTCTGCGGCCTGATGTAAGAGCATGTTGGTTAAATTCCAAAGGAAACAGGGATCCACTTGAGATTGACATGCAAACACAGGCGTCCCGTTAAACTTGAACTAAAGGAGGCACAAAATAACTATTACAATGCATTGAGTGTGTCTCAAATCCCCCAGGTGTGTTCAAACTGCAGTGTGAGTTAGTAAGATGAGGATGCAACCTACCATGGCTCCTCTGTAGTAGGCTGTCGTGATGGTCCTGAACCTCTCTTGTCCTGCTGTATCCCTGCATAGAAAACACGTGTTATTTTACTCCCCCCAGCTGAATCTAGCTAGATTGTGTAAGATAGCTAGATGGCCATCTTTGCATTACGCAAAGAGCGCAGATGCAAAGGAAAACAGCTACTCCAAGGATCAAGTGGGTTTTATTTTGAATTGCACAAGCAGCAATTTTGAGGAAGCCAAGGACAAGACTTGAGAGATGCCCGAGTCAGCTATTTAGAACATCTGCTGTTGATCATGAGCAATGGATTAGAATAACATGTATACTGTTGTTTCTCTGTGTTAAAGGCAGATGTAGTTTAGAAGATAAAATGTTACTTTAAAGTAACATTGTCAGTTTACAGTCTGTGTGAGAGTGAACGTCTCACAATACTTCTATATTTAAAGCAAACACAGATGTTCATCATCTAATCTAACTTTAAGTGGGACTAAGCGAATCTGCCAGTATTGACTAAGAATATATTGGTACAAATATGGTTTTGTTAGTATTTGGCAGAAACAATAATTTAAACTTACTCAGAGCGGAAATTGATTTGATATCAAACAAAAAGGAAACGCAGGAAGTCAATAGTGTTGACAAGAGGATACAAAACGATTGCAAGGTTTAAAATACTTCTTATTTAGACTTATATTTGTATTATAGATAAATATAAGCCTAATGCATGCAATAATCCCTATTATATTTGAGGCTATTGCGTTGAACTGAGTGTAATGATCATTCATCACAAATAGCCTTTAATGTACCGTGACCGTCTTACCAGATCTGTAGCTTGATCTTCTTTCCATCTAATTCTATTGTTCTGATCTTGAAGTCAATACCTGAGGAGAAAACGAGATGCCAATTTCGAATTCAATTCAAGCACATGTTTTATCTGTCGACTTGACAAGGCAGCACACACACAGTAAAATTAATGTTTCACTTTCGAAGCACGCTGAAGATTTCATGAATATGTCACGTTGCTACGAAAGTACAGACAGGAACTCATGACAAAAACGCCAACTAACGTTAGCTCACTGACAGCTTTGAGGCTCGTTAGTTCAACCGGAGATGGTTCATATAAACCCTTCAGGTTATTTTAAAACGATGGTAGAGTGTCCACCCTCACGGCTCAAACATACAGACGCTTTCCAGCTATAGAAACTGGTTAAAATACATTTGTCACTTCTGGAAACGGCCTTCTAACGAGCTGCTTCCTGACTAGCCCACCGCAAAATCTATGCTAGCTAGAAAAGTTAGCACCAAATTAGCGAGACGGGATGGGCTGCTCCCACCACTTCTCGGCAAAGACAACACTGATATTACGACTTTTACCCACCTATCGTGGAGATAAACGTTGAGTTGAAGGCATCTTCCGAAAACCGGAATAGCACGCAGGTCTTTCCGACGCCCGAGTCGCCGATTAAAAGTAGTTTAAACAAGTAATCGTAAGTCTTCGCCATGTTATTAGTTAGCTTACTACTGCGGATATCCCGCCCGTTGTAGAGACTGAGACGTCACTACGTAAGGGCCGTTTTTTGGTTAAATCAACTGTCACTCTTCTCTGTCGTCGTGGCTCCGGAAGTTGCGATCCCGGTTGGGTTCGCTCGTTTCGTCGTCCCTAGTCACCCGGATGAAACGTTTGTCGTTCGACGGAGTGAATCGCGTGGAGATGGACCGTAAAAAGTTGTCAGTCTGTCTCTTTTTTGGTTTTAACGGAAAAAACGAGAAAAAGACTGTCCACTTCCGTTCTACCGCTTTTAAATAAAAACGAGTAAACGGCCGCCAACTTCCGTTGTACCGTTTATGCTTTAAAACGAGAAACGAGTATTTTCGTTTTCTAGGTTTTACGGTAAAAGGGACTATCAAAAGGTACACCGACACAGTTAGTGACAAGTCACAATTATGAGATACTAATTATTCATAGATATGAGATGCCAAGTCATTATATTGATAAAGTAAAACATATTACCATTATATTGCGATAGTAAAAATACAGATCCTGTAAGTTCCTACAATCTTTCTACAATAACTTAGAGGATCTTTATTTTTTCATCACAGCCAATAAATATTATATCAAGAGGGTAAACACAGTATAAAAAGTACGTTGAAAAGTTAATTTGGGTCTTTGAATGCCTCCATTAACTTGTAAATATAATAACTAAAAATCAACAACATACAAGTAGGAAGAAAGCGAGGAACCATGAGCTCCAATCAACTCATAGTAATTTTCTTCATGCTCTTAATGTGATTTTTAGTTCCGTTTGTAGTGTTTACAAAAGTAATAATGAAAGTTCTTTACTATGTACTTAACAAGGACTAGTCCATCCAGCACAATCTTTTGTCCCTCCCCCAAAGAGAGAGGCCCCGCCTACTCAGTCACTTCCGATACTGTTTGTATTTTACAAAGTACATTTGAGGCTCCAGTCGCACTTTCTATATCGTATTTGCATCGGAAGACAAAGCTGCGTCATTTGAAAGAAACATGCAAGTAAGTGAAAATATTTGTAATGTTCAATGTATTTATTTTCTGTGTTAGAAATGTCAGAACTTGCAAAAGCGTTTTGATGGACAATGGATGCACATTCCATCATATAACGAAACGAATCAGATGTATTAACCAGTCAATGTATGGGGAAATATGCAGTAATATGCACACGTATTTTAAATAATCTATATTGGCATTCAGGCAACAGGTGTAACGTCAGCCTCTTAGATATGATGCCTGGGCTTGTCTGGACATGTTTGTGTAGGATATTTGCTCAAAGTAGATATTCATTCATCGGACTATAGGGGGCGTTATGAAGCCAAACACGAACCAAATACCATCACATAACAACACAGATACACATGGCATTTTTGCCTCTTCCCGCACTGCAACATTATTTTTGTCTTTGTTGTGATAGATTATTATTTAATTACTCAAATAAATAAAATGTATATTCATTACATTTTCTGAAAATACAAAGTCAACCATCCTGTCATCTCGGCTGCAGGAAAAGGATCTGTTGTACCCAAGTGTTGCCCGAGAGAGGAGCAGGCACAAGAAGAAGAGGCTGGTGCAGAGTCCCAACTCCTACTTCATGGATGTTAAATGCACGGGGCAAGACTGGACCACGGAGATAAGTGTTATTATGACTATATGATCTGATTCTCTGTTCTCTCCAGGCTGTTACACGATCACCACCATCTTCAGCCACGCGCAGACGGTGGTACCGTGTGCAGGCTGCTCTCTGATCCTCTGTCAACCAGCAGGGGGGAAATGCAGACTCACTGAAGGTAAAATACGTTCATATATTGATGCCGCTTTGGTGTGAAAGTGTATTCATGTTCAAATATGATAATGAGTTTAGATTCTATTCTTCTTACAGTTTTGACCGTGATAATGAACTGAAGCCTTTTGCTTTCTGTGTGTTTAGGCTGTGCCTTCAGAAAGAAAAAATCCTGAACAGGAAATGGTGCTTAACACCCACGAGCAGCTGGAAGAACGGACTATAGGAATAAGTCCTCACTCCTTAGACATGTGTATCTTGAAAACATGGAGAGTCAATGACACAAAACAATTGACCAGCCAGAGAAACATGACACCGTTTCTTACTTATTATTAATAGTCCATGAATACAGACGAGTGTCTAATGTGATTTGAGATTGACATGCAAACACAGGCGTCCCGTTAAACTAAAGGAGGCACAAAAATACTATTACAAAGCATTGAGTGTGTCTGAAATTCCCCAGGTCCCCCGTTCCTCGTTTCTCTTCCTTTAAGTTTGTTTGTCATTGTACTGTTAAAAAAATCCTTGTTTCGGTGATCGACTCTTCTGCCTTTTGACGCAGGACGCGCACACGTGATGACTGACATGTGGTTCAAACTTTGAGGAACCGAGATAGCCTGATGTCAATCATCACAGTTAATTTGAGCTGGATAATGGGACACTTGATTGACTTAATTGAACCACGTACGACTTACAAGGCACAGATGTGTTCAAAACAAACAACCAAAACAAATGGTGGGTGCGGTTCTGGTAAAGGTAAACGCTGCCATTCACACACACTGTTTCACCCATTTAGGTTTATGAGAGAATCCGTACTGCAGTGTGAGTTAGTAAGATGAGGATGCAACCTACCATGGCTCCTCTGTAGTAGGCTGATGTGATGGTCCTGAACCTCTCTTGTCCTGCTGTATCCCTGCATATAAAACACGTGTTATTTTACTCCCCCCAGCTGAATCTAGCTAGGTTGTGTAAACCAGCTAGATAGCCATCTTTGCATTACGCAAAGAGCGCAGATGCAAAGGAAAACAGCTACTCCAAGGATCAAGTGGGTTTTATTTTGAGTTGCACAAGCAGCAATTTTGAGGAAGCCAAGGACAAGACTTGAGAGATGCCCGAGTCAGCTATTTAGAACATCTGCTGTTGATCATGAGCAATGGATTAGAATAACATATATACTGTTGTCCTTCCATCGTCTTGACGTGGCTATAATGCTAATTGCGCATTAAACCGATTTTCTTTGTGTTAAAGGCGCATGTAGTTTAGAAGATAAGTTAGCTTTAAAGTAACATTGTCAGTTTACAGTCTGTGCGAGAGTGAACGTCTCACAATACTTCTATATTTAAAGCAAACACAGATGTTCATCATCTAATCTAACTTTAAGTGGGACTAAGCGAATCTGCCAGTATTGACTAAGAATATATTGGTACAAATATGGTTTTGTTAGTATTTGGCGGAAACGACTATCCAAACTTTTAAACTGACTTTTTTTTTATATCAAACAAGGAAAATCATCAAGTCAATAGTGTGGACAAGATAGGATACAAAAAGATTGCAAGAATACTTCTTATTTAGTATTATTTAATATATGTTAGTTACTTTACATTAAAATTGTTTACCTACTATACCATCTATGGGACCCCAAACACAGATTTTAGTGTTTGTTAAAAAAACAAAAAAACATGACACTTTAATTTATGTTGTGCTCTCACAAAGTAACTAATTTGTCAGTTTAATAGATACATATAAATATAAGCTTAATGAATGCAATAATCCCTATTGTATTTGAAGCTATTGCGTTGAACGGCATTTACTTCAGTTTAATGCACATTAAACTGCCAACTGAGTGTAATGATCATCCATCACAAATAGCCTTTAATGTACTGTGACCATCTTACCAGATCTGTAGCTTGACCTTCTTTCCATCTAATTCTATTGTTCTGATCTTGAAATCAACACCTGAGGAGAAAACAAAACAAAACTCCCCAATTCAATTCAAGCACGTTTCATCTGTCGACTTGGCGAGACAGAACACACACACACACAGATTAAAATGAACGTTTCACTTTCGAAGCACGCTGAAGATTTCATGAATATGTCACGTTGCTACGAAAGTACGGACAGGAACTCATGAGAAAAACGACAATGCCAACTAACGTTAGCTCACTGACAGCTTTGAGGCTCGTTAGTTCAACCGGAGATGGTTCATATAAACCCTTCAGGTTATTTTAAAACGTTGGTAGACTGTCCACCCTCACGGCTCGAACATACAGACGCTTTCCAGCTATAGAAACTGGTTAAAATACATTTGTCACTTCTGGAAACGGCCTTCTAACGAGCCGGTGTTACACGCCAACTGGTTTTTGAACCTACTGGTTTCCCTACGCGTGCGTGTTTGTGTTTACTCCACAGCAGCAGACTTGTTCCGCCGCGGTCCCCTGAATTTGTCACACATTCACAAACACATAGGCGAAAATCTTCAAAACGCATCACATATTTATTGCAGCGTTTACGATTGTATAAGTGAGCACGACATCACAGCCACGTATGAAGACATTTAAAAGACATGCGCGGTCAAATCCTCAGCGATGGTCTGGTCAAGGAGGGGTTGCGCAGCGTTCCGCGCCCGTGAACCCCCCCGCATTGATTTTAACGTTTTATTCCTAAAATAAGTTTGACACCCCTGCTCTATAACAAGAGCTAATTCATCCGGACTTGCCAGCTTGTCTTGCCGCGGCGTGAATTACCGTAATTATTGTAATGTTCAGTCGTCAACTCTTAAATGTAGAGCTAAATGTAGACTCTACATTTAACATTTAGATGTAACATTTAGATTTAGATTTAACACTTACATTTACATTTAACATTTACATTTAGATTTAACATTTACATTTAACATGTATATTATTTAACAACTTTGTTACTGCCAAACATTATCCTTGGGAAAGTTATTGCATGAATGTACATGAATTTCTCTCTAAATGTTTGAAAAAGTGACATGTGAATATTGTGTGCTTTTTTGTTCATATGATAATGCTAAATGTGGCAAAACTGCGCAGGATTTTAGAACGTGCGACATTTTACAAACGCGCCCCATAGTGACGTGGGCGTGACTTAGAATACGTCCAAAGGAATGTATGGAGTCTTAATTGTCACCCAATTACAGTTAACAAGCAGCGTCCCTATAAAAGGACCGGGAGGCCTTTACCGGCGCTGCAATGGATGTGTGATTAGTTTTGATGATTTTTCGGCAATATGTTTGTGAACGGCACGCGCACAGACGATTTTGGGGGGCAGGGGTCCGTTTCAAGAAGCGGGTTTAGTGAAAATTGCATTAGCGGTGTTATTTTTCTAATTACGGATTATTTCCAGCTCAATAGGGGTGAAGTACGCCGACCGATTGTTTGTGGCCGTTGCCATGGTGAATCGTGGTATCGTGGCTCCATTCATGCTGCCTTAACGCTGGCCGTGCACGCGCTCTACTCTGAGTCAACCTACTCCGAGTTGATTGAACCAACTCTAAAACAACTGTTCTGAAACACAAAACTCAGAGTTTCCCATCTCAGGGTAAATCAACTCAGTTTGTTAAACCTCCTACTTGAAACGGACAGCACTTCACGAGCATTAAGTGGAGGAGGAGCAGGAGGAAGAGGAGGGATGTAACAGAGCTGCTTCCTGACTAACCCATCACAAGATCTATGCTAGCTAGAAAAGTTAGCACCAAATTAGCGAGACGGGATGGGCTGCTCCCACCACTTCTCGGCAAAGGCAACACTGATATTACGACTTTGACCCACCAAGAGTGCAGATAACCGTCGAGTTGAAGGCATCTTCGGAAAACCGGAGAATCACGCAGGTCTTTCCGACGCCTGAATCGCCGATTAAAAGTATTTTAAACAAGTAATCGTAAGACTTTGCCATGTTATTAGTTATCTTACTACTGCGGATATCCCGCCCGTTGTAGAGACTGAGACGTCACTACGTAAGGGCCGTTTTTGGGTTAAATCAACTGTCACTTTTCTCGGAAAGTTGCGATCCGCGTTGGGTTCGCTCGTTTCGTCGTCCCTAGTCACCCGGATGAAACGCTTGTCGTTCGACGGAGTGAATCGCGTGGAGATGGAGGTTCTCTTAGTAGCCAATATTAAGTCGGTGTTTTCAGAGTGTCCTGTGCTGCGTACCATTACAGATTTTGTCCAGATACTAAATAGCTTTGGGAACCTATTTCCACCTCCTAAAAAAATAAAGATCCTTTAAGTCAATGTAAAAACATTCTCGAAACATCGTAGCACCTCATGATTATGAAATCAATTATTAAATGTCAAAACAAAAATGATAGTAACTATTCATATATTTCATATATAGGAGATGCCATGTCATTTATATTGAGATGTTATCTCATTGTAGGAATTTACAGGATCTTAGTTTTCATCACAGTGAATACATATTATATCAAAAGGGTAACACAGTGTAAGTATGTTTGGAAAGTCAATTTGGGTTGTAAATATAATAACTAAAACACAACAACATACGTGCAAGTTCAAATAGTCGTAACTCTGAGCTCCAATCAATTCACAGTATTTTCTTCATGCTCTTAATGTGAGTTTTAGTACGGTTTGTACTGTTTACAAAAGTAATAATGAAAGTACTTTATTATGTACTTAACAAGGACTAGTCCAACCAGCACAATATTTTGTCCCTCCCCCAAAGAGAGAGGCCCCGCCTACTCAGTCGCTTCCGATACTGTTTGTATATTAAAAAGTACATTTGAGGCTCCAGTCGCACTTTCTATATCGTATTTGCATCGGAAGACAGAGCTGCGTCATTTGAAAGAAACATGCAAGTAAGTGAAAATATTCGTAATGTTTAATGTATTTATTTTCTGTGTTAGAAATGTCAGAACTTGCAGAAGCGTTTTGATGGACAGTGGATGCACATTCCATCATATAACGAAACGAATCAGATGTATTAACCAGTCGATGCATGGGGGAAATATGCAGTAATATGCACACGTATTTTAAATAACCTATATTGGCATTCAGGCAACAGGTGTAACGTCAGCCTCTTAGATATGATGCCTGGGCTTGTCTGGACATGTTTGTGTAGGATATTTGCTCAAAGTAGATATTCATTCATCGGACTATAGGGGGCGTTATGAAGCCAAACACGAACCAAAAACCATCACATAATACACATGACATTTTTGCCTCTTCCTGCACTGCGAAATTATTGTTGCGATAGATTATTATTTAATTACTCAAATAAATAAAACGTATATTCATTACATTTTCTGAAAATACAAAGTCAATCATCCTGTCATCTCGGCTGCAGGAAAAGGATCTGTTGTACCCAAGTGTTGCCCGAGAGAGGAGCAGGCACAAGAAGAAGAGGCTGGTGCAGAGTCCCAACTCCTACTTCATGGATGTTAAATGCACGGGTAAGACTGGACCGCGGAGATAAGTGTTATTATGACTATATGATCTGATTCTCTGTTCTCTCCAGGCTGTTACACGATCACCACCATCTTCAGCCACGCGCAGACGGTGGTACCGTGTGCAGGCTGCTCTCTGATCCTCTGTCAACCAGCAGGGGGGAAATGCAGACTCACTGAAGGTAAAATACGTTCATATATTGATGCCTTTGGAATTCCAAAATGTGTGAAAATATGATAACAAGTTTCAAATCTATTCTTCTTTTGATTGTAATAATATACTTACTGAAGCATTTTGCTTTCTGTGTGTTTAGGCTGTGCCTTCAGAAAGAAAAAATCCTGAACAGGAAATGGTGCTAAACACCCATGACAGAGCAGCTGGAAGAATGGACTATAGGCATAAATCCTCAATCCTTTGTGGACAAATACATCTGTATCTTGAGAATATGGAGTGATATGTCATCCCTCTCCCACTGTTTTATTTCATGCAGTAGAGTGGAAGAGGACCCATGGTCCAGAGAAACTTAAATCATAGACGAGACATGTGATCAGAATGATACCAATGATTCAATGAAGCACTTTTATGTGGAGTAGTTTGACTATTTCTATCAATGATTAAAGCATATTTGGAATTCCTCAATATGCACACAGAGTCCAATGAGTCATGGTTTCTGTAAAACATTTATTAAGTTGGCATGGGGAAGGGTTGGTGAAAGAAATGTTTTTAAAAAAATGGCCCCAATCATGTGTGAAGCGCTTTTCGTGGCTCTCATGAGATGAAGCCACGATGCCCATCACAAACAAAAATAAAATATTTTAAGAATGACTTGTCTGTGTTATGTGTGTTCTTTGGTCTTGAGAATTCCCCAGGAAAAAAAAACAAGAAGTTGTGTAAATAAAACAAAACCAAAAATAATCATAGCAATACAATTTCTCAAATACCTAACATTATTCTACTATATACAATAAGTATCCGTGGTTGACGAAGCTTGACTTGAGCTCCAGGTGGTTTTGAGTTCAGCTCGCACATGTAAGACAATATATTGTAAATATTGGCTAAATTATGGCATATTGTTGACAAATAATGAGGAATGTGTCCAGGGAAAGGTAGTACAGTTAAAAAACAAAACAAACAAACAGTAACTTCCAGATACTGTACATGCTTCGCTCTCAGGTTCTGCAGATTCCCATACAACAGAATAGAGTAGAGATATTTATTGGAGCACGTAGGCCTCAGGATCACACACGATTGGCAAAAGAGGCCTTTCCTTCTCTAACAACGTGTTGGGAAGACCAGAGGGACTGGACAGCAAGTTCCTTGACCATTTTATTTATCAATCAATAATTGACGCGTAGCCTCTTAGCATGATCAGAAAAACAAAACCGTTGCAGAACATTGCATCACCGCTGCACTTCAGAGCCACAATGTAGCAAAACCCAAAACCATCTGTAGCATGTGTGTTAAGATAATCAGTCAGAGGCTTAATGTATGTGCACAAAAAATGTAAAATGAACCCAGTTTAAGTGGTGCAGGCAGTGACCAAATCGGAGGTTTCTTTGCGCGTGTTAGTTGCCGATTCTTTCTAAATAAGTGGTCAAAAAACATCTCTGGGGAGAATTTCTGAAATAATAGCTGGGGATACAAAAAGAAACAATGGGGTCAAAATTACTTCCCGTCATTAAAAAGAAAAAAAAGTTGTGCCTTAGAAGAAAACCCATCAAGGACAAGCATTAAGTTAATCCCCCTTCACACTGCGAATAAAGATTTTACAGGTCGAAATGTGGAATGGAGTCGAACATTAAAAGGAATGTTACATGACGATCTCATCCTCTCCAGCGTCCTCTCCGTGTTTTTATAAGCTGTTCAGTTCCTGCAGGGTCTGGTCCAGGACTTGATGCATACTCAGATTCTCCTCTTTGGCTTTTGCTAATTTTTCTGAAGGAAAAAAAGAAAAGTTGTTGAACCTTTAACCATTAGCAACGAATTTTGCGCTGTGTTCTTCTTCATGGGTTTGTCAGCATGAAACAGCGCTTATAACTGTTTTACTGAACGGATGTTTTGCATAACTATTTTGGTTAGAGTTGTGCCACATGCAAAAAAAAACTCAACCACACCGCTGTGCCTTTCATGCACAAGCTGCTGACTGTCATTCTATGCAGGACGCTGTTAGTAGATTACGTTATGGACGGCTTAAAGGACTTGTGTGCGGTTTCTGATGCTACATGTGTCCTTTTCATCAAAAATGAGTTATTTACAACCAAACTACTGTTTCAAAGGGTCATTTCAAGCTGCATTAATTCACACACAAAATAAGAGCATATCTCACCTTGTCCCACATAAGCTCCCTGATAATTAGACGTACAATGTACATAGCAACACGTTTTACAAGATCAGCCTGTTGGCAACCTAATTACAGAATTCCCAGAGTTCAAGGTAACGTACTCCCTACGTAGCTGAAGGTTACGTATCAAACGTTTTTACAAAATGTATAACACTCGAGAGGGAGAAAGCTGTAAAGTAGGAAACAACTTCTTTTTAATTCATTATTTCCTGCATAGAAAGATGGGAAGAAGGCACATACAGTATGATCCACAGTGAGGATATGAATTCAAAGCACAAGACAGAAAAGGGAAAGCGGGGGGGGGCAGACAGAGAAACGTGTCACAGCATCTACAGAGATGTCATGTCATTGAGGGCGTGGTCCAGCTCCTCACTAATGGCTTTGTACTTCAGCTTCTGAGCGTACAGTTCGTCTGGAGGCCAGAAGTCGACAGGAAGTACAGGCAGGTTGTCAGGGACAGCGGCGACACAAACAAGCCAAAAGCAGGAGAAGGATGAGAGGCAGAGGAGGAGCAGAGAGAGGAAGGAGAAGACAAAAAAATAGGGTCAGCGTTGAAAAAAAAGAATGAAAGAATGATGGATTTATAATGACGCTCGTGGCTCTCGAGCCACCGGAGCCTTTAAAACCTGCTCTGTCGGTCTCATAAAACTGCTCCATTAACTCAGCTCAGTGGTTTGGAAAAGACAATAATGCTGACGTAAGAAAAAAGAACACCCGAGCACATTCTAAACTGGATCAGGATCAGAGTTGGCCAACGAGAAACTCCGCTGCACAACCTGTTCGGGGTTGATCAACAAAACGAACGACGTGCGAGTGGTGCTGATCTCGTACCTTCCAGGTCGTCGATGGACTTTTCCAGTTTGGCCACGCTCCTCTCTGCAAACTCTGCACGGGTTTCAGCCTGACCGAGACACAGACACAGTAGTGAAGACTCAATGAATGAGTTGATTCTTTTTAAACTTTGTTTGCTAAACGATGTACCCACTAGAGGGAGATCGGAAACGCTGAGAGAGATCACCGTGGGATGACGTGGCCTGATTTGACCCAGAGACGATGCAGTTTCTTTGTGTGTGTCGGGGATCTTCTTAAAGCTTCACATAAGTGCGAGCTTATATTTGGAGGATTGCTTACTCGTTTCCCCTCCGTAAAACGCACGGCACATGGTCAAATAGTGAAATCGGCAGAATCGGGAATCTCACCTCCTTCAGTTTGTCGGTCAGAACTTTGATCTCCTCCTCGTACTTGTCTTCTTTTTCGGAGTACTTTTGACACAACACAGAAGACACAGAGAAACAACGTCACCGGATCGGTTACAGCAACGCAGAACACGCGCTTTCACCGGCATACACTCTCGTCATACGAGGGCAACAGCGGCGCCACTCCCTCTGCTGAGTGACGTGCGGGGACGGGGACGGGGGTAGCGGCGCAGAAGAGTCGAGGCGTCGCCGCGGCCCCGGGAACGAGTTGTGCAGGGCCGGGCTGACTAAAAAGGAAGCGCCGGCATGACTTTCTAAAGGTCACGTGGCAGGTCTGGCATGCCGTCATCTCGCCTGTCGGTGCCCGGGGAGGAATTTAACGTAGCAAGCGGGAGGAATGCGCTTGCAGGTCTCTACTAGCTGCTGGCTCGCGACACCTTGTGCTCCCACGAACACTTTTCCCGAGGGGAAAAGAACCCGTTGTATTCTAAGCACGACACACAATTTCAAGGTGTGTGAAACACTGCTTTTGGGGAATGTGGTTTCCCTCACTACTCATTTCCACGGAGCCATGAGAGCAGGCCCGATGATGGCATACTGGGAAGAGAAGAATACATGCTGGTTGCCAGACTGGGTGTTCAGTATACTTAAATGTGTTTTATTTCTTAAAGAGAAGGGAAGCAACTCCATAATCCAGCTGTGGAGGTATTTGCTAATATGACTAAAAATGTAGGTTTTACACATCGATTTATCTATTTCTTTACTCCCAATTTGTGGCTGGCCTTTCAAATAGGCCTAATATTATGCTCATGTGGAACATTGGTGAATAAAAAGTAAAAAAAAGAGAACTTTGTGGCAGACTACTGCATTTTTCCTGTGTGGAAAAAAACCCCCACACTAATCTGCCATCTTAAGAGGCCAAAAAAAGAAGTAATACTTATAGCTAAATGAGTATTTTGTCAGCGGGGCTGCACATCACTGACACTCTCACCTTTTCAGACTGGGCTTCTAAGGACTTCAGGTTGTTGGTCACGTTTTTCAGCTCCTCCTCCAGGTCTGCGGCTTTACTGTAGGGGGGGGAGACACATGTGCTTGGTTTCAACGTAAGAGCGACGGGCACGTGTGTGTATTTGTGCAGCCGGTGCTTGTGTGTTACCATTCTGAGAGCTCGGCCCTCTCCTCGGCTCTCTCCAGCTCTCCCTCCAGGATCACCAGCTTACGGGCGACCTGGAACAACGATCGTTACAAACCCGTTTGGAATTGAAGCGCCAAAGAATCCGACCAGACGAGAGGAAGTCGGGTTAAAGTAGAGGAAAATTGGGAGCGCATCCGAAACCAGCTGTCAGACTCACCTCCTCGTATTTACGGTCGGCCTCCTCGGCAATGTGTTTAGCCTCCTTCAGCTGCATCTCCTGGATCTCCATCTTTTCCTCGTCCTTCATGGCTCGGTTCTCAATCACCTTCATCCCTCTGATTGAGCGAGATATTAATGGGGCGTCAAGTGGTGGTTTTCGAAGCCCGGATGAACGCACATTAAAACAGAATTCAAAACTAAAAGGAGGTCGAAGTTGAAACTATTTTTTTAGCACAGACTGACCTCTCGCTCTCATCAGCGGCCTTCTCAGCCTCCTCCAGCTTCTGCAGTGCTGTGGTCAGCCTCTCTTGGGCTCGGTCCAACTCCTCCTCCACCAGCTGGATCCTACGGTTCAGACCGGCTACATCGCCCTCCGCCTGTGAGGAGGAATAAATATGGTCAGTGAGAAATGGTGTCATTCGAAGCTGCACAAAACAATAGTAAATAGCTGGAAAGACAAGAACAGTATCCTGTGGTTTTATCTGCAAAATCAATTATGTAAAAACAAACTGAATCGAGACACATGAGTCTGCATTAAAATAAGATTTACAAAGCGCTTTCAAAGACCATGTTAAAATGGAATAAAGGAAATATTAGACAGGGATCAAAGTTTCAATCTTTTCTTGATCAAGGCTACTTCAAGGTTTCATTCATGAGCTTCTGACACAAGTAGTGCAGAGTAATGGCCCCCGACAGAAAACGTATCAGCCCATAATCTTTCCTTTCTACCTTTGTATTTCACGTATCTTCAATTATTAAACAAGACAACTCTTTAAAAAACGGGTAAGTTTAAGCTAATATGTATTTAGTAAAATACTGTCATCTTTAGTCCCCCTAAAGAACGTTTTTTTCATATAATAGACTTTCACCTTCTGTAAAATTATTATTTGCGGAAATCTAAACTTGTTTGGGGGGAAACCAATGCCTCACCTGTTTAACATTTCCTTACAAGCGTCACATAAACATTTGGTGCAACGCTTCCTTCCGTAAGCACTCTTATTATGAAAATCATACGGTTCACTGCAAGTGGACGGAAATCTGTGTCAATTCCATCTGTAAGTGAGATAATGGAATCTATTCGTCACGTTCTTTGGGGATCGGTAATTAAAAAAAAAAAGAAAAATCAATTGTTTAGATCTTTCTGATCGAAATGGAGACAGCTGGAGGTCCGTGGAGGATCTCCTACAGCAGCAGTCTAGCTGCAGAGTGTGATCATTTTTAATATATAAAAGATCACAGAACTTTCAATTGAAACGTTTAGTTGGTGTCGTTCCGGTGACTGTGGATGCAGAACTGGAATGAATGAGCTTCATCTCATCTGTCCTCGGTAAACAAAAAGGCAGAGAGGGGAAAAAGAAAGCAAACAGACAACTAAACAGGCATTTCCTCTCAGCGGGACGCGGAGTTTATCCAACAACCAGCACCTCCTCCTGCTGCTGGGAGCCGCTTTCAAACTGGAAAAGCCTCCCACCTCCGTTTTTACACAAAGGTCACCACCAAGAAACGGCCCACTGGGAAAGTTTACAACCAGGCCGCTCACACGGTACCACGAAACTGCCCTTTTTAACCACCGAGTTATGCATTCAGACCTACGCAGGTCAACTCTCCGTTACCAAAATGAAACACCCGGGGGGGTTTCACAGACAAACAGACGCTATTGCGCGCTCAGTGACTCATTAAACAGTCATTCAGTGCAGAAGTCAGGCCTCGGGTTGGATCAACAGTCCGCTTACAGGTACGCGAGTCACCCTGAGAGCGTGAAAATCATTACGAGAGAGAAAGGAGGAAGGATTGGCAACGAGGAGGAAAGGGAACATTCAATGGAAACGAGTTATTAATTGTGCGCCGAGAATAAATGGACCTCATCATCATTCTGTGAAGACACTCGATATTTTAGGAAATTAAAGCACGGTTTCCTGCTGGTCGGCCTCTGGCGACGTCTTCTTTTTTTTAACATTTTCTCCCCCACGTCTGCATGTCATCCTAAACTGCTGACTAGGCGGTCGGTCTTTCCACCTCCCTCCCTCGCTCGCTCTCCCAGGTCCTGCCCTACTGCACCCAGAGCTGCCAGGGGAGGCCGCCGATATGGGACAGGAAATGTCTTTCGGACTAGTGTTGACGTGCCTTAAAAAGAAAAAAGGCCAGTACCTCATAGCGGAAAAACCGAACCCAACACGGAATGAATGAAAAGCCCTGAATGGGTTTGGACAGCTTGAGACCTCGTCAGCGGCGTCCTTCTGCGCCTGTCGACGCCACGTCGGCGTGGTGCGAAACGACAGAGTGAATTAAAGCGGAGGCCTGAAATAACAGGTATTGTCAGTCCATCAGTAAAGCAACGTGCCGCGAAGAAATGCCGTCTGCACGGAAACAAAAAAACAAAAACCCATTTGTGAGCTTTTGGGTTCAGCGTCACGGTGCTCATCGGACGCCGTGATGCACTTCCAGACGCACGCACACTCTGCAAACACGCAAACAGCCTCTCTCAAACAAAATGCCACCAGCCGGCAACCGGCTAGATGCGTGTCGTCATTTTGGCAAGAGAACACACAAATAGAATGAAGGTCTTGCGGCGGCGTATCTGCGCTCGCCGTCGGATGTGTGCAGCCCTGCAGGTTATCCTTTATTCAGCTTTTACCAATCACAGGGGTCGGGGAATCCCCCCGCAGACAGAGACAAGAAAACAACGAGTATTTGCATACGGCACATCGTCCAATTCACTCAACCACAGGAGGCACAGTTGAGAATGCAGAACCTACAGCTTAATTAACGTATTACATGCCTGGAGCAATATAAGTTTAGTCTTCAAAGCTTTTGCAAAAAATGATAAACGTGCCTGCGGCGACCCGAGAGCCAGCAGCCGTTTAGTCGAAAAAATAGACAGTTAAAGGCTTCTTCAAAAATGAGGATCTTGAGAAAACAGTGACAGGAAGTCAGCTGCCCAACATTCTTTCATTTCCTCCCTCTGATTGTTCTTTCTTTCTTTCTTTCTTTCGGAGCTGGTATTCTCTCCGTCTCTGGCCGTGCCCCTTCCTTTAGCAACCACTTTGCATTCTCCGGCTGCCAGGGACGCGCCGCCGCCTTATATGGTAAAACAAACCACGGAGAATGTTCGCGGTGGAGTATCAGGGGGGGATTGTGACAGTGAGCGCACATACGCACAGTCAAACACACACAGACACACACACACACACAAGCGTGCGCACGCGCGTATACCACGAAAAAAAAAAAAAAAAAGATACTGGACAACGTGTATGTAAATATGTGACGCCTGCTTTCTAAAGCAGATTTACAGTTTTGGTTACCTAAGAGGACCGAGGTCGCCATTGTGTAGCGAAATAGCCTTTGTCATCCAAAGGTCATGCTTTTTGAAACTTGAGTTAATCAAAAGCAGCTCTGGGGGGGGGGGGTGTATTTGTCTGCAAGGACCTGGACGTCTTTAACTCACCTCTCCGTCCCCGGTCCCCTACTTAGTAAACATTCTACCGCCTGACTTGAAGATGCAGCACAGTTCCACTGGGAGTGACTGAAGAAACGGTGAAGGGTGTATTAGAGACCAGCTCAAGGACAAGTGAAAGAGGAATCTAATCATCGCGCTGCTTCCAGGGCAGTGGGCTAATGAGCTGCACGATGCTGTTCAGGGGAAGTTATTCCTGACACGACCGCTCTGTGTGACGGGTGAGCTTGTAATCTTTTGCCATAAAAAAAAAAAAAAAGGTTGCGCACGCAAAGATACAATGCATAGGCCAGCTTGTCAGGAGGTGTGATATGTAAAAGAAGGTCATTACATGTTCCCAGACACGCAGCACAATGGGATCTCTCTGCGCCAAAAGTAGTTAGTCAGACGTTCACAGAGATCTTGGAGGTGTTCAATACTAACAAGAGGTCAATTGAAATAAAACATTCATATTTAATCTTTAAAAGGAAGCAACCGGCATCCTATCCATTCTCTAAGTGCTACCTAATGACATTATAGCAAATTCAGCTCCGCAAGCCGCAACCTTGGCCTGAATAATCAGCAAAGCCGCGAGCCACTAACATGGGAGTTTTCTCCAGAATGTCAGCGACTGCCAAAACGTATCAACATGTGGCAGTTATATTTGGAAAGTTGATCTATTCCCAGGGAGAAAATCCAAAGAAAACAGTAAAACCAGGAAGTAAATCCTTCCACGGAATCTGCACAGTCTGCTGGAGGCCGAGCTGAAAACCGCCGAGCTCGCCGACCAGAAAACAGATGAAACCTCCGGTTCATTTTGACATGAAGTGACGATCTGAGAGAAGGGTTGTCACGCAAATGCCATGATGGTGGACCAAGAGGAAGAATGCTCGTATGGAGACAAATGAAATCAATAACTGACCCTCATCGCCGTCGAGTGACCTGGCGTCGACGCTTTTAGATTCACAGTTTAATTGTTAAGTGTTCGCGGAAGTTTACACCAGAGTGGAATATAGGTTGACTTGTGTAAACACTCGTTCCGCCACACACTGTAATCTTCCTGCTGATCGGGGCCGGAGCCCAGGGGCAGGAAGTGCTGGGAGTAGAAGCACAGGAAGTGCCGGGCCAGAGTCGGCAGACGACATCCTGGGAGGGTGCGGCTGGTGTGGTGGAGGCGGGACCTGCCTCCCAAAGCTCGGACCTCAGCGGAGGCCGTGAGTCACACTTCCCTTTGCATCTGGTTTTAAATAGGGATCACAGTTCTTATTTCTGCATTCTACATCAATTATCGCCATGGCAACGCTCCTGCACAGCATACAAAACGTATTTTAAAAAAAAGAGGAAATAGACGCTTTCATGTCTCTTGTCATTTTGTGTCATTTGCTTGTTCTGCGACTCATAAAGTAATGTATCCCGCAAATAAAGGAATAAAGACATTATGAAACACGTCTAACTATATTACAATGATTCAACCACCTGATGCTTTGTTACAAAGAACAAATTGTAGATATAACTAATGCTCTTGCATCTCCACGCCCCTTCCAATAGATCCTAACCGACACGGATTGGTCTGAAACACTGAAAGTTTGGATACAAATGCGTTAGCTGAACCCTAAAGACCTAGATGTTAACGCGATTTACCAGATCTGCGAAATCCAGCTGCCACGTAACGCGTGTAAAGAGCGGCGAATTTCGGTCGATCCGCGTTGCTGACACAGCTGTAAGGTTTGTGAATGAAGTACAAATGATCATATTTGGCCTGACTCTCAACTCTGAACCTTCAAATAAGTAACTGCTGTGAACACTTTGAAGAAGAGACGGCTCATTGAGAGTAACAGCTAGAAATACAAAACATCTAGGAAGGTCAAGTGAGCGTTCAGGGCACTTTCATTTCTCTTTAATCTGACCTTTAAAAGTATTATTGAGTAGTCGAGTTGTGTCTCCAGGAGGCGTCAAAACAAAACGAGAAATAACAATTCAATCACTTTTTTTAGTTAGATATGTGGCCAAATGCTGTTGCTTTTTTTATGCCTCCACATCACAGACTCAGCAAGGTCCCTGTTTTGATCTCCCCGTGCTCACATGAAAAGAGTTCTTGTGCCAAGGAATAACTGCAGGTTTCCCTAATTATTCACATGTGGGACCACACCAACCTCGCCACACAACTGCACTGCTCGGTTTCACTTTGCGTGCACAACGAAAAACAACCTTTAAGCCACCCAATTAACATTTATAGACAGCAATAACCCTTTCCATAAGTTGTTTACATATAATGTAATGTACTGATTTATTTAACAGCGTTTTTAACTCCTCTTAAGCATCCGTAAGTGGGTAGTATACACAGATCATTTTGACAAGTTGTAACTAGGTCAAATATGTCCTTATTGGAGAAGAAAATACATGAAAACATCCTATGTTGTAGGCTACAATCTCCTAATAATGGGAGACAAATGTTTTTTCTTAAAGTTGCCTATATCTGGTTGGAGATTCACCTTTTTGATGCGGTGCCGTGATTAAACGTATCGTTAGCCATAACGCTCATCGTCAGGAAGGTGAAGACACACGTGATCTATTTGTTCAAGGCTTTTTGATCCAGCGTGCCTGCAGGTTGGAGATTCCCCCCTGAACCAAACCAATATTTAAATCACAGTGCGCCGAGTCGGACAGGAGCCACTACAAACCTTGAACGTAGCGATTGAAATGATTCTAAATTAATATTTACTGACGTCACTAATGCGAATAGATTGTCTGCTGCCTAATGGGTAGTTTGTAACAAAGGTGTAGGTCCTGTGGAACGCCAGCTCCTTTCATCGTTGCAGTCACCGTATCTTTACAGCCACACCTTCTCCCTCCCACTCTCCTCGGGTCTGTCTGCTTTTCCTGTAGTTAACCACCTCCTATGCAAAGAATAAGCCACCGAATGCCATAAAGCAGCACGTGAAACCAGTCAAGACGGTTATACAAGTGTGCTGTTATGCATTTTTCTTTGCTAGAATCCGATATCTACCATCTATGTGTAAAGTTACAACAGTCCGGGTTGGACAGCGCATAGAGACAGGCGGGCGATAAACACAATTGAGTCACTTTCAAAACATCCGTACTTCTAGTGTAAGAAAGCACACATTTGTCTCAGTAAATAGCAAAAGAAAAGCAGTTTAAAACATCCCAGAATCCAAAAAGGGACAGTTTCAAAAGCTCTCGCCTGGTGGGACCAACTGTCCAAGACCCCAAAATGTTCTGTTTATTATCATGGGACACTCATAAAACAGAACATATGTGTACTTTTCAAGCGGCAACTAGTACATTCTTACTACTTTAGGTTTGGACAAAAAGCCTTCAGGATGAACAAATGATCAAAATTGTTGCCGGTTCCTTTAAGGCTGAACTTATTTAGTGAGAAATAGTTCCAGCTCCAGCTGAAATTTGTTTCCAGACTATTCCTCTCAATCGCTAATAACAGAGCAGGCATACTTTTAAGTATACGGGCCCTTCATTTTCCTATCCTCAGTGGAAGCAGGATGGTGTGGTGGTTGGGCACCGGCCCAAGCAGCTGCTGGCACCCACCCACCCTGCTGAAGTGCCCCTGAGCAAGCAAGCGAGTGAGAAGTTAATTTCCCTGGGGAGTTACAACATTATCCCCTTGATCTAAACCGTGGCAGCTCCGAAAGCTGCTAAAAAGGCCTCATTACAAAGTAGTTACAAGTGTAAACACGCTAAAGTATGAACACTCATAAGAAGCAATCTGTTCAGGCTAATATATTATATACAAATCGTTCAAATAGGTTCAACGATGCCTACGTGGTCGACGTCGTTCACAGTAGTTCTACGGCGGGTGGCACTGCGCATGCGCAAAGACCTGCAGGAATCCGAAACTTTTTTTTCCTTTTTCTTTTTTCTCATTGCAGACCAACGCCTTGCATTGTGGCACAATCACGCCCGCTACAATGAATCAATGGCACGAACGGTCGGAGTAATTAACATCATGAGGCTCGACAGGTGACAAACAAAAAAAAGACCTTAGCAGAGAGGATTTGATTTGTCTCACTTTCTCCCGGAGCTCCCGCTCACTGTCCAGCTCTCTCTGCAGGACCTGAGCTCGGTCCTCCGCGTCGTCGGCCTGCTGCTGCAAACACTGAATCTTCCTCTTCACGGCGTCCAGAGAGGTCAGACCTGCCATCGTCAACTGCTTTACTCGCTAAAAGCGGGACTGCGCGTTGAGGACAAATACAGCTTCTTTTTCGCGTCTTCTTCTTTAAAAACGAGCTACGGCGTCCTGCTTTGTTCTATATTAGAATGACGCGACAATAAGATACTTTACTTTGGTCGTTGGTATTACAAAAAAAACACACACAATAAAAGAGACGGAAGCCCGATGTAGGTCCGGGGGCCAAAGTCGCTCAAGTGCAAGAAAAGTGATATAACCAGGAAGTCACGCTGCCCAGGTGTTCTCCAAGTGCTTCTTCTGGCCGGCGGGAATGATGCGTTCCGGTGGCGAATAGAAAGTTGTCCTCGGGAATGTTGCAGTTTTTGTTTTGTTGTTTTTTTTTTTTTGGTCCGCACCGGAGTTTGAGCAGAAGGATTAGAAGAGCTGCGCGGTGAGGAGCGCGGAGAGCGACCAGACTGAGGAGGAGGAGGAGGAGGAGAGGGATGATCGCGATGATGAGGTCACAGGGGGCGGAGCGTAGTGTCTCGTAGTGAGTTTGACTGTGCGCGCGGGCGCGGGTTTTCGTGTGTTCGTGCGCGCGTAAAAGCTGATCCCTGTGACTGATTGTTGCTGTGAGACTTTGAGAAGAACAAAAGGAACAGACAGGATGCGCAACTTTCAGATAAAAGGCCCCCAGTGGTCATCGTTTAGATGTCCACACACACACGTGATGTCCCTTTGTAGACTCCTTAAAGTTGGAAGTTGCAGCATAATATGTGTAGAATGTGTTATTGGCCTACTGAAACAAATCCCCAAATGTCCTTATGAAGGGGTTGGGATATCAGACATGAAATTACTCTCCTCATTACATTTGCTTTCTTCACCAAAAGTATAACACTTGGAACCCTGAATTGGGGTCACAGAATAGGTCCTGAACTGGTACATCCTGACATGAGGGGTTATAGCTGCGGTAGCTTTAAACAGCAGGACACAAACCCCAAGATATGATCCAAGGTATTTAGAGTCAGTGCCCTTTGTCTAGTTTGTGTACCTGAGAACTAAAATGTCCATCTGTAATTAACCAAATTTCAGGAGTTTGGGCCCAAAATGTATGTTATGTGTCTGATAAAAAAAACTAAACTGAGTGCAGAAATGCAGCATCAGTCGGCCAATGATAGAATTTCGTTTTATGATCAGCCATCACATTCAGTAAAATTTAAAAACCAAAGTTCAAAATGTCTTGTATAACACCTTGTTAGCCTCAGGTTGTTTCTCCTGATTACTCATCCATCTCACCTGAACCAACCTCTACCCCCGGGGGTTCCCTCTGTCAACCCCACACATGTAAACTTGCGTGCTTCCCCCCCGTCAGATTGTAGATGTTCCCCCCCCGAGGACTCCGCTTCGTGATTCCAGCCTACTCCCGGTCGGACTTGTGCGCCTGGCCTGAGTGATCAGCTGTTTACGACATCCTGCCGTCCATAGACTTTGTCTCCGTGCTGCCTCTCGGGCCTTTTACAGTCATGTGAATTCACAGTAAAGTTCAGTCAGTATCAAGGTATTGCTGAAATAATCACTCTAGTACGGCAGACCCCCCCCGCTGCGGGGAGATGACGCGCACTGTGTGCGGGTCATGCAGATGTATGAAGCGCTCCTCAGCCTGTGTTGACCCTTTCAGCAGATCTCAGCTCTGCCGAACTTCTGTTCCAGCGATCGCATCTGTTGATTGAGCCCCCCCCCCCCCGTCCAATTTGCCCCCTTGCGGTCCGTAAAGCGCGGGAGCATTGATTTCATTAGACACGGGAGTGTGGGGCTTTCTGTTTGCCTTAGCTGCATTCCTCACATTCCACACCCCCCCACCCCCCACACTCTCCCCCCTTCCCCTCTTTGGCTGCTCCCTGCTTTCTCTGCCCAGCCGGCCCCAAAGTCCAGCTTTCCCCCCTCAAACGGTAACTGTTGCCTCTGTGATCGCTGGTATTAATACCTGTATTCAAACCGCTGCACGTGGTTGCCCCCCCCCCCCCCCCCCGCTCTCCTCCCCCCTCACTTTCACTCTCAACCTTTTCAGCTTGTGATCGCTCCCAAAGACAGACAGACAGGGAGTCGTCATGACCCACATATCAGCACCACGAGTCAATGGGGTGGGGGGAGAATTTTTTAATGAATCGAAAACTGAGGTATTTGGCTCCCTGTTCTGACCCCCTCCCCCCCCTCCCCCTCCTCCCCCCAGGTTCTCCGATGTGGCCGGGCTCTCTGTGTGTGTGTGAATTGAGATGTGTAATGACTTGACTGCTGCTTCTAATAAGTGACATGTGGAGGGGGATTCGCTGGAGGTGGAGCGACCTCGCCGGCTGGAACCGTTGCTGTGGGTGTTTGGCGCTTCAGTTTAAATGTATTGAACTATTGTCTATTTTTAGGCACAACGCAGAGTCCGGCTCAGACCACCACAACCTCCACAAGCACTTTCTTCTCGAAGGCCCCAGCCGTCGACGAGTGGGGCTTTCTCTGAGCTATTCGGGGGTCATCTGGTCTCCTGCGCGTCTCAGCCTCGGTGTGTGTCTCCGTGTGTCGGACACCTCCCTTCTCTTTGTTCAGAGTACAACGCTGCGTTTCCCTGGGAAATCCTCCACGGGGCTCAAACAATACCACGTCTTGGTTGCTGCTGGGAAGGGTTTTTGTTTACGTGACGCTTCCCCCTGCACGGTTTGCTTAGTGATCCTGCTGGAACCAATGCTTAACTGGCAGGATCCGTATTTTATCACTATGTTGAACGTGATTGACCTCCTAATATGGACTTTGTTTTACACTTGAGTTACTCTCGTCCTCTTACACACACACACACACACACACACAAAAGTAAACAAACATGCCTGTGCACAGATGCACTAAGATGCCAGATGACAGATCTGCAGCGCTGTGGTGCAGCCAGCAATCAAAAATATGATCTTGCTCCCAGATTGCAGCTGATTGGCCTCCGCAAAACTGACATTTTCAATGTTCCGCTAAATTTACTAAATTTAACATGTGACAACAGACCTTTAGTTCGGGTCCGATGAAGGAACTCAGTCGTCCTGTTGTAGGATGGTTATAAATTCACGATGGAAGTGGCAATTTTACTTTTAACAAAAGTAAGAATAGTACAGTGTGAAAATGCTCTTGCAAGAAAAAGTTCAGTATACAACAAGTAATAAATGTGACATAAAAACTAAAGGCCTTAAGCATCACTTAAGGGGACAATTTTCTGAATAGAAAGCGAGAAAGAAGTCATACCAGACCTCCTTGTAGCTCAGTGCTCAGAAGCATCAATTCACAGTTGATACACAACTTCCGGATGAATGCGTTTCAGGAACAAGTGCAATATTTCTTTTAGAAATGTTGATGAAATTAAGTAGCGTGACATCGTAAACTACAACTACCTTTAAAAAGTTCAAATAAAGTGGTAAAATAAAGGCTATTTGTGAGAGTGTGCTTATATTTCAACATTTACAACATATGAGGTATAGAAAGTGGGTCCATGTTGATAAATACATGTGACGAAACACTAACCACCTGCTGCTGCAGCAAAGTCTGCATGTACACAACACGTACCGTGAGCGGTGACACTACACATCTGCACAGACAGTGAGCTTCATGCTCCCAACAGGGAGGATGCAGATAAACTGACAGCCTTATGATTGAAAACACAGCTGTTAGGAGACACCTGGGACCGTGTGTGTGTGTGTGTGCGTGTTTGGTTGAGGGGGGTAACAGTTTATCCATGTGCTCATCTTTCAGGACTGGCTGCACAGGAATGTAACATGTCTGAAACGCTCTGAACCATTCACCGTGGATCAAAGTGAACCCACAGCTGGTGCTGGCTTGGAACCATCCAGCTGTGGAAAGATGGGCTCTGGTTTTTCAGCGGTGCCACGGCAACGTGAGTGTGTGTCACGAGTCAACAGAAGCCCATCGTTAAACAGTGGAAGCCTCTTGATAATATTTACCGTCTCGGAAAGGATGTTATCGGACTGTACCATCTTTACTCTAACGGAATGTGGTTTCATTTGAATTTGACATTTGAACACACACACACACACACACCTTTTCCCCACCGTGCATGCGTGTGCACAGTATGAGTGAGTGACCCTTCACTTACGTCTGCAGCTTTCTTCTCAGACAGTTCCAGTTTCTCCTGAGCGTCTTTCAGGCCCTCAGAGAATTTGTCCAGTTCGTCCTCAGTCTGCTTCATCTTCTTCTGGAGGTCCATCAGCTCATCCTCCAGCTGCAACGGGAGGTTCTGTTATTGCAGCTGCCTCACCTTCTCAGGTCAGTATGCGTCTGTATCCAAATTCTTTGTCTTTGTCTCTTTTTTATTTTACAACCCCTTCCCCCTGCTTTTAAAAAGCCTGGATTTGTACTAAACCGTTCTTTAGTCTGATGGGACGTCGTTGAGGCCATTAAAGAGTTAGTGGCTGATTTGAGAGCCTAATTGTTTTTTTATTGTTTCATTATTGTGTTTTTGAATGGTGATGGTTGACTTTCAGTCTCTCAGGACGTGACCCAGGTATGCAAAGCAGAATCCTCTCTCTCTCTCTCTCTCTCTCTCTCGCACACAGACACGTACACACTCACAGGGTTAAGTGTTCCCCCTAATCAGTGACCCCCCCCTCCTACCCCCCTTTCCCGAGGGCCCATGAAGTACTTCGGATAATCCTACTGAATTCCACACCCATTCTCTCCTGGTGTCTAAAAATACAGATGTTATCAGTTGGAACACACAGACCACGGACCTAATAAGTCTGTGTGTGTGTGTTTAATCTCCCATACGTGTGTCCGCTTGTATCCATTTGCATGCCTCTCGTGTGTGTGTTGTCTCTCGCGTAGGATGCACCTGTCAAAGATGCTTTACGACACATAAATGCTCCATAAACTCTCTTAAAACTGGTCCCGGGGGGAGCATGGCTCACTTTTTCCTCTCAAGAGACCAGGCCCTGATTTGGGGTGGTCTCATCACCTGAAGTCGCCATTGAGGGCATTTTGAAGAACTTTCTTCCGGCCTCATTGTAAACAGCACTAACAGAGACCTGTTTGTGTGACTCTCCACAGTGTCCCTGTTTCTACAGGCTTCTGTCAGTATGTCCTGGTGGTGTTTATTTAGGGATAAGCAACCGCTCAGACATCAACCCTGGTGATCAGAAGTATCAGTTTGGGGGTTCTTGATATTAGCTGATCCATTTTAGCTGGAGATTAAGTACATGATTATGTAACAGTATAAATGGAGACTATAGGAAAGGTTGTGGAAGTGCTGCTTAACCCTTTAAGGAGGTATTTGTGCTACTCGCAGCGTAATGTTACAAAAATATGTTGAATTTACCATCAAGTCTCGGAGCAATGGCAAAAAAAAACATGTAATATTATTTTAACAGTGATATGGCAATAAAACAATAAATGAGCTGTGAGGAATGTAGTGTAGATAAATGTGCAATGTGTTTACACAAAGTTCCATAAAGGA